GCTTGCTCATGCATGCACTATTCCCCACCGGTACCGGCGATATGTCCAGTAATAATTGACACGGCAGCTGATGTCTGGTTATAAATCATTCATCGATGTTTCAGGCAGATTTCCACCAAATATGAAACACCGGATAGAGTTGACTGGGTTTCGACTAATTATTCCCGACTACTGTTTTGGAGATATGCTAGAGATTATCTATATAATCTATTCATTTATCCGCTCCGCCGGCGTTTGTCGGCGATTATCACGGGCAGAAGCCACTGCGTGACTGTGGAATCCCTCTACATGGGCCGCATAGCGTATTACGTCAGTGAGTTCGCTGGAATTCTTTCTAATCGGGAAGAGGACACTTTTGACTAGCTCTTTTCATGTAATCATTAGATGACATTGTCCCACCACCATGCTAACTTGTTCCCACGGCACGCTCTCTTATGTAGAAAATCCGTAGGCTTATAAAGCCTAGAGATTGGAAATATCCTGACAATATGCGGAAATTGCTTATCCCATTGGATGTTATCCAAGCCCTTACGATAACTTCAATGTTGGTGTTGCACTGCTCCTCAATTCGACAAGCAATATTTTAGCGATAAATTAAATGGCTGTTTCTTCCCAGTCTTCAGGGATGCTAAAATATAATGTGACAGATACGTCACTGAATGCATCTTTGTCGTCTGTCGCGGCGGAGTTAGTTAACACAAATTCTATGGGATGTCTCTACACCATCTTGGAACTATTTAGTCTGCTTAGCAATCCTTTTTTCATTCTGGTGTATAAAAAATCTCCGCAGCTGCACACGCCCTTCAATAAATACGTTCTAAATCTAGCGGTACTGGACGTTATCAACATGTTCACCGTTCGGATTGCCGACATCACGAACAATTTAAACATCCCTTGGTTTCTTGGGGATCATTTTTGTATTGTAACCTTATACTGCTATCAAAGCGTCAGTGCTTGTCTGGTTTATATCCATGTCTTGATCAGTGTCAGTCGATTATGGGCAGTGACCTCACCGTACAGCTATCGATTACGGCATACTCATAAACTGACCACTTTACTAATTGCTTCAGTGGTTATATTTTCTAATTTCTTAGTCCTGTTACTTTTTATCGGCCAAGATCGTCGAGCTCGCGGACATGGTCAAGAAAACTTTTGCTTGTACCACTTTGTATACACTTCTTACTTTGGAGCATTAGGCTTTATAGCGCATGTCGTCCCTCAGATTCTTGTGATGATAATTTATCCAATTGTTTTCTGGAGAGTTAGAACTGTCACGAGAAACAAGTCCCGGATTGCATCCGTACAAATGCGCGTCATCCCTATAATTCAAATCACTAATCACTCTGTTTCATCGAACGTGAACTTAGCAGGTAGCCTGACCAGTCTGGAAATACAGCCCCAGACTCCAGCCATTGCATGCGCAGCCACTGACAGGTCCACGTCTCACCACGGAAACCGGCATTTTGGAGTGTTGACGGTCTTACTCATTAGTTGTGTTGTTCTTCGCACGCCGGGACATATTGCCAACGTTTTGGTGGCAGCGAAGCCGAATTTTGATATGAGGATCTTAGCAATATGCAATTTCATGTTTTCTCTAGACTGCACGATCAACCCCGTGTTTTGCTTGTTGGTTTCCAAAGAATGGCGGCATGCTACCATTGTTGTCCTTGGACAGTTATACAAAAGCGTTGGGAAGCTGCACTGCTAAATTTATTGTTAAAACCTAGTACTGAAGTACAGTGTAACAGTTTTTATTTTCTGTTAACTGCGAAGTGCTTGTGCTCTTGTTTGGAAAGATATACTCTGCTTTGTACATACAAGCATGAATGGAAGTATTTTTTAAAGCATTTCGTCTGTGATGTACAGTGTGTACTGATAATTTTTATTACAATTCTTACTGTAAATAAAACTGCACACGAGGTGCTCTCCATTTAGCACACAAAATACAAAAATGAAAATTAGAGTTGTTTCAACAGAAAAGGTCACAAGTTCCTCGCAGTCACAGTAGTTGTGAATCGTGATTGCAAAGTGGTACATCCAGATGTGGAGTTACGAAGCGCTCCGTCAACCCAGGCTTTGTGAAATAATAGAAACCGCTCCATGAGTGCGGGTTCGTTTACCAATTTTTGCAAAAAATAAACTTCCAATCCGGTATGAAGTGACACACGGTAAAAGTTTTTTCAATACGACAGTAACTCGACGGCGGTAATCAGCAGTCTTCGCCAAGTAGATGAGCTAAAATTATTGCAATCGAGTGATTTACGTGCAATATTAATGTCATAATTTTCACATTTTAGGGTTAGTGAATTGAACACTTCTTAGTTCGGGCAGCTCCATATTACAAACAGTTCTGTTCACAACGATATATTGAACCTGTTGTGGGTGCAATAGTTGCGTTTTTAATAGAATATTAGTGAACTCGGAAAAATTGTGGAATATAGACTACGTATGCTTACCGGAATAGTGGCGTAGCAGAATAAAAGTAACGCACGAAGTACCAGCTGCACAAACGGTTTCGAATTGTACTGTGGCGCGAACAAGCTAGAGGCGATCGGCGCTGGAAGCATCGCCACCGCGTACCACGTAGCCGACCAGAAAAGCATTTTAACATTTCGATAGCGTTTCTTCACAATGGCATTACTTTGTCCATTTGGTGTGCTTGCTGATACAACTTGAGCGGAAACCTGGCGTGTTAGTATAGACGTCCTCGTCCAAATGTAAACCAAAACGACAGAATACATCAGAAAAACGATGATAATTGGTAACGCGACGCAGAATATTAATACAATCGTATACACATCGCTGCCACGGAACGGTAAAATTCCGCACATTCCCCACGGTTTCATCGACTGCATATGCCCGCCAATATCGTAGAAGAATAGAAGATTGCAGACAAAGGGCACGAAATACGGTGCCATCAGCATCGGCACGATGACCACTGGTTTCGTCCAATGAGCGTACGTATGGGGGAACAGTACGGCGACAAACCGGTTGGTAGCGATGACCATCTGTGCCCAATCAGCGGAGTAGACGTTAGAGAAGTAGAACAGCACTACGTAGCGACAGAAATGCGCCGGCATACGCTGAGTATGCTCACCGAAATACGCGGCAAAGGCCATCATGGGCATTTCGATGCTGCATAATATAAAATTTATAAAAAGGGAGTTGAGGATCAGTGAACCGGAGCCGGAGCGCAGTCGGTGGGATGTGATAATGCCACATATTAACAGCAAATTGGAGGTAGCACCAAATATCGCGAAGAGAAGCATAAAAAATAGCCATGTGGTTAAACTAACGCGGTATTCCGTCCAAATTGAAATTGGTGTTGATGAATAGTTCACAGTTAAATTCATACTGTTATTCATTCCTTTGAAATATTACGACCGGATTTTCAAGATAAACCTGCTTATAAAAATGTTAAACCAGCGGAAACAACAGCACATTCGGTTTTGTACGGCTGTCACAATAATAATTATAAGCTGTCGTTCTACAATTTACTAGCGGGTGTAAAAACTGACCCTATAACCAATGCCCCGGTAAAAATTACAGTAAGTCCATAAGTGAATTGTTCGGAGTAGGGAAGCGCGATGAGTTTGACAATTACCGGAAATAAATACCTTACATGAATGTGAGCCCGCCAATCAAGACCCCATCCAGAGATAATAGCTTTGGTGAAAGCTTTTTAACCGTACATCCGCGCATTGAAGGGAGAGTGATCCAGAAGAATTAATTTGGTTTCCATTCCCAGCGTATCATATATAATGTAAAGCGTGATCGATCTTAATGACAATGACGTATATTTTTAAATTTGTTTGGGATAAGCAATCCATGCTCACTTAGGCTATGTGTGGTCCACTTCCGATGCACGATAAAAAATTACAACATCTCATCATACAGCAGTGTGCAGGCATTAGGAAATCTCGAATCGGGAGACGATATTAAAATTTGTGCATTTAAATGTCGTCGAAAAAAGTAATTCGCTTCCGGGCGTAGCAAATAATTATTATTATGTTCTAGTTGATCGATAGTCGATACCACTTGAAATTATATATTGAAGTATCGGATAATTATTTACTTTGGTGCGGCATGCACTAAAAAGCCCCACTTCATGGATTACGTAATGAAAATTAAACTAAAATGTCGTATTGTAAACTGTTTCAAAGCTTTCATACCGAAAATACAGATACGCCGGCTCTGTTGAGGTTCCTGCATGTTTGTTAAGCTTAATAAATGTAATTATGTAGTAAACACTCTCCAGTATATTGTATGTTTTATTATTTTTTAAGTTACGTTGCGACGGCTTTTACATCTGTTTACAGTGGCCGATACACAAATTGTGGAGACGTCAACATGCAGCACCTGAATATCATACTGCTCGTGATGCAAAATGCATTAAAACAGTCGATTTCGCATATCTAACGTAGTGCCATGTCATTCCTGTTTCCCCGTTTGCAGTCACATTTCCGACCACAATTTCTATCGTATGGTGAATGTACAGCATCTGCAGCTTCCCAGTTCCCAGTCATTTTGCGGTGATAGGCACTATAAAATACTTTTTATCCCCCCTGATAACGGACCTTCGCTAGGTTTGCCAGAGTAGTGGCTTGAGTTCAACTCGGGCGATTGGACGGAGCAGCAGCATGATCTGCGGAAGTTCCTCCACAGCTGTCTGATGCGATGCCGGTAATCTTCCGTTTTCGCCAAGTAGATCAACTGAAACCGTAAGAACGTTATAAGTAATGTCAAGATTTTTAACAGGTTCCGCTTACGATTTGCCGTTTGTATAAGCTCCATGAAAAAACACAACGCATTAAAGATATTATATGCATGCATCACAATTACTTACACATTTGTGCCATAAAGGTGTGTAAGTAATTGTGAACTTAAATAAATTGTGGACTATATTTTAGGATTTGAATTCATTGGCCCTAAATGGCTGGAGTTTAAACAACTCCATAATATTTAATAATAACATATCAGCAACATGCTAAACTGAGTTATTACCAGGTGCGATCAAGAATGGTTAATTTAACATGCATCCGTACCGGGCTAGTGGCGTACACAGCCAACAGTAATCCCCTCAGGATCAGTTGCAGCAACGGCTGTGAGTTGTACTCGGCGGAGAAAAAACTGGATGTTATCGGCGCCGGCAGCAGCGCCGCTGAATACCACACCGCCGTTAGAAAAAGCATCTTCACACTGCGATACCGTCGTCTGAACAGCGCACTCTGATTCCCTACGGCGACGGGATGACCTTCCGCCGATTCGATCTGTCGCTGCGACGTGAACGACCGCGACCAGACCACCACGAAAATCGTGATATACAGTACACCTAACGCGGCAACCGGCAGCGCCACACATAACGCCACCACCACCGTGTACGTGTTATTATGCGGAAGGGGCTTCACACCGCAAGCGCCCCACGGTTTCATGGCTTGATAATGCGCTCCAATATCGTAGAACATAACGAGATTACAGGCAAATGGAATAACGTAGGGAATGACCAGCATGGGAATGATCACTTTTGGAGTGGTCCACTTTGTGTATATATGCGGAAAAAAGATGGCGACAAACCGGTTAATGCCGATAGCCAGTTGGGCCCAGTCGACCGTATAGACGAAGGAGTAATAAAATAATACCAGATATTTACAAAAGTATTTCGGTGCGTGTTGGTAATATTCACCGAAGTAGGTTGTGTATATCAGAATCGGCATATCGATGCCACACAGAACGAAATTAATAAATAAGCAATTTAGGATTAATATTCCTGATCCGCGGCGGAGTTTTCTGGACGAAAGGACAGCACAAATTAACAAGGAATTGAGAAATGTCCCGAGGATGGCAAACAGTAGCATTACAATAAACCATATCGTTAAACTACTGCGGTACGTTATCCAAACCGGAATTTCCGCTGCGCTGGTATTAACAGCAACGGAATTTGTGGATGCATTCATACTTTAACCGTTTGCATCAACAAAGAATGAAAGGTGTGATTATATAGAAAAACGTATTATGTTATAATTTTAGCCGGCCTATCTTCATATGGACTATATCATATCATCCCGAAAATTGGCTGTTGGTAACGGATTTGCAAAGTTGATTAACTGAAATGGCAGGATATCGTGACAAATTGTAACGGATGTTTACTATTAGTAAAAGAACAATGATACCGGCACAGTTTAAAAATTAATAGACATCTCGATGTTGATCAGCTTTAACACGGAAGTCTGTTAATCCGCGGAACGCGAGAATATACGAGCGGTATTACATGTCAACCAATATCGAGCGGAAGTGGATAATCAGTCTCCGTTAGCATCAATCCATTTGCGGTCCAGTAAGCCAGCGTCGACGAGACTCGATTGCAGCCAGATTATGTCTTGAAGAAAACTGGTCTGCGGTGATATCCCGGCAGGGAAGTGCATTTATTGCTTCCGCGAAAATGTTGTTCTTTACTCCGATGCCATGCTCCCATCCGAATAATACTGCTGTACAAGCAGCTAACTTTAAACGAACCATCACTTCATATACACGCAGCAATTTGGCTGCGTGTCTATACGGCACAGACAGTAATAACGTATTGATTTTCCACCAAGAAACAGTTCCACGGAAAATATATGTGGCGTGAAAATTTCCCATCAAACAACGGCGGCTGTCAGTTAAAAATTTAAACTATTTTTAATCTTCCAAAGAGGTGATTTTGTTGATTAACGATGTTGACTAGAAAATGCAGTAGCCACTGGTGTAAAATATATGCTAACACTGTTTTGTACGTTATGTCACTAACACTGTTTTGTCTGCAGTATTAACTGCATACACAGATGTACTGTATAAATTTTAATGGCAAAAAAATATAAATCCTTGCCTCTTCGTTCCGTTTTGTTATTTACCATGTATCGCTTACGATTTAAACTGTGTAACTAACTTTTTAACACCGACCACACGGCACACGCCAAAAATTTGGGCGTAACCTGTGCGCACAGTAGTGGCGCGTGTCATATTGTGACGTACAGAATTACTAAATTACTGTGATTACTGTACGTAATGACTGTAAAGAAATTATTACAAATTCGAAAACAGTTTTGGCTTTCCTACTCAGATATTCCAAGATGCTGTTCCATTATTATTCCCACTTACATTATCCGAATTAAAAATGGCTGCTAACGTTTAGGAACTCTTGATGGATCATGTGACGTATTGATTCGAGGTCGGCTTTTGACAAATTCTTGTCCCCAAGTTCCAACAGAATCAATGCGTACGTAACAAAACCGGCAACAAGCTGCAACGAAAAACTAGAAACGTTCCATTAAAATGAACAAAACTGAAAAATTTGTTGTGCACAGGCCACACGCGGCCTGTGATTATGGATACCATTTACCTTGATTATGAATGTCCGGTTGACAGCCACTAGATGCGCGATCGTAAACCCAATATTCCCTGCTTGAAGTTCATGGAGATGCGACAACACCATTGAGCGCTGTTTTTTGTTGTCCATCAGGTGTATAGTTCTTCTCATCACAGGAACAAAAGCTTGAGCCTGCAAACAACAATTAAGTGAAATTTCCTTAATAGTTACAGTTGTTCGTATTTGACGCCAAAAATAAATCCAGCTAAACGGGGAACATATAAACTTCATCAGTATATTTTCATAAGTGTAAAAGCCACTATACACTGTACAGCTGTTAATTACATAAGTGGAATATTTTTTTTTGCCAACAGTAGGAAAATATGCCAATCAGTGTTTCTGTACAACTTTAAATTAATTACTAAAGCAGTCTGAATACGCAAACCTTTGGAGGCCACTAAGAAAACCATACCTGTTCATGCACAAAAATAAATCGAAATGTCATTACACACAGAACGAAGAGGTCATCTGCAAGTTCGAAATACTGAGGTGCATGCGCGCGGTCAAATGCCGACTGCTTCACTGTATCAATAATATTCAGAGCAGACATAAAGTAATATGCATAATACGACAGCGACACCCAGCACAACATGGCGTCCAACTGATAAACCTCGTGACTCAATTGAACATGGTGAGTAAAATCTCGCAGTACAGACAAAGTAGCAGCAGATCGCGATACACTGTCACCATCGATCGCTGCTTTTATAACAATTTTTTTAAAAACTATTCCCATTGCCATGCAGATCGTGGTTATTAACCACAAGTTCAGGGGACTGCCGATGGGAACAACGCCATCCACGACAATGAACCACAAACGTGAGATTATCCCAGAGTGCACGAGATCCGGATAACGGCACTGCTCATGCTGGGCTTTTTTAAGCAAAATGATGCCGTCAAGTTGGTGAACCAAAGGAGATATACCAAAAAACCATGAACGAATCATATATCTTAATATAACAACCACTGCCAGGCCGGCTGAACAAAAGGTCATCAACAATTTCTCTTTTCTGGTGCAGTATTCTAGAATAAAGGTGTCCAAAATTTTGAGGGTATTGGTATATGTTGCATGCATGGACATAAATATCAGGATGGCGACAGGAGTGCTTAAGTTCTGTAGGAATGCAACAGCGAAACTGACAATGCTGGCCGTTAATGAATTTCTTTCCGGCAGACCTGCTGCTGCAATACAGTACGTGCGGTATCCGCAGAGGCCGAAATACGTCAGGAGATATGCGGCAATGACACCCCCATGTAGAACTACGATTATCAACCGACCACACGAATTCAAGAACAAGTGGCTGCGTTTGCTTTTATCGGAGACAACAGGCGCAAGACGAGTGCTTGTTCGGAATCCGTGACCGATGAGTTTCAGAATGAGCAGGCATGGAGTCAACTGCTTTGTCAAAAAGCCCTGCTTGTCGCGGCTGGTTCTTAGCAGGGTCATTGTAACCGTTGTGACCTCCTAAAAATCTCCCGATGTGATTACTTGTTAATGACCCTTTACCAGAACAGTTCGCATTAGCGTCGACAAAACTCGTAGCAGCTTTGGGATTATCAACGTGTTAACTCGATGAACTATTACGAAGTATGCAACAGTTTAGAAGTACATACTGTCATATTAAGAATCCAACTGCTTTGCGCAAAATTACATCTGAAGTTTTGTGCAAGCTGCAGCAGCTGTGCACACTAAACACCTGTCTATGAACTAAACACTACGTATACAGTAAATTCCATGGAAAAACAATAATGACTACGGGTAGCTAGCTATTTACGGATAGACTAGCTGAATACTGCGGACCGTAGTGTCTGATGACTAACAAATTGATATCGAATAACATCAGAACAAAGACAGCAATGTACATAAATTTGCCTTAATTCGATTTTTACGAAACTGCACTTTTCAAGTCTGATGAAAACTTATCAATGAAATTTAATAACAGCTGGAACAGACTTTTAAAACTCTAATAAAATTTGCACATCACAAGAATGAACGGGAAAAGCACACAAAACAGACTTTTTAAATATTAGAACAGAGCATAAGCAAAGTCTAATATCACAATACTGTAATAATACCAAAATTCCACGGCCATGCAGTGAATTCAAACACATTTGATATGGGCGTAAAGGGTAGATAGGTTCAATTGCCGTTCATCAGGTCCGAGACGATAAACATGGTGACAGCCTGAAAAGTGTAAAAATTAGTAAGCGCTGCGAGTAATATAAACGGTGATTTCAAAACAAGTTTTTGAAAATATTACTACATGCATTGCCTCATCAATATTTTCTAAAGAAAAACAATAGGAAATAAATTAAATAAAGCGGTGGAACTCAGTACTTATGAAAATTACACTATAATCCCAACTCTGAACGCCAGCCTTACCTTGCTGCACACAAGTAACCGGTATATCGTACTGAGCAATCAAGCACCGATTTCGAAAATCCGTATCTCGAGGCTCGATCCGTAATACCGCCAGATCAACATTCCGAATATCAAAAGAAAATTCCTTATTCCAAACTGGGTTAAATCCTTAGCAAAACATACAGCGTTCATAAATCATTTCTACCCAGACAAATTAAGCCAATGCTCTCACCGTTGTTCTTAGCCGGCGTTGTCGACATCACCTCACAGTCTTCCGGACATCCATAAATCTCCACAAACACAAAAGGATCAGATATCTCTTTTTCCCCGGCCACCGGCACCTTGGGCAACTGCTGGGCACTGATGACTCTCACCGTGAGCTGTATCCGGCGGCTTTCACCTGGCTCGCTCGTAATGTTGCGCATATGCTCCGGCTTCAAAATATAGCCGCATCCGCCGTTATTGCCGAAGAAAGCCCGGTAGATCTGCGTTTCTTTGGATTTATCCTGATAATTAATTGCCACAATCTGACAACCGGCATCCATTCCAGGAAAAGGATTCATGCTGCAGGAATCGGTGCGGATACCGGCGGGATAAATGCGCACCAGATGCTGCGCGCAATGGCGGACGAAATCATCGCGCGTGTTGCTGACCCGGGTTCGCTTATTCGACTCAGCAGTATTGTCCATTCGATAATATTTTCCTACAAAAACAAGGTCCAACATAATGTCATAAATACCCGAGCAACCCTTTAAACCAGTGTACCACACCGATACTGCAGTAAACTTCCAACCGCTTACTTTTAAAAATAATGAGAAAACAAAAAAGTGTGCGTAGTTTACTGCATAATTAGTATGTTTGTAGCAACAGTATCTTGCTTCATCGTACATGCTTCGCTTTAATTATTATGTAACTATTTCCTGCTTATCTTTAATTTCAAACACCGTCGTCTCTGCCATAAAGAAATCATCGAAATTCCCCTTCCTTAATAAAGACACTGCAAAAAAATAGCACAATTACCTCCCAGACTCAAAAGCTTATGAGCCCGGTGTTCTTGAATGGGGTCAAACGTCTGGATCATCCATTCACAGGTTTCCACAAGGCTCGGCCCAGGATCACATTTATCATCACGCGCTTCTTGTTCGATAAAAAGAAAGTTCTCAAGATCATTCACAGTCCAGAAGTTATGCAATACGGACGGGTACCTGTTAAGTACAAAGCATGATAAAGGTTAGCAGATACATCTTCTACCGTGCTGTAGCTTACTGGCGAAAAATGTCCTTTAGTGCCGGACGTTCGGATAGAAGCGCGTAAAACCGGTGAATGTCTTTCATGTCCAGTGCATACAGTCCACTTAAAGTTCTGGTTATTCCGGCTGCCTAAAAAGTCGTTGCAATATATTGTATTACCGTACAACATGAGCAACAAAACACAAAATTCCGTAAATTCTACAGTTTAAAATGCACAAAAATTTAACTCAGTACTTACTTTAAGATCAGCTTGTTTTCATTAAACCGTTCCCCAGGTAAGTAAAAATAATATAAAAAAAAGCACACTTTCGTTTCAGAAAAAAAAATAAGATAAAAATTTCAGAAAACAATTTGGGCCAAGAAGGGCGCTCTAAACCAAAGGACAAATTAATAAACAAATACTTACCTGAAATATTTCCATGATTTGTTGGTGAGAGATTTTCAAGTTCAGTCGATCCATAGGTGTCATACAATCTTCGAAATTCAGAAGTTCGTCAGCAGATTGATTAGTAACCACATAGCTTCTTCGCAGCCACCTGTTGTAAATGCAAAACGTAAAACAAAAACAAAGATGGATCAATTCATCTTGTCCGGCTTTCGCCATTACAGAATTTTCGTATCTGTGAACCGCTGCCCGCTGGCACTATTTTACACACATTTCCAAGCGTTTTTCCGTTCCACTTGCTGCTTTTCGTCAATCAGATGGCGCACTGCATGTTTCCATTTATCGCAGACATCTTCATCCGGTGTGAAAACTTCTCCCGATGCCGAGGGGATGGCAGCGACCGCACTGGCAACTAATACCAGGAAAATAAATAAAGCCCATAAGCCCCGACGGCGATCAACGTGGGGCAGGGGAAGTACAGGGTATCCCCCACAAGGAAACAGGAAGTCGGCTCCTCCCACCGCCTGGGCCCCTCCTGGTGCATTTTCCACTACGTTCAACAATCGCATGTAATACATGAACGAAGCCAGGCTAACTAGAAACGCCACCAGAGCGGCTACTCCATATAGGTTAGCATTACCTGCAAAGCAAGGCTCTGTGCAAGCATTATGTGGCGCGCAAGCGGTAATCGTGTAAACAATATGACTTCAGGGCGCACAAGAAGGAAAGCGTTTTGAATAATTAAGCAAGAATTCTGGATGGGCTACCGGCTATCAGCTTACTCGCTGGTGTAACCTGTATTTGACACGGTACTGCGTCTGCATCTACCACAATCAAATGATGCGCCAAAAACGGCTTCCTCATCGTTCACTTTCTTTTCTGGCCCGCAAGCGTACAATAACTGCATACTAACTTTTTTATGATTTGTTAATAGCTTTTTTGCAGATTTCTCAATAATTTTTACGCGCTTCGCCCGTTACCCGACGCGCATCGGTTACAAAGCAACTGACCTGTACGTACCATCAATAGCAATATAAAAACAACAATCTCTTCCGTTCTGGCTTATTTCAATTCGGAGAAGTATGTTTTTTCTTGAGCGGCAAACAGCCTCGTTCAGATACGTAAAATACTCACGATCAATTTGATATTGGAACGGTATGTTCGGTACTGGAACATGTAAATAAAGTTCGCTCTCCACTCTTTCTCTCTTGCTATCAGTTGTGCCCAGGACAAACGCATGCCAAATCTACTGTACCTCGTATAGTGCAAAAACAGGAACTTACATGCGTTAAGATTAAGAATCGAAGTACTTCCTGGACAGAACTGGTGGAGAGTGTCGATCAGGATTGTAACCAACCATGCTCCGACAAAGAAAGCAATCCATCCAACGTGTAAAAATAGGTTAACCGAACAAAATACCATCTCTCTGCTGTAGAGGATCGCACTAATTAGGGGATTTCAAGTGTAAATGGCGTTTAGCTTGGAAATAAAATTGTCTAAACTCGCTCCCAGCGATTCTTAGAGAATGTCAAAATTTTTGCCCACTGAAATTCTATGGTACGATTGACGAATATAATAATATTTCGCCGTGCTAAAATCTGCATTGCAGTGCACAATTCCAAATGGTGTGAGTCTGTGAGACCCGGTGAGTCAGTTTTGCTCTCGGACTCTCGAAAAGTACTGGACCACATGAGTCACACGCTCACAAGCGGCCGATTTCAAAGCAATAATTTAAAATGCGTTTTTTTCAACATGATACGCTTGATAGCGCCGTTCACATAAATCAACAAATTAAAAATAAGGAGTGCTTATTAGTTATTACTTATTAGTTAATAGTGGTATCAAAATTAACTTAAGTACTCCGATTGGTAGTCACTTGGGTTTATTTAAAATGTATTCATTAGGAAACTGCCAAACTGGCTATACCAAATTGAATAATAAGCACTACGGTACTCACAGAGTGCATTAATATTGGACGGAATGGCAGCCATGGATGAGCCGGGGATGATAAAGCACGCTGGGCCTGCGGTCGAAGGTGAAAGGCCGAGGACGTCGACATGCCGGTAGTATCGATGGTGCTAGTAACGGGCCGGGCGTAGGGAGACGCGACACAGCTGTATCCATCGCGGAGCTTAGCGAAGACGCTCTGAATGGCGTCACCCACGGAATGCAAATGACCTTGGTGGGGTCACTGCCACCAGAAGCCGCATCGATCCGTCTGCTGGGATACGAAGTGCGTTGGGATTCGTCTCCACGCATGGCTAAGTTGGCTAAATATGGATGACAATTTGGTGTTCAGCCGCTGTAGTTTTTTCGACGGATCATAAGCGGTCATCCGACACCCTTATCCGCTGTAGCAGCATGGCCGGTTCACCTTTGGCTACACATGGAGTACAATCCATATTCATTTTGGTGGTTACAGTAAAGAATTTACACATTTGTAATCCATAAGCCCATATACAAAGCGTACTTTATCGTTATGGTTTCATTCGACGACTACCAATGATTTAAGCAGTACACAATAATTATTTTCAGTTTTTGAGAGCATGCAATAACAACTGCCCGAAACAAGCTGCGCACCCTACCAGTTCTGTTGCGCAAAGGTCAAACCGGTCATCCAAATATTCCAGTAGCGTTGCTTCCGCACATGACTTTCCCCAATCGCATTCGCTCTTTCTTGGGGGTAACACTCAGTTAAATAGCAGCAACTTTTGCAGCTGCATATACGCAGGATGCGAAGTTGAACAGAATACACCACTCGAAACGGTGGGTTTCTCCAGTATTTAGCCAGCGTTTGTTCGGATTCGAATCCAAACACGCAGTCTTACGGACCATCACTGAAAACAGGGAACGGGTAACACCGGATGTTGGGTGTTAACCACAGCAGTCGATCGATGGAGCTAGAAGGAACTAATGTGGCTGTACAAGATCCGAAACCGGCAAAGCTATACTTGTGCAGTTCCAGCGTACATGTGGGAGCTGATTCCGTTTAAAGAGACCAACGCGAGGTATGTCCTCCGCGGAGAGACCCGGATCGACATGGCCGCGGGGTCACGGATTGGAAAGATGACCGTATAAGCAATGAGGCTGAAAACCTTGTTTGATAATTACTTGTAGCGGAAAAAATAATGGCCCTGAGTTTTTTGTTGTGGATGTTAAGGAATACCTGTCTTTTCTTAGATCTACGAACCATTGGTGATGTTCCTTATCTCGGTTCCTGACCAGACTCTTGAGTACCTCGAGGGTTTGTCTGCTCAATGAACAAACTAAACTGTGGCTAGTACACAGTATCAGTATTTCGTTTCTAGAGCAAGCATCACTTTATTTGGATTATTAAAAACACTACGTAATGGTCACAGTGAACAGTATTAAAAATCAAAACAACTCCGGCAGCAATTTGACCCGGCAAGCCGTAGACGTTAGAGAACTTAGCATACGAAGTACCTGAAATCTAAAAATAAGCAGATGAATATTTACAAGTCGGCTTTCGGTGGCAGGTAGTTTAGGTGATGCAATGGGTAACCGTGAACGGCTGTATTGATGACTGTCCGTAGTTCGTATGTCCAGTAAAAAATCCTTTGTATCATTGCATCCAGATTGAAAATGCAGTATGTACTGCTCGTCTTTGCAGTAAACGCAGTAAAAATCACCCGCGCGATATGGGCTGCGCACATCAAATCGAATCGGCCATCCAATCTTAACAGCGTTTCTTCTGCACATAGTTGTTCCAGACTGCGTTCGCTGTTTCAGGAGGATGATACTCAAACAGCAGCATCTTCTTCAGCGCAGAAATCTTTGACTGACAACGCATGCAGACAATTATACTCGCAGTGGCTATGCCGATAGACAGCAGCGGAGCCATGAGTAATTCTCGGCCAGAGATCTTCTCAAAATTAAAGGTCACCAACCCCAGCAGGCCTAACGCATAGTCGAAATCGTGTACGACAACGAACAGTTGCACGGCCACTGCGCATACCCATCCAACAGCGCAGCAAATCGCGTAGTGCTGAATGTACTGCTCTAGATGGCTGCTTCTGTTCCAGCATTTGATCAGCGTCTGCCTCGACTTTAATTCCAGCGTCGAAAAAAATCTCCAAGCATGCATTTCGCTTATGACGCCCGAACCCATTAAGCACGGACCAAAACTACCAACGCATCCAGCTGGACCGTTGAGACTTTGTAGGATAATCCAGAAGTATTGGCAGAAAAAGCCTTCACGCATCTGAAAAGATTCCAGTTACCCTTGTATTATCTCAGCAGTCATACTGGACTTCAAAATGATGGTTACGCATAGCCATCCATACGCAAAGCGCTGTGCACAAGTACTTACATCTTTGTGTCGTTCACTGTAGAGATATACCGAAAACCGGTAAAGAGCGCTTCGGCTCATTTGAAAAAGGTCTACCTTTAATTGTACAATAGCACCTACCGGGTGGCCCAACAAAATGGCGGTCTAGTTTATCAGTGTAAACTGGCCCCGCCCAACGTCCGATTGACTTCACATTAGATTGTTTTGAAAGAGCAATGTTTAAGACATAGAACTGCTTAATCGTACTTAACGTAAACAAAGATTTAATTTTTTTGTAATTTATTTTAATAAAATAGGTGGATTTTGACGGTGTCCCAGAACCTAAAATTTGGATTTCCCCATTTGCGAATTAAAAATTGCTATTATTCAACTTAGTAGGTTAAAGATTGTCGCTTTAGTATTTAAGGTAGAGGGGTTGTTTCTTGTTTTTTTTTAACGTAAAGGGATACGGTATTTTGGTCACCGCGTTCGATCCAGAGACTAGAAAGCTGGAGCGCCGCACATTTAATTTTCGTGAAATCCCCCACCAGCATTTTCAGAACTGAATTTCTCACCAGCGCTGCAAGAGCGGATCTCAATCAAACTTGCTTCTAGAAGAGCAATACCTTAGCTACATATAACAGCTGAACCAACAAGTTTTGTTGGAGCCTGTCATGCAGCAAAAAAATTCCAATAAAATCACTCAAAAAATAGACAACAAATCGGCATTTTTTCGAAACGTGATTCGAGTGTACTGCTCCCCCACTGCTAGCACTATGGAGACGGCGTTTTGTATGCTGATATGGATCGTCCTTCTCTACATAAAACAGTTGAAAAAATCAAAATAGTTTCTATGGATAATAAATCACACGAAATTTTGTAGTTCAAAAGCTGGGTCATAATACGCTCCCGGACGATTTCAGTTGGCACAGTTTTTTGAGAGCGTGTTACAACTTTTCAACAAAAACTTTTTGACATCCTATAGCTAATAAAATTTGTAATTTAATGGATCTAAAACCATCGTTGTACGACAAATGGTTCACGACCAGCAGAACCAAAACTGAGACCGCCATTTTTTCGGGCCACCCGGTAGTGTTACATAACTTTAACTTCAAACAAAAAACGATAACTGATTCTCGTATAATCGATTGCTTAACGATTGCATATATGAGAAGGCATTCTAAAATTGTATATTTACCTCCGGATTTTCGCACTTAGCCAGGCTAGGCGTGGAAGAATAATATATTCTTCCCGCAAAGAGCCAGTACAGAACCGTCATTGTCACAACAAAAAGAACCACATATAAACCAATTAGCCACCTAAAATGCGATATAACAGATTCAATGCAAGAGCGTCTTATGCCAGCCCTTCGCGTATCTTTCCAAAGCTGTTGCTCATCAGACTGGAACACTTGAAAACGGTAGTGGGTTTCCGTGGGATGGTGCGGCATTGAAGACTCCTCCATTACTGATAATAACATTTTTGTAAACAATAAGACGATTGTAAAATTCGAGGGTAGATCTCGCTGCAGCAAATCACCCATCTGGGTTCTTTATTTAAACATCGATTTCGCATAAAGTATACTTAGTATACAATATACACAACTCTGCTACTGCGTACAAGGCTGCTAACGTTCCCCAGTAATCGATAATTTTAGAAAGACTTGTCCAGACCTTACTCATATACTAAGTGGCACTGGTAACCCAGTTTATGTACTGCGAGCGAAAAGGCTGGTAACGGACTAAGGCTGTCAGTTCAATCGATACTTTTTGGAACGCTCATCCAGATCTTACTAAGCGTAAAACCGGCAGGGAATTTGTGGTTCATGGCGGCAACGGGCCTGATTTCCAGGCAAGGAGAAGGACAGTCGCGTAGAGCTTTGTTAACCCATTAAGAGCATGCCTAGAAATCATCGTTGTGATATGCGAGAATTACGATCAAAATATTTGTATCAGCTACCGTAGCTGATTATCATAGTTCTGTATGTAAGCGAATACTGTCCATGCATGTGGCAAATTGATAGTTACAGTGGGATCAAGAGGTCATATTAATCACGGAGCCCGAATTTCTGGTGTTAAAGATAGACTCATAATTCGGTATATGTACGTATTTTTGCATGCGCTAATAAGACTGCAATATTACGTAAGTAATATTCCGTACAGAAGTACAATTATCTACAGAAGTAACACAACTATGCGTAACTAAGTATATCGTATTCGGTAAAAGCATTGTACATTGTACAATGTCTCGTGCATAACTGCATTCAGTAACGAAAGTCTTGGAACTCAAAAACCCAGTACAACATTTTGTCCAGTCTCTTAAAACCTTGCCACAGATTTTGGGTTGGATTATAACAGCTGGAATAAACTCTTAAAACTGTAATAAAAAGTGAGTATCACAAAATTAAACGAGAAAAGTCACAAAAGCGTTTACCGGACTGCCTGGGTCCGAAAACACGCTAAATGCAAAAACTCCGGCATCGTTACCAAATGTACACGTGCCGAATCCGATCACTAATGTATTCTTAACATATGCAATGAATTCAAACACATTTGATTTGAACGAAAAGCGTGGATAGGTCCAACTTCCGTTCATCGGGTCCGAGAAGGTTAACATGATGATAGCCTAAAAAGCGTCGAAAGTCAGTAGGACAAAGGTACCCTCAAAAACATCGCTTTTTTTTAAAAGCTACAACTTCAGCGTATTATCTTATCTAGTTTTTCTAATGAAAAATAATATAAAACAACGGTGTCGGCTAACTGTAAAATTGTTAGGATTTCTGACGCTTACAAAAAAGTCTTACCTCGCTGCACACAAGCAACCGGGATATTATACTGAGCAATCAAACACCGACTTCGATAATCCATATCTCGAATCTCGAACCGTAATACCGCCAGATCAACATTCCGAATATCGAAAGAAAATTCCTTGTTCCAAACTGGGTTAAACCCTAAGCACGACATACAGCATTTGCGCATCATTCTATTTCTTCCCAGCCGAACCAACGTTCTCACCGTTATTCTTAACAGGCACTGTCGCCATCACCTCACAGTCTTCCGGGCATCCATAAATCTCCACAACCACAAAAGGATCAGATATCTCTTTTTCCCCGGCCACCGGCAGCTTGGGCAACTGCTGGGCACTGATGACTCTCACTGTGAGCTGCATCCGGCGGCTTTCACCTGGCGCGCTCGTAATGTTGCGCATATGCTCCGGCTTCAAGATATAGCCGCATCCACCGTTATTGCCGAAGAAAGCCCGGTAGATCTGCGTTTCTTTGGATTTATCCTGATAATTAAATGCCACAATCTGACAACCGGCATCCATGGCAGGAATGGGATTCATGTTGCTAGAGTCGGTACGGATACCGGCGGGATAAATGCGCACTAGATGCTGCGAGCAATGGCGGACAAAATCATCCCGCATGTTGCTGACCAGGGTGCGCATATTCGGCTCAGCAATATTATCCATTCGGTAATACTTCCCTACAAAGACAAGGTCCAAAGTAACGTCGTAAATATCCGTGCAACCATTTAAAACCACCATTCACCGCGCTAATAAACCACTTTAAAACCACCACCGCACTAATAAACCACTGTGTGTGGGCAACTTCCACTGGTTAATTTTAAAAAAATAACGAGGACCGAAGAAAAGTTTGCATAGATTACTCGCACGCACAGTATCTTTTTAAGCAACAATATCTTGCTTCATCGTGCATGCTTCGTTTATGTACCGTAATTCCAATTTCCTACTTATTCGTAATTTCAAATACCGTCGTCTCTGGCATAGAGAAATCCTCTAAACTCTCCTTCCTTAATGAAGACGCAGTCCGAAAAAGCTTTGGCTATCTGAAACTTGCGGCGTTTATCCTTCTCATGATGGCTAAACTTGACACGATAATGGGCGAACCGCTGCTCCCAGTCAGATTCATCCGTAAATGGTTCATAGATGGACAGGAAAGACATTTCGGAGTCGTCCTCTTGGTCGCTCACACACCCTTCCTTAACCTCGTAGAATTCAGCATCGTCAATAGCACCCGGAGGAAGCTTCTTGGCTGCCAAGAGGACACAGTTTCGCAGTTGTTCCGGAGAAGGGAGATTGTTCATATCCGCACTTTCCTTCTCGCCGACAAACAGCTGTTCCTTCAAAATATCTTTCAAGTATTCCGCCATCCGTCGCTGCTGTTTAACGGAGCAGTGGTTCTCCAGCGAAAGAATAAGAGGATAACTGTTTCATTAGAAACAAATAAGGTTTCACACTACTTCATAATTTTCGCGATTAAAAGAGCGATTTTTAATAATTCGTTCAGTGTCAGGCGATCGGAAGATCTACGACACAGCACAATAAAACAGAAACTTAATGCATACTCAGAATTAATAAAAGCATAGGATTTAATGGCTTTCAAGGCGTGTTTGAATTCCATCTTTGTGGTTAGTGTAAACCCGTGAGTGATCATGGGCTCTCCATCCGGCCCATCCCAACAATCCACTGCAATGCGAGCAGCGGTTTATTCACCTGTTACGGCCTAAAACTATCTTTTCATATACATATACAGTGAAACGCATTACGTAAGACTAACAAGTTAAAATAACGTAAGAATAACACATAATAAGTTGTCACACAGGTAGTTACCGGTAAGGAAGATTTATTGATATGTAGGTCAGTGTAAATTTTGTAAAAACTTACATTCAAGACATCGACATCCGGTTAAAATCGCTGAGATGTATCCTTCAATGCTTGTTGCACCAACTAGCTGCTTGTCCAATAAATACGTGTTGTGCTATCAAAAATTCAGCTGCATTTCCGAAGTTACGATCAGATCATGCCGATACACTTACCGAGGAAGCGATATAGTAATTCTGCAAAGGCTGTGTCATATCCTGGTAAACGGCTTGAAAATCTGGGTTGAACAGTCCCAAACGTGAACTTAACATTAAATCACGGAAACCTAAACCAAATTACTAATTACTGTTAAAGTTGTCAAAACGAAATGGAATTTTTTGCAGTGCGACTGCAAAATTTAGTAGTTACCGCTAAGACTCAACAGCTTGTTATCCCGATTTTCCTGAATGGGCTCAAATGTCTGGATCATCCATTCACAGGTTTCCACAAGGCTCGGTCCAGGATCACATTTATCATCACGCGCTTCTTGCTCAGTAAAGAGAAAGTTCTTCAGATCATTCACAGTCCAGAAGTCATACAATTCGGAAATGTACCTGTAAAGTATAAAGCATGATAAAGTATAAGCAGACAGATCTTCCACCGCGCTGTAGCTTACTGGCGAAAAATGTCCTTTAATTCCGGACGTTCGGATAAGAGCAGGTAAAACCGATGGAAACCTTTCATGTCCAGTGCATACAGTCCACTTAAAGTTCTGGTTGTTCCGGCTGCCTAAGAAGTCATTTCGATAGAACATCGACATCAAAATACCAAGTTAGCAAAACACAACTTTTGGTAATTAATACAGTTTAAAATGAAAAACACAGTACGTAAACATCAGCTTGTGTTCTATTAAACTGTTCCCGGAGCAAGTAAAAATAAATCGAAGGAAATCACAATTTCGTTAATATTTCAGAAAACAACCGGGCCACCAAGGCCACTACAAATCAAAAGAATAAATCCCTAAAAGCTCACCTGAAATATTTCCATGGCCTGTTGGCGAGAGATTTTCAGGTTCAGTCGGTCCATAAGTGTCATACATTCTTCGAAATTCAAAAGACCATCAGCAGATCGATCAGCCGCCACAAAGCTCTTTCGCAGCCACCTATTGTAAACGCAAAACATAAGACAAAAACAACGATTGGTGAATGCCGGCTTTCTCCATAACAAGGCGCTTTTCTCTATGCACCGTCGATAAATCAATGTTGTACACACATTTCCAAGCGTTTTTCCCGTTCCACTTGTTGCTTTTCATCGATCAGACGGCGCATGACATTAATCCACTTATCGCAGACATCTTTATCCGGCGCAATGAGATCCAATGCTTTACCGGAGGAAAGCACAATGGAGAAGCAGATGTCTTCCGGATATTTGCGGACAAAGCGTGCCGACTTTTCGCGCCGATTAAATCCATCGGTGGAATAGCCAGCACGGACTTCCTTAACTTCGTCCAAATCCACTGTCGAAAATAGATACAAAATTGCCAGCACATATTCAAAACATTAGTAGAAAATTCAAAATATTTGAAATTATTAAGGCAAAATAAAAACAGATTGCATGATCCTATTTTGCAGCAAATCACGGCAAATTTTGCAATATCGGCACTTCAACACGACTTCCCAAATTAATACTGTACGATCAGAACCTGTAGTAAAGAGCATACATCAGAAGTAACAGAAAATTAAAGAAAATTTATCTGACTTAAAAGCAGCGAAAAGATGGTGAAGCCCATGGTCAGGGTTTGTGTTCGGTATCACTTTAAGATTTACACAGACAAACTGTATCGTATGTGCAGAATTTCTAGAGTAGATTCGCGCCATGCAACATGAATGTCAAGGCCGAAACACTTTGTACGTACCTTGGCGATACTCAGATCTGGAGAAGCAAATCCATTTCCGCAGTGGGCAATAGCACAAATATTCCTTTTTGTTGTCGATGCAGTAGGTACGACGGTAAGTCCGGTGCGAGCCCAGCTTCAGCAGTGTATGTCCATCTTGGATGTCATGCAGAGCTCTTGTGTCTGTCAATGGACCAATACTCGTTTCAATGACCACCCGCTTTCGCATGAACGATTACGACATAATACTGGACGTTGTAGGATAAACCTCTAACGTAGATGTGCAAATTGGAAAACTTTAGGCGCTAAAATTAGAATAAAGTCTGCTCTGGTCAGAAACAATCGTACAAACAGCATCCTCATGATCATCCTTCTGTGGCTTCGGCTGTTCCTTCTTACTGCCGGAACGTCCCAGCGACGGCATTGGAATACTTAAACGTTAACAGAGATAGTCAAAATCAATTACAAATGCTGTGCTAAATGGAGTACGAAAATTTTACACTTGAACCTTTAATTTTCGAAAAAATAGTTTACACTTTTCACTTCAGAAAAACGAGCAAATGTGTAAAGTGTAAAACTGGAAAACAATCAAAACGTGTTGCATTTAAAATGTGGGCAAACATTTTTCTTGAATGTGCAATCACAATGCATACCATACCAGATACGGTAGTAAGTACTGGGCGCGGAGCCTTTGTGTGCCGTACATTCACCAGCCCAGCCCAGAGAAGTCTTCAGTTTCCCCAGTGACCAGAAATCATAAATGCACAGAAAGTTTCAAGAAACAAGAACAATTAATGTACTTACGTTTTAATAATCTTAATTTTGACTTATTTCGTGATTGTTATTGTTGTTTGTTTTCCACAGCGTCTCAGCTGAGGTGATTTACAATAAGCAGATGGCGGAAGATCGGATCGCCTCTCTTCGTGCAAAGATCCAGGCTCGTGATCTGATAGGCATACAGGCCCTGGAAGCGGTACTTACTCTGACACACAAGATACCGAAGAGAGTAATAAGTATGCAAGAGACCTGTGATGGATATGCAGTTGTTGTCGTTTTTGCAGGCACGATCTGCAATTCGTAAGCGAATAGAAGAGAATGCCCAATCTCTGGTTAGGGCAAAAAGAATCGTACAACGGGCTAAAGAATTAAATCGGAAGCATGAAAAGGGGAGCCAAGATTTTCCCTGTAAAAGGAAACAACGTCGCAAGTCTCCAAAGGATAAAAGCGATGATGGCGCGGACGTTACGACTGCAAACTAACGTGGTTCGTCCCAAAGGGCAGTACCCATCTGGACTGGAGCCTTCCTAGTTCCTGAAATAGCGTATGTTACTCGTATTTGGTGTTTCCGCACTTTGGAGTTGGTTTACAGTAGTGTGTTCCTTTGCATCGTATTGTGTGTTTCCCTACCGTATTTCTCCCATATGTGCCGAGACATAATACCCTTTTTAGCAGTTTATACTTTACCTTGTCGCTCTTATCTTCGATTATTAAATCTTCCGCGCGATGAATGTTGTCGTATCCAAGAAGTACTGCGACATGATGTGGGTCTCGTTTTAAGCTGAAAATAGTTTAGCTGCATAAGGCAGTCAACTGTTTTCGCTGTTATTATGCTGTACAGAGAAACGACAACGGAAACAACATCTCCTCGAAATAATCGCTTTTATTTCAATGAAATAAATGCTAATCAGCATCAAAACAAATCTCTAAAGGTGAGAAAAAGGGCATGAAACCCAGAAAAGCTAGGAAACGATGTTAACGGTTCCTAGGTTGGCACTCGAATGGCAAACACGTTCAAGCGTGTTTGGAAAACTGGCGAATGGTGAGCCGATCCAATGATGGTGAGGCGAACACGCCACTATCCTGTGCGCTACGCACAGCACTCTGACATGCAACGGGACGGGATGCCGAGGCCCCTTGAGGCTCAAAACAGGAATGAGAAAAAAACAGGGAAATGCGTGTTAAATGCAACGCAATGAGCAGTTTTTATTAAAAAAAAATGTGCCAATTATTCCATCACAGTTAGTGAGAACACACGCTGCAAAATGCGGCGTAAAATTAATCAAAACGAGTTCTAAACTCGTAACAAAATTCCGGTAAATTTAATCCGATTTAATCCCATTCCACACGTTAATCCGTGTTGTTTTGCAGGTTTATTCCGGAGCTTTTCCTCCAATCATACGCATTGTTGCGTCGATCCACGACATATGTGCAGCTTAGTGCATCTACGGCAATTTATTCATTCGATTTATGCAATTAATGCACTACGGCAATTCTGAAACTGATTTGTGCACTGATTTGTGCGTCTACGGCAATTCGTTTCTGTAATGATTGAAATAAATTCAATCTGGTGCACTCGTTGGGCAACTTACGGCGATTAAATATCAGTATATACATTGTATACATTGTACGCTCTTGCGATTTTTATTTTAGCATTTAATGCTTTTTTACGGCATTTGTACCTGTGGTTCCGCATTCAATACATTAAGAGCATCGCTCAATACGGTGGACGTAGCTCTAGCTTCGTCGCTATCTTCACACATGTCAGCATCCACCTCAGCTGCGGGGATAAGAAAATACAACGGCTCATCGTCGTTGTCAGGAATCGTGACAACACAAATGTCCAATTCCAGAAGAGTCTTATCCGGGTTATCGGCGGCTATCAATTCCCGCTGTTTTTCCCGCAAAGCTTGCCGGGACGGGAAGAGAAAATTATTCTCTATCGACGGCTTCTCGTCCGTCTCCATCGCAGCTTCTTGCTCCGTTGTCTCAGGAGTTTCCTGAATTGTCAGTAATTCTACTGACGCGGTTACTTCATTCTGCGGCGTTCCGCTTGTCGGTGCTGGTATATTTGCAGTCTCCACTGCCGGTACGGTGGTTACGGTATCAGCTGTTGGTACAGTCTTTGCTGTACTATCCGATACAACTGGCACAGCGTTAGCTATCTTCGGCGTTTCTTCACTTCTTACAGTGTCGTTCGACACTATCGGTTTCTTCAGTCCAGGCTGGACTGTTTTACTGGTTGACGGAGTGTCAGGGGAATTTGGAGCGACTTTGCGCTTTCCCTGGTTCTGACGTTCAGCAAATCGCTTAATGAGATCATAGATCCCGTCATAATGTCCATTATGGATAGCTTCGGTTCCCATCGATTTGCATAACTTGCAGAAGATCTTTAAGGACCTTTGCCTGCTGTTCCTCATTAAGAGGCTCCCCCATACGATTAACGTAACTCTTTAATCGGCGATTCTGCTCAGCCTGACGATATGTCCGGGCATAATGATGAGCGTGGCAATTGCCCATTAACGCGGAGAGGATAACCAGAATATACTTCTTTAATCCCCATCCGATAGGGATGGTGTCCCATGTGATTTTCATGGGAGCTATCTTACGCTGCATAGCGCAAGCGGCACGGCAGAAAAACCAGAACTTTGCTGGGTCCGTGTCCGGTAATATAAACTGAAGGAGGAATTCTTCCGGCTCTTCAGTAAATAGAATTTTGAATTGGGAAATTAATTCCCAGTCGACGACGGTAATCTCAATTAATTTATCTTTCAGCTGGGAAATATCCAGCGCACTGCGTAAACCATAACGGCGCGGCGTTTCATATCGCCTGATCTCCATCTGGCGGAACAGATCAATTTTATACATATTAATCGAATTTTTGATACGAATATCGTATCCAATTATACGCATCAAGTCCAGCGTATCCGTGATGGCCTTGCCAATTTCCGCTCGCTGATCATCGTTGACGGTGCCAAGTACTGACACAACACGATCAATATATTGATCAAGATCTCGACGAATAACGTCGATATCACGACGGATATGCTGTGGATGCGTCTTACGCTCGGGCATCAATAATACAGATGCGTCCGGCTGGTATTTAACCGGTTCACCGCGCGTTGCGCGGACATTCCAGTTCGGCGTTTTCTTCTTCTGAAATTTAACAGCTGCATTCAGTTTACCAGGCATTATATCGCCTTCTACAAACGAGTTATCTGGGTTTTCCCCACGTTCGGTGAGTTATAAATAATCTTCTGCCGAGTTTTACCACTAGCATTGCTAGTGTTGCTAGAATAACTAGCACCCGAGTTCGGCTCAGATTCGAAGACTGGTTCACTTACAGGTACGGGCTGCACTCGCAGCAATTGTAAGGACGGTTGTTGGTTTACTGGTGGCTTCCTGGTCAGCGGCGGAAGATTCGCTAACAACGGATTGGTTTGCCGTTGTTGTGGCTCTTTCGGTGCTGTTCCGGCTGGCCATGGACACGGAGTTATCGTTTTTGTCTCCGGGTCATATTTATAACTTCCACTGGGGAGATTTTGCTGAAGGTGAGCAATATGCTCAGGTGGCAAAGCACCCGGCGGTACTTGCAATGCCATGTTCGTATATCGAACTGGCTGTTGCTGCTGCTGCTGATATCCCGCTGGTGGCAGACTTTGCTGCTGGTATGGCTGCGGCGAAAACATAACTGACGGCTGCCATTGGCCATATGCTGGTTGTTGAGACGGCATTTGCTGTCCGCCGACATTCGTCGGATAATTCTGCAAATTGTGAGAATTATCTCTGTACGAGGAGGGTTGATTACCCGTATTAACCGGGAATATCTCAAAATTCCCACAAGTACTATTCACAGGAATAGTTACCTGATTCGGTGGTGCTGTGATGCATTGCATCAAATTAGCGGTATTCCGTCCGAAGTTCTCCGGGTGAGTCGCACACGACCATTCGTCGGCTTGGTCACTGATGAACTTAACGGCGCTCTTGTGAATGCCATTATAGTAATATGGCGAGGCGCAGACAATCGTCCAATACTCCGGCAGCGTTATGGTGCGATACGCATCCAGGCTGCGCATGAGTACTTCGTCGAACAATCGGGAGACAACGACTTGCGGATTATCCGATCGGTAGTTGGGTCCCAGCGTGCATTCCACGCATTTACGGTTATTTGTATTGTTTAAACAACGATTGCAGGAGCGCATTGGCGCACAGGCATACGGTAATTCCTCCATTTCTGCAAATAATTTAAAATAATTAAATTAAGCAGTATTTACGGCGTTTTAATATTATTGCGTAGTATACGCATCTAACCACCTCGGAGATACTTTTATTTAATTGTCTTCTTCACTAGCGTGGTCTAATACCACGGATAATACCATCCCCGCGATGCGGGTCATTCAGACCGATTATTCTCGGGTCGCTAATCAAGCGACTTATCGCCAGACTTACGGCGTCATCTACTTGGTTAGCTATGGCTGGGCATACAGTCGCAATATACTGTATGATTTCGTCAGGCGATGATCCGAAGGGATCACCAATTTCTGCAATCGTTTTTACAACGATTTCATCCCACTCGGGAACTTTATCGAACTGCACTTTTTGCAGAAAAGATAAACCCTTACGACCGAAATATTAAGACGGCGAAGTCTCGCCATTATAGCGGCGGGTTATTTGGGAATCTTCATACATCGTTCGAATCATCGACTGCACAGCGTACGGTTGATAAGTACCGAAATACTCGCTTATCCGCTGTGCTGTGGGATTTTCCCCTCTCTGTTCAATTTTATATATGGCGATTGCCAAATCATTACGCGATGGCCGTGCCAACAAATTTTTCTGTTCATCCTGTGCTATGGGCCTTCGCCCGAATGGAACGCGCTTTGCGGGTGAATACGGTACTTCTTCCACATGTTGACCGGTTAGTTCGGCAATCCTTTTGCGGTTAGTTTCCACTAGGGCATATCGCCCACTATTCCCGGCCAGGGCCGCATCTACGATTATTCCCGTGGCGATTGCCTCATTAACTGCGGTAGTGACATCTGAGTAACGCTGCTCAGGATTGACTGAGTCTAATGGCATTGTTAGGTACATATACCGAACAATCTCATCAATGGTCGATCCACGAACATTATGGATGTCCCTAATGGCAATTGCCACTGCTTCTACCATTTTCTGCATGTTGTTGACTCTCATGTCGACATATCGACTTTTACGATTTGCGGTTATCGCATATTTCATCGTTGGTGACCAATTTTCATAAACTTCCACCAACGTACCGCGCTCTGACGCTATTTTTACGATGGAAGCGTATTCCTCGGTATCAATAGGCCGGGGGGCCAAAATCTGTCTATATCTCTGCTAAAGATAGGCCGGTGCCGCCATCTTATCCCTCTTCCGGATACTATTTATGATATCCAATGTTATCGTCGTAACATGGGCTATCTGGTCACTAGACACCGGTTTCAGTGGTTGTGACGGCCCAGCCTTTGCTGGTGGTTCTGGTTTTGGTTCCGGAATTTCCGGGGAATTGTCTCTACCATTAGACTCATCACTCCCTTTTTGAGCCGTTGTACTACAACGCTCGTCAATCATGAGCCGCGGCTGTTTGTCCTCATCCGAGGATGATGAGGGCTGACGTCTCAGTCTTTCCCGAACCTGAACGACACGCCTTTGCGTCTCTTCCCTTTCTTCTTCTAATTTACGCTTTTTATCCTCTTCGCTAGGCGAAGTCGTGCTTTGCACACGATACGGGTTTGTCCTACTGGATATTGCTGCGCTAGCAGCGGGCGACGGTGTTCGCGTTCCTCCCAACTGAGGAATTATATAATCTAATTCCTTCTTTATTTGTACCAGTGTCCCGGTGCGTGACTCAGCTGGGATTTTCCCTTGCGAATTCGGAGTTTGCTGCCCAGAACTTAGCTGGCGTGAGATCGGTGCTTGCACGACTCCTAACGGAGTTGGAAACCGAATTACTGGCTGCTTTGAGCCATGCTCTTTCCAGAACTCCGGGGGCGGTTGCACTTGCAACTGTGAACGGATCTGAGTCAACACCTGCGGCGTGTTATACACATGCTGCGGTATCGTAACTACTCGAAGTTCTCTCCCATTCGGAGCGTCTGTTTTCGTCGGGGCAAAAGGGCCTTCCATTATGAAGGATTGTCCCCAACGTTGCCTATCTCTGGCCTCTTGCCGCTCATGGTCGGCGATCAGCTTTGCTAATCGCTCGTCGGCGTCTGCCGGTGGTTTCGGTTATTTACTCCGTTTAGGCTTCGCCCTCAACGCTTTCTCTACTCCTTCCTTTGAAGGTGATTTAATCGGTTTTTTCACAATCGACTCGTAAGGCACTTCTTCGACTTCTTTTGAGGTCCCTGCCGCATCACTTTGTGCTTTTGCGCGCGCTACGATGGCCTTTGCCAACCTTTCCGCAGGCGGAGTAATATGCAGTTGATCAACTGCAGCTATTTCCTCTGGTTGGGCAGCAGTCGCTGCCAATGAGTGTCTGTACGATGCCAAGTCGCGTTCCCGATTACTTCGTAAAATTAATTCATATTCGGCATATGATGCCACTATTACTGGATCAGTCTGCGTGCTACGTGACATAGTCACTGGAATTACTTCTGGTGCCACATTGGGCAAATTACCGGCGTTTTGAACATTCTGGACATTTGGGGCAGCAATTCGCTGCATCGGACGGTAAGCTTGATTTCCCGCTACGGGTGGGGCGAAGAATCGAGGATTACCTCTGCCAACCGGTCGGTTCGGTCGCTGATCGCGGTCCATTGCGGAAATATCTGCAATGGAAAAAAATACACAATTTAATTGTGGATTTTTGTACGGTATTTTGATTAAGCTTCGCTTTCCTATCTTATTTCAATTAAAACGATCGTTTTAATTTATCATTTTATTTCTTACGCACTTTGTACGGTAGTTCAATAACTACACGGTTAACCCTAATGTATCCATTAGCGCTTTTGCGCAGTTTCAACATGAATCGCTTTTTTGGTACTGATTTATTAGCGCTATTGCGCTGAGTATTACTATCACCATCGTCCACGGTTTCCCATTCCTCTGTATCGTTTACAGGGGAATCATTCGCAGGATTATCTGCGGAGGTACGGACCACATCGTTATGGGGAAGTTCGCTCAGTCCGTGACTTTCTAACAAATCTTTAATTAGTAAAGTCTCGCTCTTGCGGTCTTCCTCTGTAGCTTTGTACGGTTTAAGTCTTTCACAGTTTACAATTCTAATTTCTTCCGATTTATCGGAATTAATTCTCTTTATTTCCACAGCATTTGTGTATGGAAATCCCACGATTTCCCACGGTTCTATTTCGAATTTACGACGGAAAGACTCCGTTTCGCCTTTCTTTTTCTCTATTTTGAGAATAACTCGGTCTCCTATGTTATATGTATCATCAGATCGCCGTTTGTCGAAACGTTCGGCATTCTTTTCGAATTCTGTATTTATATGGATTTCGGCGATTTCACGAGCCCGTTTCAAATTATACTGGAGATCTTCCAGGTAGTCCCGAATTGTCGGGTGATCTACCGGTAAATTTGTTTTTGTTTCTGTATCTGCAGGAATAACCTGCTCTCTTCCGTATAACATAAAGTAAGGTGACATATTTGTCGTTTTATTTGCTACCCGGTTTTTTCCAGCAATAACGAACGGTAGGACTTTGTCCCAATTTCGCTCGCGGCCATCACTGGCGTACATCGCGAGTGAATCGGCAATTGTTTGCATTTGTCGTTCGACAAGTCCGCGCCCGATCGGGTGATACGCAGCACCAAAATGGTGCTGTATTCTTAAACGTTTATTTATTGCTTCCAATAAATGGTTATGGAAGTGTGTTCCTCTGTCTGTATTCAATATCTGTGGTGTCCCGTAAGGCAAGAACACGTCATAGATTAAGAAATTAGCGACAGTTTCCGCTTTTGCATCTGGTATCGGTTTTGCAATTACGAATTTCGTGAGTTCGTCTATCGCTACGGCGATATAGGTATTTCCCCGTGTTGTTTTGGGCAATGGCCCTTTTAAATCTACTTGCATTCTAAACCACGGCTCGCCGATAGCGAGCTGCTGCAGTTTGCCGGGTGGCGCTTTGCGCAGTGTTTTGCGATGCTGGCATGCAAAACAATGATCTACGTACTTGATAATCTGAGAGACCATATTCTCCCAGAAATACCGCAAGGCGATCGCCTGATAAGTTTTGGCGCGGCCTAGATGACCGCTAGCTGGTGCATCATGCATTGCATGCATGATGTCGACTCTCATGTGCTTTGGCACGACAAAACGGCGGTTAATTCGGCCGTCTTTCTCTGAAATCTTATATAATACACCATTCCATAATTCATAGCCGGAATAACCGGGTCGTTTTAATAAGTGTACGCTTTCTACGCGTCCTTCTAGCGCATGAATTATGCGCTCCACATTGGGATCTTTCTCCTGTTCGGTACGATAAAATTTGAAGTTGTCTTCAACTTCCTCATGATCGGCTCCATCCTTAATCGTTACTACACGAATAGTCGGAGTACTGAATTTAGAATCTTTAAACTCATCCCAGTCATCGTCTGGGCATTCTATAGCTTCTCCTACCGGGTGTCTACTCAACGCGTCAGCGTTATCACACTGTTTTCCCGGTCTATACAGTATAGTCATTTTATGGCTGCTTAGCTGGAGTGCCCAGCGCGTTAAACGGCCATTTAACCCCTCTTTGCGGGAAACCGATCTCAATAAATTAGTTAAAGCCTGGTGGTCAGTCTGTACTGAGAAATGCGAGTACTCAATAAAGTGTCGAAATTTTCGACATGCAAAGACTACTGCCATGCACTCTAGTTCCGTAATCGGATACTTTTTCTCAGCGTCTGTGAGCAATTTGCTCGCATAAATGATCGGGTGTCCATCTTGGTGCAATATCGCACCAATTCCTATTGTGGATGCATCGCATTCAATTACGGTCGGTTTACTTGGATCAAATTTTGCCAGTACTGGTGCATTAATTAATGCTGATTTCAAATCAGCAAATTCACTGTCGTGATCTATCGACCAATTCGCTTTCACATCAATTTCTCCTTTTAATAAGCCGTATAGACGGCGTGTTCTACCGGCAAAATCCTTAACGAATTTCCGGTAATAATTACACAGTCCTTGGAATGACCTCAGATCTTTTTCTGTCTCTGGCTTTGGGTATTTCTCAATAGCTGCTATTTTATCAGGATCTGTTTTTATTCCGTCCTTGGACACAATATGTCCAAGGAAATGTAGCTCCGTTTCGCCAATATGGCACTTACTCGGTTTCAATGTGAAACCAGCCTTTAAAAGGCACTCACACATTAAACGTATTTTACGTTTAAGATCTGCGAAGTCTTTAGCGGCAGCAATAATATCGTCCAAATAAGCGAAAATATTTTCGCAATGGACGTCCGACAGTGTCCTGTTCATGGCTTCCTGAAACGTTGCAGGGCCATTACAGACGCCGAACGGCATTCTTAAAAATTCATAGAGTCCGTCCTGCGTAATAAACGCAGTTTTTTCTATCGAATCTTCGTGCATTTGCACCTGCCAGAATCCGGCATTACAATCGAAGCCACAATAGTATTTATTGTCAGCTACTGCTTGCAGTAACTCATCCGGATTAGGAAGAGGATAATTGTTCTTTTTCGTAGCGTCATTTAATTTTATATAGTTCACGCAAAATCGCGTGCCGATAGTTCCATCGGGATTTTTCTTACTAGCTAATACTACGGGAAAACACCAGGGAGAATTCGATTTTCGAATTATCTCTTTTTCCAGCATTTCGTTTACATGCTCTTGAATGATCTCGCGGCCTCGCCACGAGGTTCTATGCGGTTTACATTTAATCGGTGCAATATCACCGGTATCAATTTGGTGCTTAACTATTTGGACATCGCCAAACGGGCGGGTTTTTGTTGCAAATCGGATATTCAAGGAATATTTCTTTAATTTCTCGGATTTCCTGTGCGGTTAATTCAGGATTTATTTTTAATTCGTCAACTGCTTTTATCACAGTCTCCTGTTCTTCTGGTGTCATTTCAGCCAACATTGTGGCATTAACCTGGATATTTATATCAGGGATTTCTTCGTACGGTTCTAAATAGCCAATAAATTGGCCTTTCTTAATTGACTGCCGCTGATGTTGAAAGTTAACGAATACCATATCAAATTTTTTATTTTGTGGTTTAACCACTCCCTCCATCGGTTTTATCCGCCGTTCCATATACAGGTGCGGACTAGGAAGGAATAAAAATTTATCAGTATCGAACTGCTCATCTGCATCGAATTGGACATTTACTGTCGCCCAATTAGTACCCGGATTAATTAGTAGTTTTTCGCCGGCGAAGACTTTAATAGGCTTAGCGCGTGTGCCGCGGTAAGTGGGGTTAATGCTCGGAGACTCGGAAAATTCCCAAGTCGGAGATTCATTAGTGATCACGGCAGAATCAGTGGGCCCTACCAATTCTGCATTTACGATAATTAAATTGTTAGAATCCGGTACTACTTCGATGTTAGCTTGATTAATTAAATTATTGTTAGTTTCGTTACTAGCGGCAATATTGAGGGAATTCCTCACTACGATAGGCGGATCATCCTTTAAAAATTCAACTACCTGCGCCATCGGCGCGAAACTGACTGATCGATTATGGTTCGCTACGGTTTTAACATCCGTTTCATTTACGTAATTGTTGAGCGGTTTACACTCGTTCAGCTGGTACGGCAATACTGGCAATTTACGCCGTTCTAATTGCGCCAATATGCGCAAAGGTGTCCGTAGTACATACGGTAGCGGTATTTTAAAATATTTAAAAATTTCGTTTAGGTGTCTCTGTTTCTCCTCCAAAGCGGCGTACTCCGCTCTGTACTGCTTAGCCAAATTACGAACAATTTCTTCTGCTTTTGCAGAATCGATACCGGGCACCGGTGTTTCATCGTCCAGGAATAAATACATGACGTTAGTACCGTCTTCTTTAGCTTTAATTAGGTCTTGTATTTCTTTTATGAGTACTCTGTACTCCCCCCCCAAAGACGTCGAGACGTCGCCTTTGTGGCTAACCGGGCTTTTATCTGTTTTTTTAATACCGGCTTCTGATTGCCGACTGGTTTCGCTACAATCCCTACTGTGGCATTTGCCACGGGTATCGGGGAAGACTTCATTCCCTTCTGGTACGGCACTTTCCTCTGCTTGTAGCTCCTCTACGGACTTGTCAATTTCTCCCGTTGCCACGGGTATCGGGAAGACTTCTTCCACTACGGTGTTTGTCGTTTGAATAACCGGCGACGCCGGTTCGTTCATTATTAACGGTCCCGGTTTCTTATCGGGCTGATATTCTAAATATCGCAATTTGTTGTGCCGGACGGCATAAAATTTATCCAGCAGGAAATCCTGCCCCAACAGTACTTTTACTTCATCGGTCGTTGGCTTAATATAAGCCGAATGCAAAGATTCGAAATCTTTAATTTTAATTGCTATTCTACAGTAATGTGTTTCGAGGAATCCACGGACTCCTCCGATACCGCGAATATGTAGCGGTTTAATTAATGGTATTCTTGCAGCTTTAATTTCGTTTGCAAATTCACTAGAAATTAGTGAAGTCTCCGCACCGGTGTCAATCATCACTGGTACTTCGCAATAATTTATTATTGCTTTCAGCATTAATGGTGCGGTTCTCTTAGGTTCGTCGTTGTCAGTTAAAGTTGTAAGGTTAATATCAGCATCGCTGATATCCGATAATTCATCGGCATCCATTTCGACTACTCGTAATCCATTGATTACAGTTTCTTCGGTTTTATCCGGCGGTTTGGGTGGAATCGGGTCGGTAAAGCCGGAATTTACCGCCCCTACTCGTTTTCCTGATCGGCCAAACCGGAAAACGGATTATTATCCGGTAACGGTGATCCTGGCGTCGGGCGTATCCGATCTTCTACTGTGCCAGTACTCTGGCGGGAATTACTCCTCTGCCTGGCTGGCGAATTAGGCTCACTTCCTGACTGACTGCCGTTACGGCGCTGATAGAAATCGGCGGCATATCGCCGATTTCCGGTTTCTGGATCGTGATAGGCTAGGTATGTCGGATTTTCACATCGCGGTTTATCGCGGAACTGACAGTCTCGGAAGTAGTGCCCGCACAAATCACAATGCTGGCAGTACTTCACCACTCTATTGCCACGCAGAGTTTTCTGCAAGGCCGGCGACCGATCAGTCGCTTCCTGTATTTTACTGGCATTGTTAGCCCACTGTTCCTTGCGCGAAGGCGCACGATTATCCCCACCGCTATTGCGACTATCATAACTTTCAGCTTTGCTAATATTACTCTGACTGCTAGCGGCACGACTGCCGTAGTTAGATTTTCCGCTATTTTTACTACTTGGCCGCGGCGGGCTGGCTGCCGCTGCCGCATAAGTCTTTGGTTGTACTTGTACAGTTCGTACAGTTACTGCCTCGCTATCGCGGTCCTGTTTGCGTCGGACGTTGCCAACAGGAATTACATATTTCTCAGGATTGTTTGACGACAAATAGCGGATTATTTCCAGAAATTGTTCTGGTGTTAGCGGTCTTATTATCTCTATTTTATCGTGCAACTTCTCGTGGGTTTTCAACCCTTTTACGAGGAAGTTTACGACTTGTTCCGGTGATCCGTTAAATCCCGCGCGATCGCGCAATGTCATCATTGACTGATAATGTTTCCAGAGTCTCTTGACCTGGCTTATACATACGGTTTGCTAATTCAGCGAGCGCATTTACTGCTCTTTTCGAGTCGCCAAAACGGGCGATTAGTTGTTTCTTCCACTCTTTATAAGTTGTCGGCGGCGTCGCCGACGTTATCAACCCATTATACCAAATAATGGCATCGTCTTTAAGGCAATACGCCAATTCAGTAATCTTCCTTTCGTCAGTTACCCAACGATTTGCGGTTGCCGCGTGCTCAAATTTAATAATAAAACTGTCGATGTCCTCTTTACTACCATTGTAGTTGGGACGCGGTACGGGCTGTCGCATCACTTCAGCCAAATCCGATTTTCTCACGGGACTTACGGTCCTGCTTTGTCCGATGCCCGCTCGCTGAATTTCTTCCCGCAAAATACTGCGGATAAACTGCTGCTTGTCAGCACTCGGCATTTCCCGGGAACCACTCTCGTTCACTGCCGAGGGTGTATGCTGTACACGGGATGATTCTGCTTCAGTGTTAGCGGCATAAGCCCTACTAAGCGGCCGTTCGCCGTATTCCACTGCCTCTGGATTCATCTGCCGGTCATACAGTACTCGATAATCCCTCGCAAGGGAATTGAATTTCCCAATAAGGGACTTATGCTCCGTTTGGTTTTCGTACAGCATAGACTGCACATTCTTCAGGTCTGTTACGTGATTAAAATTAGCGATTTTCAGCCGCTGATTTTCTTGCCATACTTGATCAAGCATGGTGTCTTCTTCAGCTAATTGCTGGTTCATCTCGGAGTTTCTAGCACGAGCTTCATCTACTTTTGCCTTCAGTTCGGCGATTGCCGCATCCTTTTCGCCTATTACGGCCCTCAGGCCTAACACAATCTTTTCCATATTTTTAAAGGAATTGTGGGCGTGCTGGTACTGATTTTTATGGTGTTGTACTTCGTCTTCAGCTACTTCTAGCTTTCTTTGCAAATCTTTAATCGCTACCTGATTAGCCGAAATTGTTTCGGTTGCCTGTTTTAATTCCACAACGGTGGAACCTGTTGCCGGCTTAGCCGCGGAGGTCAACAATTCATTTAAATTAGCAGTGTATGATTGCGTTTTACGCAATGTACTCGGTACTACCGTCACAGGTTCTTCTTCTTCCGTTGTTACGGATTTATTTAGTTCGCTTTCGCTTACATGGGTGAATGACCCCGTTGTGGCAGTGGATTCCGTAGTACTTTCAGACCGTTCCGGCGCAGGCGCGCGTTCCTCTTCCCGATTATCGGGATTAACTTGTCTAACTTTGTCTGGCGTCAACGGCCTGAAAAACAACTGATCAGGCGGCTCCATCACGGGCGTATCAAGGAGATTATCTCCTTGATCCATTCCGGTCACTTTACGCGGTTTACGGGTTTTATCTTGGAGGACTTTGTGGGTAATTTCCACACCTGCCTCCTTCAGCTGGTTTGCCTTACTACGAGTAACTTTATCCGGTTGTGGAGCTCCGCTTGTACCAGCCTTTGCTGGATCGTCAGTTATCCCTTTCAGTACTTTACTGGCTGACTTTAGGACGTCTTCTACGCCCTGTTTCAACCTGTCAATGGCCTGGGCTGTAAATAGCCTGCCCCACGCAATTCTATTAGGCTGCTCTGCAGCTACACACAAAAGAACGGCTATCGCTGATAGGAATCAGCTAGTTCTTTGACATGACTTTCAGACAGAATCGGGGAAATCCGCTCCACTGAGCCATCGCTCCGTTACAAATAACCTTTGCAAATAGTAATTTGTGTGCTCCGTTAATAATCAAATCAAACAATATTCTCGAAATAGAACGATCGTTCTCCTACAGAAGGATGTCATCCAAATACACCACAACGATATCTGTTACAATAATCCGTACAACTCTGCCATCTATTACGATAGCCAAAACTTTCTTCATTTTGGACTGTACAATATGCAGTTTAGTCGAGAGCGATCGTTCTCTTCCTTCCCCGTTTTCATAAAACGTTAGTTTCTATAAGACACTATTTTCTGGACAGAAATAATCCGTCCTTTAAGGAATTTATCCTAGTAAATTCAAAATTATAGGCTTAATGCCTACCACTTTGATACGTTGTCCGCGGTTCTTCTCCTTGCTGGCGGCCGCGTGCCTTCCGAACCAGCGACGCTCCTTGCTTCTGAAGTAGGGTTCTTCTTCTGCTGTTGCTGGGCTATCGCTGGTAAGCCAAGGTCTCCACCAAAGAGAGGAAACTTCCGTGTTACGGCGTGTTCAATGTGACGCCGTTATCGAGTGCAGAATGTCAACAAAACTACGGGAATGACAGGGATCTTAAGGCATCTCCACCATCTCGGAGAAGCGTCTACGCTGTACAGAGAAACGACAACGGAAACAACATCTCCTCGAAATAATCGCTTTTATTTCAATGAAATAAATGCTAATCAGCATCAAAACAAATCTCTAAAGGTGAGAAAAAGGGCATGAAACCCAGGAAAGCTAGGAAACGATGTTAACGGTTCCTAGGTTGGCACTCGAATGGCAAACACGTTCAAGCGTGTTTGGAAAACTGGCGAATGGTGAGCCGATCCAATGATGGTGAGGCGAACACGCCACTATCCTGTGCGCTACGCACAGCACTCTGACAATTAGGTACTTAACTTACCTCATACCTGTGACTTGTAAGTGATCCTAACGTACGTACTCTGATGATTTTATAGTTTTAATACTTACACTTTTTGTATATCTACAGACTAATATATACCACACAAGGACGTGAATACATTTAAAGCATTTATAAATCTTTAAAACTTAAAAAAGATAAGAACAAGCTGCAAAACAGCACCGATAAAAATCTAAGATTCAATTTTGATCGACACGGGGTTTGCATCACTGACAAGCAGGAAAAGCTGCCAAATGAAAGCCCGGGCAAAGGCACCGCAAGAAAGGCAACCGGAAATTCGTTTCATGCTCCTCTTAAGCAGTAAAATATCATAATGCTCGATAAAAATAATGTATATATTCGCGGACTATTCCGCATCCAAGGCTTCTCGGATTTCTTCCGGAACGATAACAAGTTTACGAACTTCAACAAAGATAGATGCCATTTCCAACGGCAAATCGTTCTTGGTATACAATTCTACATGACGGTATCCTGCAAACATCGTTTAAATCAATTCATCCATATGGTCAGCCGGACAAAAGTTACCTTCTTGCAAACATCCAACAGCAATTGTATGCTGCCCAATGAGTTTATTCTTTCCCACATTAGCCTGATCGCGCACCTTAAAGCGCAATACAGCTAATTCGGGACTTCGAATGAACAAATCGACAGTCGTGTCCCATACCGGATTAAAACCTAAAACAGCAAGATAAATAAATCAAAACAAATCTCATTAAACGCAGTAAACCAAAGAGTGCTATAAAAATCTTAACTCCGACCGGTTACTACGAAATTGTATGCATAATATGCAATCAACCCATAATTATGGACAATTAACCGGATACTTAGTTAGCGGTGACAAATAAAATCGATAAATTTTTTTAGTAATCCAGTAATCGATCAAGATGGCAACTGTACCGTTATTTTTGATAAATTTCGTGCTCTTCTTCTGTTGATCAAATTCAGCGCCAACAATCTGCACAACAACATAGGGATCAATGATATCCGACAACGCCGTTCCCACCGGTTTCGGTAACTGTTGTCCACTGATCACCCTGACAGACAACATGAGCGCTGGACGCATATTCTTGAAAGCGTTATAATCTAATCCCGGGGTTCGCATGTACTCCGGCTGCAGTATGTAACCACATCCGCCATTGTCCCGAAAGAGAGCGCGGTAGGCTTGCGTCGGACGATTATGATTCTGGTAATTCATGGCCACAATCTGACAACCCGAGTCCAGAAGGGGAACGGCATCAAAGTTAGTCGACGTGATGCGGGTGCCTTTAGGATAGATGCGAACGAGCTGCCGCATAGTGTGCTGAATGATTTCTAGATGGTTCTTCTTGATCAGCTTCAGAATTTTGGATTCAGATACGGAGCTGATTTCGAAAAATTTTCCTAAAACCAAATTAATTAGAGAACAACAATTTTTTGAAAAGAATGCTATACAGTCTGTACACTTTCTTAAAATTAATCATATAACCGATGCGTTGTCACTTTATTCTTACCATCGGCGTGCGCTGAAAATGTTCCTTTAAATTTAACCGCTTTCAAATAAACGCAGTCCGATAATGCCTTGGAAACTTTCAGAGTTTCTTTCGGTTTCGTTACGGGCTTCTCCGGCTCGCCTTTATCGTGGTGATGATGGTGGTTGTGATGATCATGGTCGTGGTGTTCGCTGTTTTCTTCTTCATCCAAATCGACATCCGCGTCATGCAATATTTCCGTTGGAAGCTTTTTGGCTTTGATGAGCACTTTTCCCTTCAGCTCTTCCGGCGACGGACACGCTCTGTCTTTGCAGCGAATGGGCCCGGTAAATAAACGATCTCCCAGAATATTTCTCAGATGATAAGCCATACGATCTTGCTGCGCGACGGAGCAATGGTTTTCAAAAGAAAGAATGATCGGGTACCTAACCAAAAGACCAAAAACATAGTTTTATGAATTTCTTTCCTGTCAGCAGCACTACAATTTTAACGAATTACTAAGGAAACAAACAGTTAATGTAAAAATGCTTTTAAGAATTCACAACTATGCAGTGTAAGTGTTCAACACAAAATATCGCAAACTCAAGGCCGCAGTCGTGCTCAGAATGGACGAAATCTTACTCTGATCTTTTGAAGCCATGATCCCGCACAGCTTCAACAACATCTTCAAAATGAATGTCCGTCGTCAGTGTTCCTCCGTGAGTAACAATTGGCTCGCCATCCTTTCCATCCCAGCAATCGACTGATTAACAACAACGTTGATATTAATTTTTACTGTAATGCTGTGCGCATTTACGACCAAAACTTACGTTCAATGCACCGGCACCCTTTCAATAAGCAGTAAATATATCCTTCTATGCTGCTCTTTCCCGTTAACTGTCCACCCACCAGGTAGCTATTATGCTGAAATGCAACAAACAATTTTTGTTTCAAAACTATGAAATCAATCGCAGTCCAGCTGTGTACAAATCAATCATACCGAGGATGCGATAAAATAATCCGTTATCGGGTGTGTCATGTTGTCCCGTACAAGATTGCAATTAGGATCGAAAGCGGCGCAACGTGGACTGAGCAATATGTTTGCCAACCCTAAAGCACAAACAGTGTCACCAACCAAAGCAGCACCATAAAATTACAACTCCGCCAGCATTTCAAACACACACTTCTGTTTACAAAAACTGCTTAAACCAAATAACAACACCGACATGCAAGTAGTTAAACCGCTTCCCAAATCGGAAAAAAATATGTGTACCAAGCCAGAACAATTTTGCTGTGCAAGTTACTAACCCGAAAGAGATAAATGGCCTAGATCCCGTTCTTCGCTGGGCACATCGAAAGAGCGAATCATCATCTCACATCCTTCTTCGTCTATCATGTATTCGTGCTGCGAATCTTGCAAAAACTTTAGCAGATCTTTCGCTGTCCAGTAATCTGCCTCTTTATCGGCTTTGAATCTACGTATTAACAATACCGCGTAAGCTCTTGCGATAACGTCGACAACACAAATAACGGAACATAATGCTCACTGTTCAAAAATATCGACAATTTCTGGGCGTTTGGCGATTAAATTGTAAAACCGCTCAAATCCCTCCATGTCCAGGACGGGTGCACCGTTAACCACATGTGCCGGTTTAGCTGCCTACGACAAAAACAAAATCTTACAGGCGAACTACAAACGACATATCGTATTGTTTTGTGTACACAACTATTTACAACTTTATTCTACTACACATTTTTGTATAATTAATCAACGCTTCAATAAATACTCGTACTGCAAAACGCCTACTGCGTATCAGCATCAAAATAGTGTAAGCGGGATATCAAGTTCCCATAAACAACCGCGGTCGGTTCTAATTTATTCTTAAAACACACCTGGAAAACTCCTAAGGCTTTTTCGCGACTGAACTGAATATTCATCGAGTTCAAGAGACGAACTGCTTCATCTGAACTAAGACATCCATCCGCATTTTTATCAGCAATTTCGAATTTGCTTCGAAGCCAGCTAAAATCCAATAAAATAATTAATTAACAATAACACCAATAAAATAACTGGAGAAGCAATAGCTACTGCACATACATGTTTGAGTTAATTACCGCCAATCCTAAACCCGACAAAATGTTGGTATATAGGTTGGTTGGTATGTAGCTATTCTGAAATTTTTCGTTTTGATTTTTATCTACAAAAATTATCGTCTAAGAAAACGCATACTTCTACAAACGTACAACATAAATTCATGATAACAAATATTTTACACCAAAAACAAATAAATTAATACGATTAAAATTAAAAAATAAAAGTGATTACATGAATAAGTGATGATTTTACTGCTGACGATTAGTGATAACTATGAAACACTATTTAAACTATAAACTACGCTCGTAGCCTCGTAGTGTATGCGAGACTGCGAGTACACTCGTAGTGTACTCGTAGATCAACCAACAATCGCAAGTAACTTATGATAACTTACCCGCTGAGTTTAGCATCACGATTGGCGCGAGCATTTTCATCGATCAGCTTCTGCAGCACCGCCACCCACATATCCCGCACGTCTTTATTTTCCGCAATCAAATTCAGAATCCGCTTATTCCGCAGTACAATGCAGAAGCAGCGATCCCCGGGGTATTTCTTAACAAACGCTGGTTTTTTCTCGTTGAAATTAAACGTATCCGAACTGTAGCCCGAGCGGACTTCGCGAACATGGGCAACTTCAACTACAATCCCCACCGAATAAATTAATCCACTCTGGATGATGGCTGCAAACAGTACCTAATCGGTGCGGAGTGAAGCACGCGGGTCCGGCTGTATCGTACACGATGGTGCGCATATCGGGACGCAGGGAGAATTCCCGATGCACTTTCCCTCCAGCGGCCTTCAGTTTGATCAGCCGATGCCCGTTAATCACCGCTTCCAGCCAGCGTTCATCTGCAAAAGATTTTGCGAATTTTCGAGCATGTCCGGGCCAAGCGAAGAAGATCAGCGAAAACACAGCAACACACAGCAGTTTCCAGCTGCTTACGCTTCAGTTCTTCGGGATCCGCCGTCGACGTCATCTCGGCGTTATCACCGTCCCCGTGCCCGTTCTCTACCAACAACCCATGGTTTTCCATATTTAAAATTTCATTAAATAAATGGAATTAGTGCGGAAATCAGTATCCGCATTCCGCAGGGTTCCGTACACAGGGATTAAGTTTTATCTCTGCGGGAAATGCAGCAGCATGATGCATTTTTTTGCAACAGCGATACGGCAGTGCATGCCACGACGGAATGAAGTTCAGCACTTCGGTAGAAGATGCATAGTCATATACGTAAACGTACATAATCAGAATGTAATTTCACAGCAGTCAAAATGTCGTTCAAGGGCACAAAATGCCTAGATTACATTAGTAACAAAAGCAAAAAAACCAGAAATATCAGAACAGGTGCATACTTTATGTGTACTGCACCGACAGGCACAGCAACAGTGAAGGTAAGTTACCGTAATAAGCCGCTAAGCGAGCTGTAATAAATCAAATGACCCGGCATTTCACGGCAGGTTTACCAACCTCAACCTGCTGTAGACGATTATCTGGTAGTGTTCTACTTGTAACACATCCGCTTATTATTAGACTTCAAAGAATCCCGCTCCTGCATTCATATCTAGGCAGCAGCTACCTGTATCTGTGTCAAAATTACTTATCATAACTGCTTACGTTTAGAGGGCATACCGTACATGAGTACAATACACAGTACCACATGCATCTTTTGTACATCTCGTATTTACATTGCTACAATATTGTTCTATTTATTGGCTATTTCGGTTTAGTGTATGCAAACGTCAAACGGCATTGCTTGTACCAGTTTGAATAAAAATTTCGTATTTTTGGATATTCTTCTTGCTGCGTATCTATTCGAACAATATTTGCACCAGCTTGTATAATATGTTACTTAATTTCTTTAATTTTACATTGTTATCCGTTAACAGAGTGTACAAACCTTTTTCTAACCACTAAAGGGGGCCGAACATATAATTAATTATTAGCATGATATATCTATATATCTGTATTACAATACGCGGATGCAGAGTATGAGTAGTATCCCTTAAAATAAAATCAAAATTACTGTACCGAAAAACTCTCACATTATTTGTAATATAGACAACAAAGATGAATCTATGATCGTGCGATTCATGCCCGGCGTGACGTTAGCGGCATCCAGCCAAATTTTGATTTTCTGGCAAACGTTGTAATTTACCGCGCCTTTACTATCGAGTAGCTACTTTAGCGTTTGGAATTTGGCACCAGTATAATTAAGTGCTGACAAAATTTAACGACAATGAGTGGGGACATACATACCCTACATTGTACAGTATATGTCTGGAGAAAACAAACTGCAGTTTATTTTGACAGTAAGCAGCATAAACTGCACTTACGTTTCCGCCCACGAGCTAAGAACTTGCCAATGTCACAAAAAGGAGTGCCCACCACGTCGGACTTTATGAGCAACTACACCGAAACATTTGACACACAGATACATAATCAACACCGGTGTTTTTCTTGGTCTAATAAGCAAAAGAAAATGGATATCGACAATAACCAACCAGATTCTGAATCGTACTTTCAATAAAATACAAACTTTTATCTCCGCAACGTAATCGAACAGGCGGCGAATTCATTATCCACTCACTTTGCATCTATGAGTTAAACAGCCATCTAACACAATGTCGCGAAATCAGCATAATATTCTTTTATGTGTGGAGAGAACAATTCAACCACAAGATTCCACTCAGCAGAAACTGTCCAACTACCATTGCAACTGAAAGCACAATACTACGGTAGATGAGCCGACAATACCGCGTTCATTTCCCGCTGACACAAAGCAAACTCCTCCGCATATTTTACGCTCGCCGCGCTGACTGATGCTGTTGTCCCTGTTCGTGCGCCAACACGTTTTTCTTGATACATTCCAACACGTCCCGTGCAGCAACCGGGATCGGCGTGCCCGGACCAAAAATGGCGGATGCGCCCGATTTATACAGGAAGTCATAATCCTGTGGTGGAATAACGCCGCCACAGATAATCAGAATATCCGGTCGACCCATCCGAGATAACTCCGCGGATAATTCGGGCACCAGTGTCTTATGACCCGCCGCCAAGGAACTCACACCAACGACATGCACATCAGCATCAATAGCTTGTTGGGCAACTTCTGCCGGCGTCTACAAAAGTAGCATTGTATTGTATTACCAGGTATTACCTATAGCATTGTATTACTAGGTTACTACAATGCTATCTAATATTGCTCGTAAGATAGATGTCGGGTAAAGTTAATTTTCTTTTCAAGGACGCTTCGATTCCAAATTATGTGCTATAAAATAAACTTAGTGCATAAGAAATATATACTGTACTTGTTCAATGCTTGAAGTACCCATTTAGGTATAAAATACTCGTACTTAAAATAATTATTAGTGTTTTAGGTTTTAACTGCAAAATTTTCTGTAGACCACACAAATATTATCCAAACAAACAAAATATCTCAACAAAAAAATAACTCCAAGAAAACAAAACTAATCAATTAAGGATTCATATTCACCATACTACAGCGCGCAAGCCAAACATACCTGAAACAATGGTCCAATATCCACATCGAAGCCTAAATCAGCGAATCCAGTCGCAATAACCTTTGCACCTCGATCATGTCCATCCTGGCCCATTTTGGCTACCAAGATGCGCGGCCGTCTGCCCTCATCTTTTCCAAACTGCTCGACTTGTCGAAGAACACTTTCGGTTTCCTCTCGCTGTCCGTATTCCGCTTTGTACGCCCCGCTGACCATCCGGCTGGACGCCACATGCCGCCCGAACACTTTCTCCATGGCCATGGAGATTTCTCCAAGCGTGCACCGGGCACGAGCTGCATCGATCGCCAGTGCCAGCAAATTCCCCGTACCGGATTTGGCCGCGTTCGTCAAGGCATCCAGAGTCTGCTGGGCTGCTGCTTCGTTCCGAGAAGCCTTTAAACTGGTAATTTTCCGTACTTGGCTTTCACGCACGGCGGTATTATCGATCATAAGAACTTCCGTCTCTTCTTCAGTTTCCAACCTGAATAACAGAGAAAACTCTGTTCTTTATTATCGCTTTTATTGTCGTTCGTAATGGATCGCTATGATTTTCTATGCTAAAACTCCTGGTTTTATCTGAAACGCAGCATACATAGCAAGTAAAATTGTTCTTCATACTATAAGGAAAATATTGTCAATTGTATCGCCCACATTTCTGTTATTAACCTGTATTTATTGACGCCAACGATAGTTTCTGTTCCGGAATCAATGCGCGCTTGCCGGATAGCGGCACATTCTTCAATCTTCAACTTCGGAATTCCTTCGCTAACGGCTTTCACCATGCCACCCATGGCTTCAATCTCCTCAATAACTTTTTTGCCAGCTTCGTACATCTGCTGCGTGAGACTTTCCATCATGTATGATCCTCCCCAAGGATCGATCACCTATTGACAAGGATTTGACTATTTAAGACGAAATGGATGCACACCAAAATTCGCTTTACCATTAGTATAAAAGACCTTAATAATAATTATTAGTATTTTTCGATGTCAGGGCATACCTTCGGTATCCCGGTTTCCTCCTGGAGAATAATTTGAGTATTTCTAGCTATTCTAGCACTGAATTTGGAAGGCAGAGCGAGGGCTTCGTCGAAAGCATTCGTGTGGAGCGACTGCGTCCCGCCGAATACGGCAGCCATGGCTTCTACTGTAGTCCTAACGACGTTGTTGTAAGGATCCTGTTGAGTCAGGGACCAGCCAGACGTCTGACAGTGAGTGCGCAGCAAAAGAGATTTCTGACTTTTTGGTTTGAATTTCTCCTTGATAAGTTCAGCCCATAATCGTCGTGCAGCGCGCATTTTAGCAATCTCCACGTAGAAATTCATCCCGATGCCCCAAAAGAAGGACAGACGCGGAGCAAATTCATCAATCGAAAGTCCAGCTTTCAGACCTAGGATCAACAAAATTAGGTAAAGTGGCAAGGGCTTGAAAGTTTACCGTTGTTAATGCTTATGGCGACGCTATTATCACTCTATCGGTGATAGTAAGCGTTAGGTGATAGTAAGCAATGTAATTTGTAATTCAACTAGTGAACACAAAATCGAAAAATTAACTGAATGATAAGAATGCTTAAACCATTTAAAGCTGAGCAAAATTAAAATATCTGTACCAAAGAAATTAAATTAACACGGAGCGAATTCCATACCTGTCCGACAATATTCTAGTCCATCAGCAATTGTATAAGCCATCTCCAAAACGGCATCGGCACCGGCCTCCTGCATGTGGTATCCCGAAATGGATATGCTGTTAAAATTGGGCATATTTTTGGAGGTGAAGGAGAAGATGTCGGCAATAATCCGCATGGACGGCTCCGGAGGATAAATGTACGTATTGCGCACCATAAACTCTTTGAGGATATCGTTCTGAATCGTTCCTGTGATCTGCGCCTGGGTTGTGCCTTGTTCCTCCGCAGCCACAATGAACATGGCCATCACCGGAATCTACGAGTACACAGAACAAAACATGTCATAGAAGTATGCAATGAACATGCAATATAAAATACCAATTATAAAAAAGAAAATGCTTTTTATTTTAGATTATGTCTTTACAGGCGCAGACATTCGTAAATCACGGTAAATGTACTGCAATAGACGAAAAGAATGTGCAAAACAAATACTGCTGGAAAACCGATGGAATTAATAAAAAAAATAGAATAACACTACCACAAATCGGAAAACTGCATAATAATTACAATTTTCACAAAACGAACAGTCGATACGTTACAGTCGCATTTGTAATACCTACACAAGAAAGCAGAAATCGGGATAATAAAATTTAAAAAGAAATTAAATCAATACTGTGTTGAAAGCCAAATTGACAAAAGCACTGCCACTTCTGCATGGCTCACACAAAAATAACTTCCGTATTTTCAGCAACGCTACAATTGACATTCGCACCAGAGAGGCTTCTTACCACCGCTCCATTCATGGTCATCGATACGGACATCTTATTCAACGGTATCCCATCGAATAAAATCTTCATATCCTCCACCGAATCAATGGCCACTCCGGCCATACCCACATCGCCCCTGACGCGCGCATTATCCGAATCGTAGCCGCGATGCGTGGCCAGATCGAAGGCCACACTCAATCCCTGCTGGCCGGCCTTAATATTCTCCCGGTAGAATTTATTGCTCTCCTCCACCGTACTAAAACCCGCATACTGCCGGATCGTCCAGGGGCGCTGCGCGTACATGGTGGGGTAGGGACCGCGGGTAAAGGGATACTTCCCTGGCAGTTCATCCTGGACGGATTCCGTATCGGTTTTCGTATACAAGGGCTTGATTTCCAGACCCTAGACAAACGATATAAATATTTCACTATAAGCCAGTGTTAGCATGCAAGTCCATCCACCTCGACGGTTTTCCATGTCAGTTTCGCCGCGGGATCTCCGCCTTTCATCTGCTTCTTGGCCAGCTCCGTCCATTCCGGATGCAAGGGTTTCTGGCTGGCAGAGCTGGTCGCCGTGCGTACTGCCAGACGCTGAGCGTATGCTCCCTATGCGTCAAACATCGCGATTACAAATCAACATGGATCGCACGAGACACAGCGGCTGCTAACTTGGATAACGTACGTACTGGAAGGAATGGTAAAACATCTGCTGCAGATGTCTTCACTAGGTTCCGAGCCATATTCCAGGATCCAGTAAACCAGAGTACAAAATATCTTGGATGGAGCCGCAAACGGATTATCCTTGCAAATTGGTTTAAAAAAGCAAAATTCTCTGTAGACGAAACGAAACCCTTGCAGTTTTGCTCGCAATCGGAATCCGTTGCCTTGAATTTGAAATTTTTTGTGGTTAAAAATGCTTTAAAATTAGTTTAGGTAGTCTGCGCAACTGCACACATGATCAGCTGAGCACCTCGAAGTTCGCAGCTATGAAAAATGGGGCGATTGGCCCCTCAAGCAGTGGTCGATGTAGCTGTACTACTGCTGTCAACATGCCTTGCTACTCTACGCTACTTCCGTTAGGAAGTGGTTTCTAGCAGCTGCCTATCAGAGGCGGTTGATGCTGCTTCCTCTGATCGGTGGATTTGGTGCCGGATATTGTCCCGGAGATTTAATTGTGAGCGCTACTCTTCTGAGTAGTACATAGATAATTGAGCGCGCCGTGTAGTGAGTTATAAAATTAATTTGATCAGTTTCCTACATTTTCAAATATGCTCCCAGAATGCAATATCAATTTCGCAAGTTGCTTTCGATAGACGGTAATGATATGCTCTTCGAACTGCTCACGATAGACGCCAACACTGTACCGACTACCGATGCGAATACAAAAAAGCAATTTGCTACCTACGTCAGCAGCCCATTGTTGGCTGTGCCGCTGTGGGCAGGTAAGTAAGTACGTAATCTGGACCTGCAGCTTCAGGTCTCACAAAAATTTACGGGTTCGGAAGTGCACGATCTATGGCTCCAAAACCGGAAGTTAACACTAGCGGGCATTCTGAATCGGTTAACCTTGTTATACCATTCCCGCCACCACAGGTACATGCCGAAATATGGCTGAATAACATCTTCCGGTCGATGAGATTTCAAAAGTCAATAAAATCACATACAGGACACTTGCACTTTATTGCGTCCTGCCTATGTACCGCTAGCTTTCTGTAAACAGTTCATGGGATTTGCTTATACTTACAGCTTTGTGTTTTTCCCTGTCGTATCGTTTACATAATTATTTATACTGAAGATTGGAAGGCATTCATTTAAAGGTTATATTATGCGGGTTATATAGATCTGCAAAAATTTCTGAAAATGCTTAGAGCCATAATATCTGTTCAATCAAATTGTTTGAATTCATCGAGCTTTGATGTATTTCCCCGATACAGGATCATTTATTACTCATTATTCGTCATGCACGGTACTGAAGCATGGATCCGGTCGAATCGTTCAGTTTTTGTGATGCAGCCTACGTCTTAACAAATTACAAATCAAACAGAATAACCTGCGAATTTCATGATAGATTTTATAATTCAGAGTGAATGCAGGTGTAGAACCCCGTGGCATCATGAATGTGACAGTTTCCGGCAGCAACGCCACGGTGCAACCTCTGTTGCTGTGGTCAGTCACCGGCATATTTGATGTCATCATCATGGTTTTAGGTTGCGTGCTAAATGGATTCATTTTGGTCATTTTCATAAAAGACCAGCATCTCCGTACGCCCTTTATAGTTTACCTCGTCAATCTAACAATAACTAATTTTGTGATGTCCGCTGGATTTATGCCTTTAGCACTGATCAATGACCTTTATGGCGGAATCTGGACGAATGAGTATCTATGCACAGCTTACATTTATTTCTCGTATATCTGGACAGCTGTTTGTATTCACGGACACGTGTTAATAACCGTTAACCGTCTGTGGGCCATGCAGTTTCCCGTTTCTTACCGCAACAACTTGCACAAAGCACGTTTAGCCATGATTCTGTGTGTTGGAGTTTTCCTGTATGCTCATGTTTTGATTGTACCGTGTGTTGTTTTGGATGCATTATTTTATCGCATCCCATTAACTGATAAACCAAGTTGTGATATCAATTTAGAAACCCAAAAAGGTTATATATTTTTCAATGAAATTGTCACACTGATTTTACCGATTGCCGTTATCATATTAGCATTTCCCTACTTATGCTACAGACAGCGGCGTCGCAGGATTATTAGCCGGCATCACTCGACCGTGCAGGCGGTGGAGATGAGTAAACAGTCGAAAGGTAACTTATCCAGACTACATCACGATGAAGGCAGGACTTCGCCGGAAGCACGTTCCTTCCTGATTCTCAGTTTGTTAACTTTAATTATTGCCGTGTCTTGGGTGCCGGCACAAGTCCTGTCGATTGTGGATTTGATTGATCCGAGTATTGACACAACCACGCCTTGGCTCGTGGCTAATTTTCTGAATGCTCTGCAGCCGGTTTTGGATCCTTTGTTGCTAGCTTTCACTTTCGGTGATCTGAAAACCGCAATAGGAAAATATTTCCTGGTTTGCAAACGTTAAAAAAATAAGTGGAAGGCAATCAGAAAATCAGTTGTCTGCGGATGAATAAATAACATATATTATGCACGACTCAGAAGTACGCTTGCAATGCCATACGGCCGGTACCGGTGTAGGCTGCACACAAACGTTTGTAAAGATAAAAACAATGTCACTACAGAATGAAGACACATATTGCAAAAGGCGCTACAGTTGCAACTGTGCCATTCCTTACTTAAAATAGCTATACTTCTATCTATTACCACATATTTCTCAAAATATTCTGTTATACAAAGAATGTTTTTCAAGGCGCTGCATCTCCATATATAAGCAGCAAAGGTAAGGATACATAGTTGTGTTCACATGCTGCATTGCAAATTGCAGCACAAAATTGTAATGTACCCGGGTAAAAACCACGTATTACATCTTTAAAGCAACGGTTCTGTAAGTTAAGTTTTCTGAGTTCAGTTAACACAAGGAATCTACTACGACTACGAATATGTTAATATCATTATTTCCGGCAAAAAAAACAAAGAGGTGATCGTGTAAAATTTACTACGAGTTGAAAAATTATGTATACAGAACATAAATAAATAATCTGATAGAGTATGACAGTGCCAAAATACTTACTGCTACCAGGTCTGTATCTCCTAAGTCCCTGACACCACGTGGAGCATGGTATTTTTGAAAGTAAACGCCAACATTTTAACAGCTGACGTTGGTAATGTTGCAATTTTTTCTTCCAAGGACAGCTAACTGTTGCCTGGAAAAAGGGTGTGTGAAAACACAGAAGTGCCTTATTAGCGAAATTGTGCCCATTAACCAAAACACATTTTTGATGTAAACACTTCAGTAGGCAACCACTTGGGCAGATTTCCCACATTCCAGCATAATTTCATACAGAATTTACACGATCCTGTATTACCAAGCACGACACAGTGCCCGTATTTAAAGCTCACATGTCAGTAATTTTTAAATTACTAAATCTCTTTTTCTTGATACAAAACCGTTTAATTTAGCGACATTTCTAAAGCTTTGTGTCAAAGAATGAAATTCACCTGGGTATTTCTTGTTGTATTGTTTGTTGCGTTTGCCGGTAAGTATTTCGGTAGTATTCAGTTAATAATATTGTATATACCGTAGAGTTCTGATCCGATTTGAGTTTCAATGATTTCAGATTAAAGTTTGTCTTTTAACATTAACGAATATCGGGCGGTATATCCATGAATTATAAATTTTATAATTCATACATATTCCGCCCGATATTCGTACGTTTTGCATTTTTATTATGCTTATTATAGGCGTAATGTCCGGTGTGGATGCTCAGCGGGGCCGTGGCGGCAGAGGCGGCGGCGGGGGCCGTGGTGGTCGGGGTGGTCGGGGTGGTCGTGGAGGTCGCGGCGGTGGAAAACGCGACATCGAAAGCCAGTTACCAGATGCATTCCGAGACCAATTCCTAAGCTTGAACTGAATGGCGCACTTGCCCTTCGATTATGTAATCTGCTCAGGCGCAAATAAATATTCATAAATTAGCTATTTCGGCAGGTGCTGAATTGTGCTACCATGTTTCCTTTTATTATTCGCCAAATCGGATTTTTTTTATTTGCATGCTAGTTGCACGGTATGCCGGCACGTTCCGATCCAGTTTAGTATATTACTATACAGCATGTAGTATTTAATAAAGTGAAAATTACTTAGTACTGCTTACGCAGCTAAGGTCAAGATTGTAAATAAATCTTTCAATTATCGCATATTTGTATATTGTACAACTATCTATTGTAGAGGATTTGCGGAAGCCTTTAAGCAACGTACACAAAGGTTTGACGTCACGGTCGCCTCCCTAACAATAAGTAATGTGATCATGTGGTTATACCTACATTACTGTACAGATATTAGTGTACTGCTTATTTTTGCTTTTCCCAGACTAACAAAAATTAAGTACTCGCCACACAAAGGTAAAATTGCATAGCCCAACAACTGTGTCAAACTATTACACAATACTGACCTTTCAAATGCCGGCAAATTTGAAAACACATTAAGGTCAGCATATCCTGCATTTCCCCTTCCGGTGCACATAAAGGGGAAACACCTTTCGGGTACGCGGAAAAAGTGGAATTCAAATGTGGGCGTACATCCGCCTAGCAGAATAGGCTTGATCTTATAATACAAATGGGACTGTGACAAAAAGGCGGGGGTGGAAGTACACAATGCGGTCTTATTACTCATTTAGTGAAGAGTGAACAATATGCCACACGCTAAGTTGTCTTAATGTTTGAAGTAAAAAAGATATGATAAATTGCTAATGACACCGCGAATAAAAATAACCCAACTGCGTTTTCTATAGAGGAGGTTATATATAAATGAATTTGTCATATCCATTCGAGATGACATTTTGTAGTACTGGTTGTGCGCCGTAATAGATCATGCGCGCCGTTAGTGATGGCGCCAAAGCACGTTACACTAAAAATGCCCAGTACACCTTTCGTTCTCTTAATAACTGCATTAACGTTTTTGAATACGGAATATTGTATCTGTGATAACACGAACGACTCCGAGGTGCCGCCTTTGGATAACGATGTCGAGGATGTACAGGTGGGTTAAGCTTTTTGACGATTGCAAGTTAATATGCGAGTACAATTATCGTAATAACTAACGGCCAAGTCTAGAAAAATAGTAACTTAATTTATTATTATTTACCCATGTAGGATCTCTTTCTACCACTTGATGTGCCTCGACTACGTACAGGTTTGCAAAACTTAAAGTACCTATATATATATATACGTCGCTCTGCAAGTACAAAAACCATATAACTTCGTAGGTATGTCGTAATTAATACAAATTATGGATTCATATATTAGCGGCTGAATTTGCTAGTCAATTCAATTACATATTTTTATAGCGGTTGTTAACTACATAAAGCATTCTATAATTACGTCAAAACATCGAGCATACACGCATATTTGCACAGATACAATTATTCTGTTATTCAGAATTTCAAGTATGTATTATACCAATGGCCATATGCAGAAGTATGCATGTGACCTTTAACAAAATGGGGAATTAAACCAACAAATATACTAATACACGCGCGAGAATTAAAGATATTTCAGCAGTGCTGTGCACAAGCACAATAAAGTACTACCCTTTCGTAATACATAATTTTAACGTCATTAAAATAGTTTTCTTTCATTAACACCAATTGCTGTTTCTACGTGATTGGCTGTGATGTGTAGCTCATTACCATCCCAACCGCTTGATATTCATTGAGCCAAAACCGCCCCGCCATTTGGAAATTACTCCTCAGCAATCCATAACCATCGCCTGTGAAGTGGCCAGCATTGATGGACCATCACCGGTGGTAGCGTGGTACCGCAATAGTGAACTGATTTCCAACGAAACGGAAATTCAAGAAGATTTACAGAGCAGCGCCAATATCCGCTACATTACCAGTGCCACCCGTAGTCTCCTGCATCTTGACTGCGTTAATTCGCATGATGTAGGACTATACACCTGCGTTGCGAAAACCCGATACAAAACCATTCGGACCACTACAAGCGTGACCCTTTCTTCAGGTACAATTTTATGTAACTGTAGTCGAAAAAAATTCTGGTGATTGTATAAAGTAAGCTTCTGTTAAAAATTTGTCGTGATACGGTATAAAACCACTTAAGCTTCCAAATCTGTAGGTTTATACAGGAAGATGCTGATCTGCAGTTTTATGTGGCATCTAAAACATTATAATAACTAAATTTTTAAGTGCAGTTTGAATGACTTTATTGATGTTATATGCGTATGTACTCAGTACAGTACCTGTACAAGCTTCGTGGTAGCGTAAACCACAGCCTTTTTTTAGGATCACCAGAGAGAATTGTAGCTATTGCCTTGGCTCAGGAATGTTTAAGGAAAACGATGCTGCCCCACTTCAGTCCACCACGAATCGTAACCTGGAGCAAAAACGTTTTACAAATGCAGGGTTTAAGTGCCCGCTTATTTTGCCGTGCTACCGGCAGCCCACCTCCGGCAATATTCTGGGAGCTGCAACAAGCTCATCCAACAAAAATTGGCACTATTAGGTCAATAACCAGCGACGATACCAAATTTAAGGTAAACTGTTAAATGCTTAAAAAAGTCACAGAAATACCTAGCAATATATTTCTCCATTTGCACTAAAACAAGAGACGGCAAATAATGTTTCCCCAGTTCCCTATTTTTATTACCAATATAATGGGAAGACAAACTGAAGTGGACTTTGGGTATGTTGCAGATCGCACCAAATGGCGATTTAATTGTTATGGATCTGGAATTCAATAATGACATGGGTTACTATGCGTGCCGAGCGCGAAATATGTTCGGAGGGGAACGCATTGAATCGTTTTTATACCCCGTCCAGGATAGTAATCCAATAGCCATTAATATGCACGTGCACAGAAATGGACCACAACGCACACACACAATTATGGAAAATTAATTTCCTAACATTTCAGTTTTGCGCATATGGACCTAGCCAACTAGGTACCCTTTCCCATACTTTGCACAGAAGTAACAAGGCGGTCTGCGGTTAAATTTGCACAAACAATGGCATTTCACAAAAACCTTCGCCGGCGCGACACAATTTTATTATAACAGGCAACAGTTCTGCATCCAGAATGCAAAGTAGCCAACCAATTTATCAACTCTCCATTTCGGAGTTAACCAGTAATCTATCAGTATTAATACTCTCGTCTTCACTGAGAGGTGGAAATTTTATCTGCGCGATGTTATAAAGTGTTGATACCGGTATTCCACGGTTCTGCAACACTTCGTTAAGTCTTGTGGGCACTGTTTGTTGTCTGCTTTAAAAAATTTCAACCGATGCCAGTTTTACCGGCAGAACTACGTACAGTAATTTTTGCACCAACGTGACTTATATAGAGTCTATATCTATAGTTAGGATACTTGTATCTCATATATATACCGTAGCAGCCATTGTCTTGCACGAAGAATTTTGTAGTATGTATAATCAATAAACGATTTGATGAGGCTGCAGGTAATTGAACTAGATAAAATAGATTTTAAGCAAGCATTTTTGCATCATTGTGAAGTCACTGTGTGCCCAATCCAAATTTACACGCCTTTTCCTGGAACCACCGGCCTGCTAGCGCTGGACTACTATTTACTAATTAATTTATCATCCTTCTCTTAGCAATATTTTTTATTAATACCTAATACTGGTGTAATTTATTGCAATGGAAATGGATTACGTCTGCATACAATTGTTTTTGTTATAATGGCATGATACTGTACCGCACAACGGCACATCTTCTAAAAATAAAACTCAACATGTAAAAGCAAAATTTAATAATGTACGAGCACGAACATTTGTACATATTACACGTACTGCACAATCGTACCGTGCATCCGGTTCGGCTTTACACGTCTATGAAGCTTTTACACTAGACCCAGCATATACTACTTCCGTCTACGTCGTGTCGCAATGGCTTACATAAAGTCAACGCACAAAGTAGTCGATAACAGCGGATTAACATAACGAAATAAAATTATTACGCAAATTTATTTGAGTTTTAATAATTTGATAATATTAAAAATTATATAAGCCGCGAAATGAAGTAAAACGTTTAGGCTTTTACAGATTTCTTTGTCGGAAACTTGGATTTGAAGTCTGTAATCGGTGCGGTTCTGCTAAACTATTGAGCCACTGTGGTCGTTTACACTGTAGTATAACAAAATTAAGCGACCTACTTCACAGGATCAGTGCATTAGGTTGTTAACTGCGAACAGTCTGGAACTGTGCGCGTACACCAAACCTCGATGATGAGGAGTAGTGATCCCTTCTGAGCGCGAAGCCGTTTTGGGCGGTTGGTCGAAAGACTGTCGCCCTGACATTGATGACCGTTCCTTTCCCCCTTGACTACGCGATAGTCGGGGGATGAGGAGGGAGGGATCGCATTCCGAGCGGTTTGGCTCTAATTAACCAAAGAAAGTGGTAGTGCTTACGAAAATGAGAAGAACGTAAGGTTGTAAGGTTCGAGACTTGGAAGGCGAAGATAAGTTCTGAGTTCAACTTCTGACTCAACTCTTGGCCGGACGCAATCCATGGAAGACAGTCAGAATAGAATAACAGAAAAACTGCAACATTCTAAATGGGAAAACGTTTAAAATTGTACTGTTCTTCATCGATAAAATTGTAGATTTTGTAGTTTAATAAAAAAATAAATTTATTGTTAATTTTGTTGTCGAGTCATTTGACTCTCGCGCGTTCTTGATGATATCTGCTACAAAAAGTTGGGCAGTGTTAAACATTTCTGTAACGTTTTCAGTAGATGCATCCTGTCAGCGATGAGTTGGAGGATTGGTTTTGGTAAGAGCAACAAAATATGTCATAAATGTCATCATATCGCCATGTAATTGCAAGTTAGCAAGGAATAATTATCCAAACTTTATGAACCGATCAGCTAAAACAGCCAGCAAATAACAAACCGCGAAGCAACATTATTTGAAATAGTGAATCGGTACCAAAGCTGAACAAAAGGACAGAAAGCTTAAAAAACATATGTTAGGGGAAATCATGTCATATCTTGATCGGTCGATCGCTTCCGTAACACAACGAATCCTTCCAAAACGGAAGTCAGCGGCACATCTACAATGAATTCCGGATTAAGTAAATAAAATCTATTAAAAGTCATAATCTATACGAAAATTCAGTTCACTTTGCCAAAAGTGTGATGACAAACCTCACTGCGTTCGTCAATCAATAATTTTACAAACAAGCTCTATTTTCCCCTTATCACTTTTTATTGTTAATATTAAATAAATCGTTAACAAAACAGCGTAAATAACACATAACATCTCATTACTTACAGTCATCAGTCGCCAGTTCAGCGCGTTCTCCATAATTCATCAGTACTGGCGTGGTATGAGTCTGGAAACCGGTGATCGCTTTAGGACGTCCAGCTTGTCCCACAATATCCACAGCCTACATACGGACCATTTGTTTAGCACGTGGCCGATGACACCACACCAAATTCTTACAACAACGACTGATGACATCACATTGTTACAAAAACGTTCATTTCCGCCACACTTCTTACCGTTCCCACACGGACAGTGGTCGTCACCGGTTTGAGATCCTCATCAAAACAGACCAACATTCGCGACTGGATAGCCGGAACCAAGTAGTACAAAAGATAATGATGCTTGCCCAGGATCGCTATAACAAAAAATTTTCTAAAACGGAAATCTTAACACCACGGTAAAGCAATGACTTACTTGATTTAACATCCAAACAAGCCGTTAAAACAACCAGCAATCCAGCCAGTGCAGCTCGACTGACCAGGAATCGGTCACTGTACTGCGGAGAGAGGGTATGCGTTCCTTTGCCCATATGCAATAATCCCTGCGCGATGCGCACCATAAATAAACTATTGGCATCCTTCGTGTGGTAAACAGCCAGATTGCGCAGCATGGTCGCCAAGCGGGCATTGTTGGTCCCTACATCGGGCGATAATTATAACCGATCGGCAAATCAAGAAAAACTGCGAATTCATCTACATACCGGCTCCGATTAACCCCATCGCAAGGACTGAATTTGAAGCCACTTCACTGTCGTTATCGTGAGAAAATTTGCTCAGGGTGTCCATAACGGTCAATTTGGGATTGGACACCGAGAGCAGCCCAAGAGCTAACGGCACCGCACGCCGGAGAGCTGCATCGCCGTATCGGAGCTGTAAAATGTGGAACATGTTGAAAGTTGTTTACAGTTTTTTTATCGAAGCACACATTACTGACATACCAAATGCCCAAACGAACGCAGTGACATTTCCGATCCGATATCCTCGCCCATGGCAATTAAAGCGATACCAAGAGCGGCAACGGCCTGATGCATACCGGCATCAGCCGCTTCTTCCTTCTTCTTATCTTTATCGTCCTTCGCTTCTTCCTTCTTGTCGCCGTTTTTCTTCTCTTCTTCATCCTGTCACAAAAAAAAATAATTATCAAATAGAATCATGTTTTAATCCAATCAAAAATTAAACAACAAACTGTTCACAAATCAACTACCTTCTTATCCACATGCTCGCTGCAACTGTGAAGGAACTGCTGAATTTTGAGAACATTCCCGGTTCCGGCGTAGGCACAAGCGTCAACAAAATGCAGCGCCAAGGTTTTGTACGGATCATCCAGAACCTGCAGCGTGGCCCGCACCGTGTCCACGCGTTCTTGCTGACCCAGATGCAGCAGTCCCAATCCCAACGCCAGCATCTTCGCCAGAGGATCTTTCAGCTCGAGGGCAGTCCGCTCCATCATCGTCTGCAGGATGGCTTCGGCGATCTGGGCGTTACACGTGCCCACGGCTACCAGACCGAGGGACACTGCTGTGAAGCACTTAATCTCCAGCGTACTGCTGTCATCTTCCAGAGCCGGTAATAACACCTCAATGACATCGGCGCGGTTGGTTCCGGCATATGCGAGGCTCATGCTACACAAGTTAATATGGAATTAAACATCAGCAAAGCAAAGGACGCAAACTGAAGAAAGAAATTTACCCGATAACGGCACCGGTGCGGATGACGCCAGATTTGTTGGTAATGTGTTCGCTGAGGAGGGCTTTAGCTGGATCACAGTCGTTTCGGATACGGGCATTAACGATTCCACAGGCCAAAAGCGCCCCGGATTTGATGTATTCGTCCGTTGCATACAGATATTTATCAATCTGAGTTAAACCGCCATCAACATCCCATAGCAAGATCAATCCGAGGGAAGCTGTTGCACTGAGCATACCTGAAACCAACAATCGTATTACTGCTTCCGCAAAAAAATTCAAAAGAATACAATGCGGACAAAACTGAAGTGCCGAGAGCCATACCATGTTCCTTATTCTTATAAATCCATTTATTTCCGTCTTCAGCAAACATTTTATCCGTTCCAAATGCGCAGTTAACCAGGCCGTTGACAAAAGCGGAAGCCAAATTCTGGCGCGCGGAGTCCAGTCCCGTCCCCGTAACAAAGCTACCTGCAAATGAAACAACACATTCTATTCAATTTTCCCAAACAATATTTCAGATCCGGCCGTACGGTGCTGTTCAAGATGAGTCTTATAGACATCTTCGGGTGTCTTAGGTTCAGCGATATCCAGTTCACGAGCCAGAGCCAGATGATTGGCATTCAGCTGTGAGTTGGACATGATTTCCATCAGTTCATCATATCCCTCAGAATTTTCATCCAATTCCAGATAGACTTGACTATGTGCCAAGATAAACGCAATCTGCTTCTTCGTAGCACTACAATTATATGTTGAAATCACGAATACAGAAATTCAAGAGATATTTACAATATTTCTCTCACCGATCGGGGCAAAGGAGGAACAGTTCTTTAATGAGAGTCATATCGTTTAATCGGATTGCGAGACGAATAGCTTCGGTATATTGGTTGAATTTGTGGTACAGCTTAATCGCAGTTTTCAGCAATTGGGTGTCTTCCGGATCAGCAACGTATGGCACACAACTGAAAACGGAAAAATTTAAGATAAATGAACAATACAATTACAATACTAACTTTGTTATTAAAATTTTACTAGCAATTTTAATTTTTTGTCTTCTGTTTTTAAATTAAGTCGGCTGCTGCCATTCTACGCACCTGACCAAGTACAAGCAGACTTTATTGTATGAATGCGTATCCACGAAGGTTTCCAGCAGTTTCAACTGTTCTATTTCCATTAATAAATCACAGGCTTCCGGTTCGGCATTATGATCCATAAAATATCTGACGATCTCTTGCGCCAGCTGCAGATAGACTGTCTTCTGGCTTTCATCCAGCTTTGCGGTTTCGTTCCATTCTTGTGTAACTTCTCCAGCCAAATGCCTGCGGAAAAGAGAAAATACTGAGACACGAAGTAGTCTTAAAAGAATGTTGTACAATGGTTTCCCGTAAATCGTGGTTCAGCAACCAATACGTAAAGATCCAGCTTTATCGGTTTTGCACAGTTTAAGCAGAATAAAACAGCCAAAAATTACAGTAAAAATACCTCACCTGACATATTCGTGTCCCCATGCTCCGATATCCTCCTTCGTTGCTAGCATTTTATATTTTATGGACTCCCGAGTCGAGCTCATAGTCATAGACATGACACTCAAAACGCTGGCGCATATTTTCTGAAAAGCAATCGTATTCGCAACTGTAAGCAAGTCAAAAAAATAAGTACCTGCATGCTTCGATTTCCGTAACAAACCCATGTTGACTTATAAAACTATTACAGTCTCCATATTTAAATGAATTAGTTCTACATCTTAAGGAAAGTCTTCGTAAGTTCGTGTAAACATTTTATTTTTTGTTTTTTCGCTGTATAATATAAAGGAAACAAATGTAACCAGAAAAACATGGTTTTATGGCAGAAAGTACACATTCCCTGTCAAATTACCGATCCCAAATCGGTTCCAAATACCACATGTCGCCGCTTGCGCCATAATTACGGCGACACTGATTCAGCATTTTTAACACAGCTACTCGCTACTGTCACGTAAACTGTTTTCCTCACAAATGAGCTTCTTGTTTTCGCCAATTTGAACTACAGAATTATTCCCAATTCTGAAACGCTCACCTTAACATCCGGATCGGATATCTTCTCGAAGAGGTTCTTGATGGTGTCAAAATGCGGCCGGAGAAACTTAAGTGGCTTCGGAACGGAAGTCATCGACGTGGTTGACGAGCGAATCTGATTTCGCAAAGCTTCCAGTGCTGGCTTCTGCAGTTCCAGTTTACCTTCCTAAATAAACCATCAATAATTTTCGGGTAAAAATAACGCGCGTCGTTCACACAAACAAAAGCAAATGACGGTAAGGTCCCGTAAGGACAATTGCATTTTAATATGTTCAATATTACCTGCAGGCGCTCGACGAGCATGTTCAGCTCAGCTTGAAGTTTCAGGTCTTCCTCCGACTAAAAAAAACAATTCCCTAAATCTTCCAGTACAACCAGCGGTTTCCCAAACACAGCAGCTTTACAATTTCATTTTCTTTCTCGGTCTTTTTCTTGTCGGCCGATTTCGCGTCTCCTTTCTCTGCATCAGGAGCCACCATGTTTACGGCTGTTCAGCAATAATGTCCCGATTCAACAAGCGCTGCTGCGCTATGATAATCAATACGGCCGGACTAGCGAAACTTTCAGGTACAGTATTTCACCTAAGCGTAAACACCTTCCGGTTGGGATGTTCCTTTGGAAGAAGTGGACAAAAGATCCAAAAACAGGTAAAACCACGAAGGTATAAGGCACACAGGTTTGGCAAGAATGCAGAAGATGCACTGCTTACCAGTGCACGGTACTTTGTACTGGTAGATCGAAGAACTCAATACCAACACTGTATCAAGGATTTTACTTCACTGATTATAAAAATGTTTATAACGACACTTGTTCTACTGTTAATTTTCAATTAAATTTGAAAAACAGATCCTCTCCCGTAAAAATCAAATACAGCGTTTTCGGCACTGGAAAATGCACTGAAAACTTTTCCGTCAAACAGCATTACAAGTGGCGTGCCGAGGGTCTCTCGTGGGGGGTTATGGCAGCTGTGCCGATACCGGCGAAACGGCCGTGAATTTGTCACCTGAAAAACTAAAAAAGTATTGTACAAACATTCTGAGTGTTAAAAAAGCTATTCAAATTAGTTCAAAATCAAATTTATAATCAACCAAAATGCGAACTGCAAACGTTGCCGGTTAAAAAACTGCTATCAGCACTTAAATAACACTCTATCTGTACGATTACGCATCATAGGAGATATATCCAGTTGCGAAGCTAGTACATCGGTAGTATGGCTGCCTTCCAAGCAGTTGAGCCGGGTTCGACTCCCGGGCTTCGCATTTTTTCCCTTTTTGCTCCAGACTTTCACTTTAGTACTTTACAAGTGGGTAGGTACATGTACTGGCGCTTATTAGCTGCGTAGTTTCAATGCTTTAGTTTGCACTGCATTTAAATGAATAAAACCTAATTAAGACAAGCCTGCCAGTATGCAGTTACAGTATTATTTCACGTTTTTGCATTTTGGCAATACGATCGAATGACGTTTTAATATCCCATGAACCATGGTCCACCCCAAGATTCAGCAGCAGTAGGCACTTGTACGAGTGACGACAAGCAACTTCATCGAATCTTCTAAAAACTATACAAAATATTGCACACATTGTCACACACATATTTTTAAGATCACAAAATTAATAAAACAAAATGAAAAACATAACATGGCTGTTATTCTATCAGCCTTTTCATGTCCAAAAATGTGTCGCCAACAGTCTCCATGAAACGCTTGGCATTTGTTCCCGGATAGGAGCGAGTGGCGGTGATACCGGCTATTATCCTATCGTGCATCGGATTATAACAACATCCAAACCCATCAGCAACAGCCGGACCATAGCACATATAGCTTTTCAGGTCAGAATTCCCCTATAAACAAAGTAAGCACATAAAATTCAACGAAGCTCTTAAACACAAAACTCTAATAAATAATATAACCCATATACAGAGCATCCCAAAATTAATGCACACTGGTTTTATGTACAAGCACAATAGTTAAACAAAATTTGAGCAAACTACCAAGCGACAACTTTTGATTAGCGGAAACCGACGAATGCTTTAGACTATTAGACGGGTTATAATGTATTCGAAATGTATTTATGGATTAACATACCTGACTTGTCGATAATTTCCAGTGTGTGCTGGTTGTGTATCCAACATCCATCATAAAAGGCGGAATATTATACCCATTCTCAACCGCAGTCAGTTTCAATCCCAGCAAGTGTCGATCCACACCGGCACCTTTTGATGCCTACAAAAAAATCCCAAGATTAAATGAAAAGAAAAAAGGAAGAACGATTCAGGAGCAAGCGAACCTCTGCACCATATTTCTTGTGTGCGTTAACGGCCTCGGTCAGGAGATTTTTTGAAGCCTTGCTCCCGGCGCCTTCTACGACTGCTTTAACAAACTTCATAGATTCTTCACTGGCAGAACGAATAGTTTCCGTGCGACCATGAGCAAATTGTCGTGTAGATGCGCTTTCGTAAGTCGGAGGAATTTGATTGTATAGTCTACAAAAAGCGTATTAATCTACCCTCGACGTACCTGACTTCGAAGTGCATACGTATTTGTAGAATTACGTAAATTAAACCACTGAAATCCTGATATTTATTTTGCGATAAAAATAATACCAGACTTACCGATAATACGCCAGCTGTAAGGCCATTTGAAAATAGCTATCGGGGCTATATTTCCTGCTCTTTATGAAATCTTTTCCATAATCGGTAAAGTCAAGCACGTCCAAATCAACATCCTCCACATGCCTACAACGAAAACCTTTATGCACTAGCACGCATGCGTTATGTTAAAAATTACATTAATAAAATTATTTATCGCACTGGACGTATCGCAAAAAACTTACGTATCCATCAGATCCACTGCCGTATCGATATGAGCAATCATATCCTTATCCAAATCGAAAGTCAGTTGTTTGGCATCCACCGGGACTGCAAATTTTGAAAAATTTTGCCGTTTCTCGACATGATGGTGGTTCGTGTGAAAACCTTCTCCGGTCTGTTTCACAATATACTCCATCATACGAAATAGCGGTGGGCCTTCAATTAATGTATGTTCATAATTCCATCCACATGTACCATCTGCGCCGACGATTAACTACCAAACATGTACTCTGTGAGCATAAAAAACGACCAAGTTGCAACGTTTGCTCCTACTTGTAGCGTTTTATCGAACCATCGGTTGCCGCTGTTCTCCTGCGAGCCGCCTCCGTGTAAAACCTGACGACCGGCAGATGTCAAGGTGTGCTCTTTGATGTTAGGTACAGGTAAATCCAAGCATACAACGAATAAACTCTTCTGGACTTGGTCCAGCATGAACCGATTAGATTTGTTCTTTGAAAGCATTTTATAGGCATGCGACCACACAGAGCGATTCTGTGATGTGAGCATTCCGACCGGGACACTGGGATGGGAGGAGGCTTTGGTAACGACGCTGAGCAAATACAGATACAATTCGTGATGACTGAATGGACGGCCGGATGGATCCTCAATAGGAATTTGAAAAAGCTGCCAAGAAAAAGTTATGACAATGTCATGATTTAAAACCACACCGTTTCGCAAACTTTTTTCATCGTGTTGAAAATTTCAAAAATTCGAAAGTTTTATTTTCAAGCGGATATAAGTTGGCGTTTTAAGAGTTTTATGTAATAGCAGTGCTGCTTACCGCGTTTTTATGCATCACTATAATAAAAGGCTGCTCGACTTCTTGTTCGCCAATGATGATCTCGTCATGCGTACCGCCTGGGATACGGTAGCTGCCGAAAATTTTCAAATACTGGGACATATCCACCGGTTGTCCCTTCACGGCATCAGGCTGTAGTTGTCCCGAATAAATTAATTCGCGAAATTTAAGGATGTGCGTAATTAATGCAGCAGCGGTACGGAGCTGGCCCTCCTGATTGGAGAAATGCAGACATGGGAAGACGATGCCGGGGCTGACATTCACAGGAAGACCAGGTCGATATTCCAGGTATGTTCTATGTAACCACCAATCTTCCAACTACAAGCGACGGCCAACATAAGAAAACTCTTTGGTATGTAATAAAATAATTTACGAATATTTTCGCTTTTTGTGAAGCCTTTTTGTTCGCAAGTTTGTTTCACGTGCCTATGAGAGTACCACTACCCACACATTAAGAAATACAGCTGTGTCAAAATTCATTTGATAATCATTAGAATCAGCAAATTTTGTGGCAAAAATTCTCACTAAAATTAACTGGTCAATTATTAATGCACTAATAAAAACTTACCCAGTTCTCGTGTTTTTGTGCACGCTGCTCCAGAAGCTGCTGCAACGCTTCGCCTTCACCACCAGGTTTTGCAAATTCATCCAGCAGCTACCAAAAAATGATTGTCGCCGTGCAATTTCGAATAATCACACTACGGTATCAGCGTTTTACAATTTATACATCGGTAGTCGCCTAGTTGGTACCTTCTTTGTGTGTCTAAGTTCGCCTTCACTCAAGAACGGTTTAAGGGATTTGTAGTACTTCTCCAGCGTCTGTGACAGGGGTGGCACGGGCAGCGGTGGCAATGCATGCGGATAGGGGTTCTCTTTTCTATGGTCGTGCTTGAATGGTTTCACTGGCATTCCGGCAGTATCTCTTGCGGCCGCAATTTCCGTCGAGGAGCGCGTTAGAAGACAGCGCACAGTGCTTTTCCAAGGTGCTTCCCCCGTGTTCGCACTCTGCGGAGTTCTTTGGCTAATCGAGCAGAGCACACTTCTCGCAACCGTAGGGGGGATTCTTCGTGCATGCATGGCGGGGATAAACGCCATCAAATGCCAACTCGAAAGGAGTTCTCAATGTTATGTGTCTCTCAATGTTCCCAACGTGTCCAATACTAATCCGTATCGTATCGTAATTATTACCTTTCAAACTTCTCAAACGGTATCGGTAGGCCTGGAACTGGATAGTTCGTCATGAGATGCCTGAAAGAAGCGTAATTCTGGAACGAACTGCATTGAGAGCGATACGATAAGGACCTCTGTTTTTCTGCTAAAAATAAGTATATTGCAAGCCTTCTTGAGGTTCCGCAAAAACGGCAAAGTGCAAGTAAAAAAGCATGCAAAAACGGAAAAAAAGTTCACAAAACACAGGAGTCGAGACTCGAGAGAAGTGGACGTTCTGTTTGTAATTACTGTACCTACCTAGTTGTTTGTGTCTTACCGTGACTGCCGCCCTGCAAAAGGTATCCTTAGTGACAACCCGGGTGCGAATATTACGTGTACAAACATACTACCAGTGCACCACATCATGATTGCGCAATAAAATTCTTGACGGTGGAGCTGTTCACGGTAGCTTGTATCAACGCAGCGCACAACATACAGTAGCAGCGTTGTGTGTGCTGCAGTGCTGATAAGTGATTAGTCACTAGTGAGAATGGTTACTATATTAGTTTTTCTGTTTCTTATGAATCTTATGATGTATGAGTGTCGTTTTGATTACTTGGGCTAATTACCTCTTTCTGTACATTTTATTTCTATCGCATTATAACAGTTACAGAGTATTCTACAATTTCTGGAGTGGAAATGTGGGCAGGTACTGATTGATCTTGTGTTCTTATTTGCCTGTGAGAAGCAGCGAAAGTGCGAGGAGCCTCTCTTTGACCAACGTAAACTGCACCGTTCACGATCTCACCCGTGCAGCTGCGATCCCGAGTATAGCCCAGCGCACCCTGCTATCCGATCAGTGGTCATGGAGGCCGTAGAGGTCGGCGATCTGACGAAACTGCTCAGCGAAACGGACACCCTCGGTAAGCAATGAGATCTACGAACCTTGCTTTAAAGTTGTTCAATTGAATTATCGTTCCCCTTTGAACGGCGGGAATCTCGATGGTCGTTGCAGAAATGATTAAAAAATCCAAATTAATTAGGAACGCTCCTCCAGAGTCCGGAGTCCAGAGAGTCTATCGCCAGATATAATTATAAAAGAGCCACATATAATTATAGAAGAGCTTTACCGTTTACGTAGATTCATTTTTGTTTTGTATTTTAGAGTGAAAATGCAGCAAGACCGCTGCGCTGTATGCTTCGAAGTTGCATCCGGTTTGAGTTGCGGAGTGTTGACGTGCGTACCTTGCAAACTTTTCTTTCTAGCCAACTGGAAAAAACGGTGCGTGGCAGAATAGATGTTTCATATCATTCTCTCGATAAAATACACCGTTCGTTATCGTTTAATTATTTTAGACTTTAGAATGTAAAAAAAGCGGTCGGTGTGCGGTCGAAAATGTTTCCCGCAAGACGCAGCAAATGTCGTTTGGAAAATGTCGTGCAGTCGGCATGGATATTAGAAATCCTCAAAGCATCCAGACCGCGCCCGGTTGGAAGCGGAGCTTTAGAACTTCGCAACCACAGAACTCCTAATCCTTTCGCAAAGAAAGCTGTCAGAGCCGTTGTTCGAAACGCCCAAAGTGTGGATGACTTGGAAAATTACTCGTTGCGGTGAAGAAGGAAAATTTTGAGGAAACTGAATGTGTGCCGTTCGCGCATAAAGTTATCAAGGTATCTGTTTATCATTTTAAAAATGAATAGATTAGAACTTTGCGTGGTTGAATACTACTGAATTTGTTTTTTCAGTAAATTGTTAATGCTGTTTTACATTTAGGTTAACGAAAACGAAGTCTTGAGTCATGTTCTGACCGCACGGATATTTCGATGGAATCGCGTAACAGCAAACAACGTCTCTTCTTCACACAAGTGCACGGTGGATACCGGTTCCGTTTGCATTAATCCTTACCATTATCGTAAAGCTGAAATGGCGGATCCGGTTGGGAGCGTCTGCGTTGTGACGGGTTGCAGCAATTACACAAAAAAAAAATCCCAGCCCGGGATTTTTCCGTTTGCCGGACAGAACTACAGACGAAGAGCGCTATTTGCAGTTTTTCTCCTGTGTGCTCGTCAAGATTTGGATAAGACGGGATTCACCAAACACCACCGCATTTGTGGAAAGCATTTTCTTGAGTCTGATTTTAATACAATGTAAAATTAATTGCAAAATTAAAGAAACAACTTCTATGCCGGCTGCTGACATATATTTTTTTGCAGAGGAAAACGGCGGATGCTTAAGAAAACGGCGATGCCAACACAGTTTATGCCTAAGCCAATCAATATCGCTCCTTTGAGAAGAGATGTTGTCCGTTTGAGCTTTGAAGAAACCGAGGCAAAGAAAAAGCTGGGATTTTGGAAGTTAATGTCTTCTGATAAATACCAACATGTTCCGGGCAGGCCGGAGTGGGTACGAGTGCGCTGCAATGATTCTGTCATCGTTTTCGGACGCGTTCGAATGCTATCGGAGGAAACGACTGAAGCCGTTGCGGACACACTAACTGTTAACAAGAGTCTCAAGGCCCTGCTGAAATTGGGAGATCATGTTGTTTCCACTGACGTAATGAATTGTTTAGCAGGGTCGGACGATGCAACGAGTACTTACGGTTTACAAAAGATCTGTGATTTAGACGCTGCAGTCATTGACAACGGTTCACGTGATGTTGAAACGCAGTGCCGAAATGTGATCGCTGGCGCCAAACGAATTATAACACATCTCGAACAAGAACAGGATGCAACGTTTGTGGACAGTGATAATGGATTTAACGACGATGAAGATGAACAGTGTCAACGTCAAAAGAAACTCTTATGCGTCTTTCGATTTGTTGCTGAATTAATGGAGCACTCTATTACCAGATGCCGAAGAGCTATTCGACATTCTGATGCTCTTATACGATTTTGCGGCATGCTTAAAAGTATTTCGACAGCGGCATACAATTATTTTCGGAATTTTCTGTTTGGACTTCTTCCCCATATTAACCACCTACAAACTGCGCTTCTGTAAATTCCTATTCGGAAGGTATTCAGGATGAAAATTTGGCCAAATTGAAGAAAATCTCGGAATCCGTTGAAGATCGCCATTTGATGTTGAACTTATCAGCGACCAAACATTCACCGACGAGAAACTGGAGTATCGCGGAGGAGAAAATAACGGGGTTGCAGCCAGGAGGACGTTGTCGCTGCGAAACATGTTTTGCTCTTGATTATTCAAAGTTTCACTGGAAAAGTTCGTAAAGTCGTCGCATATTATTTTGTTAAAAATCTGAATGGGGCTGAGATGGCTGAAATTCTGGAAGCGGTCTTGAACTCAATATCAAAAAATACGAAATTCCGGGTTCTGGTGTGTTCGTCGGATAACGGAGCCGAAAACATGGGATGCCATTCGCGCTTCATAAGCGACAAGACGAAGTTTCCATGGACTTTTCCCCATCCCTGTGCTGACGGAAGTATTGTATATGTATTATTGGACATCGTGCACTTACTCAAACGAATTTGGATGAACTGTATTCGGGAAAATAATTCGTTCGTTATAGAGGTAACTAAATCATTTCACCTGGTGTTCATGTAAATATCTGCCTATTAAAATTAATTAATTTCTTTTTATTTTCAGGTTGGAACTCGTCGGGTAGACTTAACGCTACTTTTGCAGATATACGAAATAGAACGCGGTTCCGTCATAAAAAACGCGCCGGATTTGACAGCTAAATTATTTTATCCGAACGGGTTTGAAAAATGGATGTATCGAATGCGGAAAAAGCATGCATTATGTTTCTTTTTGTACCGATAACTTTCTTATCTCGCAAATAGAATCGTACAGATTCAATAAGGACGTTACTTACTTTTGAAAGCATATTTACGTACGTAACTTATTTTCAACCAGAAAACCGAATTAATTCATTTAGTACCGTACCGCACTTACTATTTATTTTAGATTTTTTGTTCTGACCGGACTTTGGGGACACTGCAGATGCTGCTGCGAGATCAGGAACATCCACTCCTAAAAGAATTAGCCAATGTGCGCAGCGAAACTCGAGACCAGTGCGTAAAGTGCTTGGATGTACTCGTCTGGTTCATTCAGACTGTGCAAAGAATTGTCATGCCTCTTACTGTACTGAATCCTCGTCAAGCTGCTCGTCTAAAGCAGCCGCTTTACGAAGCTGTTACAAAGGGCAACATCGATCGCATTTTCTCTGTAAGTTAATTAAGATGAAACAAGGGATGTTCAGTTTTTATTTTTTGTTTTATTTAGGACATGAAAGTAGCATTGTCTGAGCTCCGTCCATCGACGAACGCCAGGAAATCGTTGCCCCGACCGACGTGGACTGGTCTGCACGTTACCGTGTACGGCACAGAAGAAGTTGCCAGAAAGCTGTTGCACGCCGGTTTTGAGTTTGTTCTTCCCGGAAAAATGTCTAGTGATCCAATAGAGGTAATCTGCTAGAACATTATGAAGCTGATGTTCGAATTTATAACTAACATTTTGCAGAGAATATTTTCTGCGTTCAAATATGGTTCTGGAAAGGTAACAGTTGGGAAAGTGAAAGAAGAAGTTGCAAGGATGGAAACATTACAGCATCTGACGGGAACAACAAACGTCAGCCGCATGGGACGACAAAAGAGAAAAATACCGGTCTGACTTTTCCACATCCCCATTGAAAAAGAAACGCCATATTGACCGGCCGCTGCGCACGAAAGTTTTCAGCTTTGAAGCAGATATCGGATACCTGCGTGCGTTAGGCGAGTTGTCTGCACATGTGCCGTCAGATATATTTTCCGGACTCCAAAAAATCGATCCTCGGCTCTGGAGCGCAGCGACAATTGCAGATCTTGTTACAGCAGATCCGTATACGATTTTCAGTTGCAGAAAAGGTAATATTTTCAGAGCATTTCAGTGTCTTAGCAAAATTTATTAGCCGGCTACTCATTATGTTTTGTAGATGTCGTAGGGACTGGCTTGACTGATGTTGGCGGATATATTGTTTCAAAAATGCAAAAGGGAAAGTTTCCGTGCTCTTCGTGCAAATCTGGTATCGGAAATCTTCTGGGTGTTTGTTTTCGGAAACCGGCGGGTTAGTTGAAGCACGATCTCGGGTTGAATTTGGTGGCTTAAGTTTACCTTCCCCGCAGTTGGACAAACTGCTGCATTATGCGCTTGGATTTTTTGAGCGTTTGCAAAAAATCAGCGAATTTTATAAAGGCGACAGCCATTTGGAAAGGGCACTCAAACTCATTCTCCTCGATGGATCTCCACGGCTTTCATCCTCTTAGTGATATTTGTGTATGTGAATCGACGAAGTATTTAGAGTATGAATGTCTAAAGCGGTTCTTTAACACTGCGTTTAAAAAATGATGTGATTGAGCGCCGAGCCGATGCTGTGAAGAAAAGTATGGTGCTCGGAAGTCTGTACCGATGTCGACTGATCCTGGTAAATTGAAAAATTAAAGCAGCTATAAGCCTATAGCAGTCACTGTTGACACTTCTTCCGTTTATTGCTAGGCTTACTTTTTTTTTAAATTGTTAATTAATTTTAACCAAAAAATATTTACTCAGATGTTTTAAGTGATAGATCAAAAGTTTTAATGGTACAGAAAAGCCGGAATATTATTGATTATAATCTCCGAAATACTGTGCTGTCAAAACAGAGGATAGCATAGACAGCTACACAAAAATTTGCAGGTAAATGTGGTATGTGCAAACAGGAAAATAAATACATTTTCGCATTTTAAATTTGAAAAAATATTATTTGCTAAAATTCCTGTCAATACGTCTACGCACTTAGCTTCACAGTCATAATTCCATACCTTAAACACACATGGCTGCGCGAGCGCGGGACCGATACGTACTTGCAATAATAAATGTTAAGAAACGAGTCAGAAAATTAAACAAAATAATAATAATACAATTATTACGACGTATCTCGGCAAATGTTATAATTTGCAACTTCACTTCTATCCGTAAAACAAGGCTATCGGTATTGTGGTGTGCTCACTGCGCACTGTACACGGCGCTGCGTTGATACAAGCTACCGTGAACAGCTCCACCGTCAAGAATTTTATTGCGCAATCATGATGTGGTGCACTGGTAGTATGTTTGTACACATATTACATTCTTATGGTTAATTGAATATTAGACCGCGTGCGATGACAAAGTGCCGCTCGTGGCAAAATTCAAAAGGATACGAAAATTCAAATTCCGCCCCGTGCTCGATTGGCATTTTCAATTCATTTTGGTCTGCCGTGTCAGTTTCTTTACACAGCCGTGCGATTTGCAACGCCATAAATGAGCATGATTTGACTGTAAAATAATTATCCGCTGTCTGAATTGTACTAGTACTCGTACTAGTACAACAGTATTATTCGTGGTTTTTTGAAAACATACCGACAGTTACCGTTTGTCGTTGTTGTAACTTTTTGTTTAGCCTTTTCTGGCTTTAGTTTTATCTACTTGATTATTACAAAAAAAACCTACATTATTGTAAACGGCTTTTTTATACTAGGCGCTGTTTTGATGTTTGATATTCAAATCTTTTCATCGCATTCGCGGATAACCGCTTCGGGGAGTCCCCTTTTATTCGTAACACGAAAATAGAAAATTCATCAATTGACCCGGAGACACCAGACTTACGCACACGTAGTCTAAAATCAACATCTAATTGCCTCCAGAATTTCTCTGCTGATTAAAAGTCTACAGCACTACTTATGACCTGGGATAACAAAAACTTTCTTAAAAGAAATTCAATTGCAACACGCATGGCTTCTCTAGCACGGCTGAACGGTAAACTTTCTGGGACATACTTAATGCCATCGGGGTAGGATTCGTGTTCTACACTTCTAGTACACAAGCAAGAACGAAAATATATGCGGATAAGTAAATACGTATGTACGTAGCTGGACGTTAAAAGGAGATGGCAATTGCGACTGCATTTGGTCATGCCAGTCATTCCGCCCTACACGCCCCAAGCCCCCCAAACGAAAATGCCAAAATTCGAAGTTTTTGGAATCTTCAGAATCGGTCTGCCAGAGCGGAAATTCCGAACGCGACGAAATTCCGAGCGCGACGATAATTACCAGCCAATGGCAGCATTCTCGGGGTGGGCATGAATTTTAATTTCGGCCGTCATTTTCATTTTCGACTGGCATGTTCATCCCGCCCAAGAAAATCGCACTGGGTACATTGTAACTGACACTAACTGCATGCATGGCCATACATGGGACAGTCTGGGAGCAAATACATTCTGATTAACCGACTTGTGAGGTAACTAATAAGAATCTTTTTTTTATTATCAACTTGTACAAGCCAATGCCATTTACGTTAAAACTTTAAATACCCAATAATCTATTCTCCCAGATAGGTTATCATAGGTAGTTCTACAGCATTCACAATTACCAGGAAGCGGAAGCTCGCTCAGTAAATACTAACCCTTTTGGACGGTTTGCATTACAAATTATATTCAGAAAAGGTTACCAAAGTTTTTTCCAGCATCTCATTTTTCTTGGTAAATGCATTCGTAAACGCATTATGACGAGGTAGACTTTAAAAAACATCAAAACGTGCACAAATTGTAAAATAAATTTTAGCAGGTAAGGCGAGCAATAATTTCTCTGCTGCAAGTTTAGTAAGTCCATTACTACGAGTAGCACTACAAACATACAGTGCAGTGTAGTAGCTGTCGAAACGGTATTAAGACCTCCTTTTGATATACCGTAATACTATTTTTGTAGATTTTATTTGGTGTAGCACATGTGCAAGTACACGTCAGATTTTATGGAGCCGCGAAAATCATCGACCTGGAAGACAGCAGAATGATTGTATCCTGGTGTGCATTGTTTTGAGCAGTCACGTGCACACGCAACAGCAAGCATATAGGGCTGACAATGAAGCATCAGATTTGAAATGCTGGCTGGGGTCAAACGTTCATCCAGAGTGAGACGCCGGAAGTCCGAATTTAATGATTATAAGGTCGCGGGGATGTTTTCCTTTGACGCCTCTGCGGCGGCTCAAATCATTTTAGTTTCGCGCTTTTGACCGTAACTTGCTGCCGTACCTTATATATACTGTTATTAGAGCTTACAAGATATACGCAATCATGTCAAATCGCTAATAAAACTGGTTTAGTGTAGCACATAGACCTGGTACGTATATACCTCGTATTTCACATTTCGAAAAAAATATAGAATATAAATATACAGTACTGCAGTGTATAAACTTTATACTAGTAAATAAATGCTTCATCACTGCATGCATGATGTGGTGATCCGCATGCGCATTATATCTATATACTGTAATGAAACCTCTGAAATACGTACACCTCCGTACGGAAAATTTCGTACGTAATTCAGGGGTGTACATAATTCAAATTAGCTACCCCCAGCCCCCCTGGGGGGTGACTGCAGACCTAAGGGCAGTGCCCCACTGCGAAATGCTCTTCACATACTGCGAATTGCAAAAATGCACGGATATCATTAGTTTATATACAAAATTGCATCAGTCTGTGTGTATGTAAACAGACGAGAACAATTCTCTCGGACACTTTCAGCAGAAAAATTTATCAAAACCTTACTCAGGATACAAAAATCTAGCAATTTCGAGCGTAGTTTTCTTTGCTTCTTTGAATTTTCACAACTTTACCATCAAAAAGTTTAAAATCTCCAGTTCCGAAACAATGGTGTACGCATTCACGAGGTGACTGCGTACAGTTAAATGCTTAGGCGGTACAGACATTAAGTGTACGTGTACGCAACGCTGAGGTGTACGTTATGTAGAGGTTCCCCCTGTACTTTAGTCTACGACGTAATTCGGTACAGAATTTTTCGTACGTAATAAAGGGGTGTACGTTTCTTCGGGGTGTACGTACGATGAGGTTTCACTGTAGTCTGTAGCGATAGTATTTGTACGAACGATAAGACCGCCCAGTTATGATGAATCATTCCATCGCGTTATGAATTTGTCCACTTTACCGGCTAGTTTCCTTTCTCGTGAATTTCTAGAATTCAGTCTTGTGCTCAGCTTGCTACAGCTTGCATCAACTTGTTCCTCTTGCTGAAACTCTTGCCGTAAACCTTGCTCCGTTTCTTGAACGCCTTGTCATTAAACATGCCTTGAGTTACGTTGTTGTGTTTGACCGCTTGGGATGAACTAGCGTCATCCCAATCGGAGCCACCTGTGTAATTACGTTACATCTGTAAGAGCGTCCTCGGCCAGCATCGTTGCCGGCCGTGCCACCTTTCATACCAACAGCCGCATAATCGTGGTAAAGGCTGATCGCCACCCCACTAGAACAGCAGCCAGATAGGCTGTTGTTACTCCCGTAATTAATAGATACTCCCGTAGCTGCAGTTGACGACTGAAAATTAATGTAGTTAATCTCTCGTATGGTAAACATTTGCTTGCATATGTTCGTTATCACATAAATATTCCTTGTTTGAGTCGTTTCTACATATTTATCCCCATGTAACGGTTCATGTAACGTTTTTGTAACGGCAAGTGAATTTTAGCAGTACCACAAATCAGGTTATTGTTATTTGTTTGTACAACCAGTACAATTATCAAGATTGTACATTTTTACGGTGGTCAAAACAACGCAAAGGCTCCAGTCACGTCGTGTGGAAAACTTCCATAAATCAGATATTTATAGTATGAACTTTACTTACCATTAGTTACGAGTATATGCAGTTGGCGTTAAATTGACGGCTAAATCCTCCATGCAGTGTACAATACAATATCTACTCGTAGGCACTGTGGCAGACGACTTCCGAACACCGGAAATAAGCGCTTTTATGCAGAGTTGTACCATCGGGCATCGGTCCATCTCGAGAAAGTAAGACATTTCTTCCTGGAACAGTATCAATAAGGCCGGGGGCATGTAGTCTTTTTCGATCGTATCATTTTTTTGGCGTGAAAACGGCCTTGAAATGCGCAAAATTGACTGAGTGCCTGTAAAGCAAAAGGCATGGGCGATTTTCATATGAAATCTGCAGCCGTCAGCAAAGAAGGAAATAATTTGGCTAATATTGTTTTATGAGGGCTAGGGCGCTAGCTTCATTAAAAGTTTGTTTCTATTTCTACGTATACGGGATATAAAAGCTGAATTAAAATGACCGCAGTTCATTCTGTGACAGGTTTGTGTTTAGCAGTTCTTATTTGTCAAGTTAGTTTGAACCAAGCTGCATCTGGCCGGCCCCATTCGTCGTGCCGGTATTATTCGCCAGACCTCGAATGTACCGAATCCAATTTGGAAATTCCCACAAAGTTCGATGTTAGCCAAATACCTACTGACATTCGCACTATACGTCTGAACTGTCCGAACAGTCACCATGCGGGTGTTTACTGCAATACGCTGAAGCGGAACGCACAGCCGTTTCCTGGGCGGGCACAGTTGCACTCAGTGGCTTTGTATGGCTTCCAGCTGGACGATGGTGCCAAATTTCTCACGACGGCTTTACTCGGGAACGTCAAGCAGCAGATCGATATACTGGACATCCGCTATTCCAAATTTACTAAGCTAGATGCGGAAAGCTTCAGAGGATTCAGTGCATTAAAGACTCTAATCATCGAAGGGAATGATTTAGTCGACATCGCGGCGGATACCTTCCAGTTTTTGGGCGCCAGGTCACCAATTTTGTCTGACATCAGTTTGGGAAGCAATCGCATTGTGTCCTTTGATTGGTCTGCTTTGAAGCCTGTGGCTGATTCTTTGGTTAGAATGCGTAACAATTTGAATACATAGTACGTATATTAATGCAGTTATTAAATAAATACCCACAAATTGTTTTTCTGATTGCAGAAAGACTTAATTCTGTCCAACCAGCGCGGTTCAGGACTGCAAACACTTAGCCGCAGTTCATCGAGCTTTTCCCTGAAGAAATTAGACACATTGGGACTGAACAACAATAAACTCAAGACCGTTCCTAAAACAGTCCTGGAAACCCTTAACAATTACGCTCTGTACTCTGGGCCCTATTCTTTTAAAGGGAATCCCTTTTGCCCTGCGGATCCCAACTGTGGTTGCTGTGAACTGAAAGACTTTTTTGCATGGGTACGCGAGTCTGAGAAGAATGCCAAAGGTGACATGCGGCTGATGGTGGACTATACCTGCGGATCGGGAGCCACAGCCAAACAGCATCTGTTGACCGTTACAACAGCCGGATTTGATTTGACTACCGGAAAACCGAATTACATTAATGGGGAAACAGCTGAATTTAATCCGTTCCCATCAAAGAACCCTAACACTGGCAGAGATCCATGTGAAGCAGCATAATAAACGACGATTATTAATGATAAAATATATAAGCGCCCGTGTGGCTGTATGGTGCAGGATAGCTATTGTAATGATTGAATAGTATGGTTGTTGTATTGATTGTTGATAGCGGGTGTATTATCTGCCGACTGGTGTTGCATGTTATAATTATCCGTAATAAATAAATATGGTCGCTTAAATAATTATACTCATTTTGCTTTAAAGCTCCCAAAATACCTTCGATGATATATTTGATTGTCATCGGTACCGTTACACCTTGCCATATTTTGAAAGTTATTTGCACCAAGGAATGTGGCTCCAAATAATGCGTTCTTCGATCAGATAGCACTTTCAGATAATTGTAATTTCCGGCAATGAGCGCTGATCCCACTTCACAGATAAATCAGCATATCCACTGTCCTGAAAATCTAGTGGCTCCAGATCTACAGATAAATTTAAGGAATATTGCTGTTTACTAATAAGTACAGAGTACGTCAATAACCTTGTTGGAACGACGGCTGGAATACATCGCAAACATTTATGTGGATTACGATGCATATTAAAACATCTCATTAAATCGTACATGTACCAACTATAACGCCGGTTCCGTACTGAAAAACAGTATACAAATATAATATGTCACAATCGTGTGTGAAACATCCAATTCAAATATCCGATTTCGAGGTGTGCACTCAGTGTGCAGTCATAGACAAATTGGCATAACATCTGTATAATGCAGCAGCCAAATGGAAAGTGTCGTTAGTAACTGCATTGCAAAATAAGGCATACATGCTGGAAGAAAAACATTAATCTAGAAACCCTTGTCATCATTTGTTGATTGTCCATTTTGCAGTTTTACAACAACATTAATGGCGGAAATCGACAAATACATTTTATTTGAAGCGCTGTTACTGCTTTTCTCACATTCAGTTGGATGTGTCGACAATGTCCAAATGACCTTTGTAGATATTTTGGTCATTCATTCCGGTTTTTTAAACTCCTCCTTCGGACTTATTAACACGGTTCAGTCCGGCGTTCACAAGGCTAATGCCGTCTTGCAGCATGCCAATGTGGAGTTCACGCCATATTTTATTCCCAACATCTCCAAATGGGATTACGACACTAGTCTGTCCGACAACATAGAACATTTATTAGCTAAAGAGTACTACGAAAGTTTAAATTTCTCCCATAAAACTATCGTCATCTCTCTGAGTAAGGTTTGAGCGTAGCCAGTCTCGGAAACAGTGGTCGATGACCTTTATGTTTTAGACTGCACCGACGATCTGCGGATTGGGAATATGACAAAGTTCTGGGATATTCTTTATGTAACCACGTAAGAAGTTACCCGCACTTCTAATTTTTTAATCTGCGTATAATTGTGCGGTGCACGTACCAAAATCTTTATTGAAATCTCAAAGGTATCTGCTTTATTTAATTGACACTTTTATCAAATTATAATTTAATTTTGTTAGCGGAAGGCAGTGCAAGCAGTATCCGGCTGCTCATGAAGTGTATCTCGGTATGCAGTCTACGGAGAACTACGCGCAAATCCTGTTGGACGTTTTACGTCTGTATCGCTGGTACAATGTGTTCTTCTTCGTCGATAACGCGTTGGACATTTTCTTGGAGCTGTACGCTGCCGCCCGTGCAGCAATCAGCCAGTTCGACGATATGGATACCTCAGTGCAGTTTTTCACTGGGCAGGATTTAAATGCTTCTATGACGCAAGATCTCCTTTACACATTCAAAGAGCAATCTCGAAGTACATAAAGGTCATAGTACCACCACATTGTCCTGAAACTTTCATTTCACTGGTTGTTGTAGTTCTGATTGTCATTTCTCCGGGACTGATATTGCGGAGCGTCCTGGTACATATGAATAATTGTTATGATTTATGTAAAAGACCTAGCTCGGCTTCAATAATAGCTTAAGAAATGACGAAATGTTGCATTTCTAGATTGAAGCGGCTCATTTGGGAATGACCAATGGACAATTCGTAAACCGCACATTAATCTAGCAGCTATTATTTTGTAATCGGTGTTTTTTTGAAGATGTACATTGGTATGGAGAGATGGCTTCACGGGGAAAAAGACTTCCACTGGGAACAAGGAGATAGCTTTGACGCAGTACGATCCCGATTTCACATTACGCCGACAATTGTTTCGTTGCCGGTCTCCTCGTTATTTTTTTCAGATCGCGCGTTCTGCTTTCCAATCGCTCCTGATCATTTCTTCTATACTGAACAAAGGTCTCAACTTGCATCAATTAATGGAGATGAGGGCGATGGCGACAGCGACCGCTGTTCAGGCCATCGCTCAGGTAACAATAAATTCGTAAAATAATAACACCTCACTGTCGACAGTGTCGTAATTGCTGTAATCGTTATCTGTGCGTGAAGGTCTTGAACGATCTACCACATTCATTACTTGATACCGGAAGCCAGTTATCGACCCATTTTGCCCACAAGACCTTTTCCGGTATTGCGGATCATTTGGTATATGTATCACAGCAGCGTTTGCGGGTGACCAACATGACGGTACGATCGCTGAATGTACGAACTGGAGCAATGCAGGTAGCGCAATGATAGTGACTCAACAAAAATTACGTACAATTTCGGGGTGTGAACTTCACAGAATGCATTAGTCTGGAATGTGCGCACTGGCACTTTTACCAACATCCATCAGATTTGCTGGCCTAATGGTGTTGGACCGCCAGAGAATGTTCCGCGCTGTGGATACCGTGGCGACGAAGCACCATGTCAAATGTTTTGTCAGTAATCCGCATAGCAAAATTTTTGCAGTGATATAGTTTGTCCGTGACCTTTTGCAGCACTCCACTACCAAGGACTATTCGCCGGTGTTGTCGGCACGTTATACCTGTGCGGAGTGGGCTATGTCCTGGCGACTATGCGGATCAGGTATATCAAGGCTTTGGTCAGCATATGAAAAGAGGTTTTGGAAACGGTGAATTCCATAGATCGCATAACACACGCGATGACCGCTGGTGGGACATTAAGATGAGCCTAATCACACGGGTCGCCCAAGCGCATCATAACGTGTCCACGCGAAATCTCCTGACAGGGATGGCGTCGGATAAAGATCGCACCGTAAGAAGGTCCTGAAATTTAATAAATTTAATTACCTGGGTTTTTTTGTAGGCGGCAGCTATCGCGGGCGACAAGTTTGTTGGGCAGGCATTATTGCACAACGAGAATGTTTGGATCAAGTTTATCTACTTCAACCCGATGAATGTATCAGCCTCGGCTAACCTGATCGTAACAGCAGCGACACGAACACTTCTCCAAAACGTACGCAACATTAATGCAGTTACAAAACAGCATGCACACGAAGTCGTCATCCGTGACCTTATGGCTGTTTTAGCTTGGTAACTGTCTGCACATCAATGTGTGCAAATTCTACGGTCTTTTTACGATTTCCACGGGATATTCTCAACGTGTTTACGCGGTTGATGAGTACTGCGAACGGGGAAATCTGCACGGATTGCTGGAGATCCGTAATTTGGACTGGTCGTTTCGCTCGTCGCTCATGGTTGATCTGCTCGAAGTACGAGCTCGTAACATATGTTATTACATTTCGAACGCTGCAACATAAATGCAACAAGTGCTTCTGTATTTAAAAGGGCATGGCGTATATACATTCCAAACCAATTGGCTACCATGGACACCTCAACGAGTTTAAATGCCTTATCAATCGACGTTTCATGCTGAAGATCGGCGAAACCGGGCTGGACCGGATCAAGCGCCAGTTACTCGCCAACTCGTACACGGGAACGGCTGATATGCCGCCGAACAAACTGTATTGGACGGCACCAGAACTGCTGCGCAATGCGGCACAACCCAACCAAGCGACGGACGTGTACTCAGTAGGCATACTTTTGTATCAGATGCTGGTGTGGACCGAGCCCTACGACGAACAAACGGAGCAATATACTAATTACATAATATAAAATTATCTTTTTTTATTTCATCTTCGCTACGTTAATAAATTTTTGTTTATTTATTAAAATGGAAACTCTTAGGTAGAAATAGTAAAAAGTTTCTCCTATGGTAGTTATTGAGACTTCGGTGACCTTTACAGAGATTGTCGCCGCGATTACGCACGAAGACTCCGCCCACCGCCACTCACTGCGCCCCACTCTGGCTGGTCACGACATCAGTAAACTGGTGCGACAAGCCCTGCAAGCATGCTGGAGCAGCAACCCCAAAATCCGACCGAAAATGCGGGACCTGCGACGGGACATCTACGGGGCATGCAAAATCAGTCCTGCGACGAATTTGTCGGAAAACCTTTTGCGTCGTTTCGATGCATACATTCATGAATTGGAAGTACAGCTGCAAGAGCGAACGGATATGGCGGTTCACGAAATCAACCTTTTCCAGCAACGTTTATATGACCTTTGGCCAAAGTAAAAAAGCCGTCATTGTATTTTAAGCCGTCATTGTAAAAAAGCCGTATTGGATTGTAATATAATAATCCCGTGTTCTAGAGAAATTGCCGTAAAAATTTGGAACGATCAGTCCGTGCATTCGCATTCACACGAAGACGTGACCATCCTGTACGGTGACGTGGTGGATTTTGAGGAGGTCATCGAGCAGCTGACACCCAATGCCTTATTTCATTTTCTGCAAGATTTTGCGCTAGTGCTTAATCAGGCCTGCGCGGGGCTGTGCGTTATGAAGATCGAACTTCTTGGAGCGTCTTACATCGTACGTTTTTCTCCGCAGAGCGATGTTTTATAGTATTTAGCTAGACCTAATTCAGCCGCCAAAATCCATTCTATTATATTTCACAGTTCCAAATTTGCATTTTTAAGCTGCTTTGAATTTGCTATACTTTACTTTAATTCACAATAGCATGATAACAATATCAAGAGTTAGTTTCACTTAAACAAAACAACATTTTCTACAGTACCCATGACAGAAGCGGCATTACCCCTTTGAATTGCTAAAGAAATAAATATTCTGCCTCAAAAACTCGTGGCTGCGAATCTCGCCTGTTTGTAACTCGATGAATTTGCTTGAGTTGTGAACACTGACCTCGTTGTTCTAGTACTGCTCCGGCATAGTGACCTATACCGGTAAGGATCCTGTACTGGAAATCTGTAAAGCCGCCAACAATATCCGCGAATATTTTACCTCATCCTCCAAACTGCAGTGGCTGCCAGTTCATATTCGCATTGGAATCAGCACCGGTATACAATTGTAGAACACTTAGATATTTGGTACTCCAACATTATTTTTCATGACCTCACCCGGGTGTTTCTCCAACAGGTCCATGCATTTCGGGGGTGATTGATCCGGCTCGGCCACGTTATCGTTTGTAATTATTTTACTTACAAATAAAAAATACTCTTCACGTTGACGTTCACTTCGCCATTTCAGTCAACTGTGTGTATTACAGATTAGGCTCAACCCTGAAATTTGCACGGACATTATGCCATCAGGGTGACGGTAACGGCATCTACTTAACCACTTCAACCGCCGAGCGCTTAATGGAGCGCCATCCTGACGTTGGCTTCCTGGTGACACCGTTGCGCCGGGCTATGCACAGCCCGCGTTTCCACACGGTGCTGACGCCGGCCGTCTATGTCCTGGAGCGACGAGCCCAGACCAGTCAGCTGACGCCGGATCGGGCACTGATGGGCAAGGGAAAAAAGATGCGTGCAAGCCGCGATCGCACTAAGTCACCAGCTGTGCATACCCGGGTCAGCAGCTCCAAAAGCTTGTACACCAAGTTAGCGAAATTGTGAAAAACCGACACAAACCAGCCTCTAATGGACTGCTGGTATATTGCTTTATAAAATAAAATCGTTACAAGAAATGCCATTCGAATTCATTTATATTTCAATTTTGCTGGCAAAGGTGGCTTAAAGCGTATAAATGTTGCATGTATAAGCAACAACTAATAAGTTTCTTGCACAATTTGACTGCTAAACGTTTTTGGAATAACTTTCTATTTGCCTCCAATCGTATGGTGCATTAGCAAGATGTTTGAATACTGAGTGGGTCTGGGTTTCGGAAAGCACTTCTATGGGCTGTTTTTTATTTGGTTCGAGCAAATGTTTGACCTTTTTTCTACAGCTATGTTATAAATTTGCATGACTTTTGTTGAGACTGCGCAGTATATAGCACAGAATTTTGAATTTTAGACGTCGCCGCGAACGATCTTTAAAGCTTACGACTCTGTTCTAATCTACATGCTTCGTTAGGTATTCCGGCCTAACATTGTTTCTCAGGTGCTGTATAGAATGACAGCCAACCAATGATTACAAATAAAATTAATTCGTTTTTAATACTAAATTGTAAGTTATTATAACAACCAAAATACCGGTGACCGGTTCCCGGTGGCGTCAGAAAACGACACAGCTAACATACTTCTCAACAAAAATTCTTTAAAAATCGCAAAGTTTGATTATTAAACTGGACAAAAACCGCCAAAAATCTGAGTTGCAATTCATCAATTCTCGAGCAAAATGTAAAGCAGCGCATGCATTTACAATGCACCAGTTGAAGAACCAGATTTCTCCGCGCTTACAAAGATCCGAGTCAAGCAACTGCCGGCACAACCGTGTGCACGGTTAATCCAAAAACTTTGGTCCTTCCATTTTGGTTTTTATTAGTGCGAAATTCGTTATTCTCCATACTTTCCATCAAAATCACAGATTATCACGAAAGAAAGATCACGAACGAGCATGCAGATCCCAACTGCAGACTGGAATGAGCGAACACAAAGGGCACGATCATACGGCATTTATGTGCTGCTTCATGCAGGCCTGAAAACCAACACTTATGAGAATCGGGTACGCTGGAAATGATATAAATTGCTGATTTACCTCTTTGCTTTTCTGCCACGCTTGCATATGCTTTTTATACTTTTGGAATTCATCACACCAGTCTCGGTAGACCTTCTTATATTCTGCTTCGCTCCTCGGTGTTTGACAGCTCTCTGTAAAAATAGGCACAACTATTAATTAACTCATCTTCAAAAAAAGTTTTACCGTATCAAAAATTTTTCGGTGCGGTAGGTTTTAACTTTTCGATGTGGTAATTACCTTGATCGACGCCCAAACTGAATCTGCACACAACATCGTGTCCACTGTACATTTCATAAGAACCGGCATCGGATGGTCTTATTTCTGTCAGCAGTAATCCCTCTTCCGTGCGATGTAATCGGTGTTTTCGCAGCTCCTTGTCCAAACGGGCTTTATTGTGAACCCAAAATACATCTTTCGCTTTTTCGGGCGAATATGATGTTTGATATCGGCAAGGGAGAAACACTGTCTGCCCTAGTAATGCACTGGTGTTCTGCCACTTCACGCACTCATCGCAAACCAGAACGCGCTCCTGTCTAACGTCCTGAAGAAAATTGGGATCAGGACGCCACTTCAAAGATTCTGGAAGAAAAAACCAGTAAGCTATTGTCCAATTCGCATATCACCTTATTAAGAAAAGAGCAACAAAAAACAGAATTATGAAAACTAGCTCGTTAAGGTTTTTTATACAATTTGCGGTAAATTAGACGATATCCATGTAAGTACCATAATCTGCTGTTCTACGATAGTTCATCTATTGCAATAATGCAACCGTTTCTTGGATGTTGGGCACACAAAGTTCTCAGTTTTCTGATTTATGAATGCTGAATAAACACTTTCAGCCTACCATAAAATACGATTCTTTGTGGCCAAATTAGACCATTTATAAGTATACTCCTAAACTAATTATTTACCGCTTATTGAGGCAATTTCTTCGCATTTGCTGTTTTCCCTACTCCAAACACAGAACGGATCCCGTACGCACGACGAACAATGCCGGTGATTGTGGCAGCTGGCGAAGGAGAACTGGGCCACTTTGGTATCGGTGGATGCATACACCGACCGGTGCTCATTGGACACCGTCATGGCGCGAATGGCTTCACCTTCCAGCGTAACCCAAACGTCCAGCAGACGGGATTCCACGGACTGCTTAATGGAGTCGTACCAGTGGATAATTTTGTGTACTACACCGGTGTCTGAAATGTAATTAGAATTATTTTGAGCTGTATGACGCAATAATTGCGTATATCCAAAGGTTGTGTTATTTATTTCGGATGTACGTAAACGCATAACTTACTCGATGCAGCGAAGAATACACTGTATTCGTATCCTTCCGCAATAGTCTGAACAACGGCTAACTTTGTTAACGTTAATCCATGCTGGTAAAATAGTGGCTGGCCATATTGATGGGCTACTGCTGCGTCCATAATGGGATGATTCTTAATAAAGGTTAGGACGCTGTCGGGAAGATTCTTGGTGTCCTCCATACACTACAATCACATTAAAATTAACATAATTTATTTCACCTAATTTTTCTCTATAAATGACTACAGAATGTTATTCGACAAAATTGTTTAGCGCTTTTTGTAACTTTCGGTAGGCTCTCAAAATGCACTTATGAGTACCTAAGCTTTTTTTTGCATATGAAAAAAATTTAGCTCGACAGAATCTACGATTTCCTTCCATTTGTAATTACAACAATGACATCTATGTGTGTCGAGTATGTAGACAAATGCTTTTTTTCTTCTCTCCTCACGTCCCAGTTGGGGAAACGCGTTTTTCGTTATAGTTATGCAAATATTAACACCATGTCGCTCCCTGTCCCTGTGTCCATACGCACTTACCCGTCCGGGTCGCGGTTCCGGTACATCGGATTTCAATACCGGAAGCCACGCGGCGCTAACCGAAGCCTGCTCCTTAAAGCGTCCATTGAAGGCCTTCTCAATATCCTCCAGTGTAAAGGCACAAATGGCCGACCCCTGAAATCCCCCGGCATCCGCGGCGCCATTTAATGAGCTGGTAAATGTGGCGTAGAATGTAACGGCCGATGTGCGCGGCGTATCGGCCTTGACAATACTCTGGATCTGGTTGAAATAATAGGGATACTCTCCTGGGATGCTGCAATTAATCCGCGCCTTGGTATAAGTGGACCAGTTCTGCTCCAGGACATTTCGGCCACCGGTGTCTCGCTATACCAGAAAATAAGATATGCCCATTACATGTATATAACACAGATACACAACATGGAGATGATTGGGCAAATAGCGCTTAATGACCGGACAGGCGTTAATCTGATGGTTCGTCCCGAGGTCAGTGTTCGCAGGAGAATGCGCCGACCATTTGGTGTGTTATTTACAAAGGGATGCTATCGACCCTTTGAATTTGTAAGTGTAGTTTTGCTGATTATGTTAACTGTCATTTAAAACTTTTGTTCGTCGTTTACACTAGGGATTCCTAATGAAACCATTAACCATAGTACGTCAGCCACGACAACGCAAAGTTATTTTGTGTACCGCTTTGAAAAATTCTCTAAGAAAATTGTAAATCAAAGCACAAATGCACAAATGCACAAATGCACATTTTCCAAAAATACAAAATGCACAATTAAAACTTTAAAATATTAAAAATTAATCGAACAAAAATGCTGCAGTTATTACCTTGCAGACGCGGGCAACGCGTGCGTAGACGTTCTTTCCGGCATTTGTATATTCAATCGCATTTTCCCGGAAGAAGAAATAGACATATTCATCGATCTCGTACGATCCAACAAACTGGGGAGCTATTAGGAAAAAAACCAATTTGTCAATGCTAGCCTTACGCGAATGAATTGTGGTCGCTGCAGACAGAGTCTAAGCTAATATACCACAAATGAGAAAGTAATGCTATTAAGTTGCCGGGGTTATTGGCATTTAGTGTATACAGTGGGGCTCGTTACAGGGGACGAAACTGGGATTTTAAGCTTCGATTTTTCCCGCTTACTGTCAAGCCATTTGGTGTCGTATTCGATGCTGCGTAAATACGAGTGGGCTAGTGTTGAGCGGGAATCGTACAAGTCCGATCGGAAGATAAGATGATCAGCTCTGCTTACATCCGCCACAGTTCCCGAATACAAAGCCGGATAGTTGCCGGGATTACCGTGCTCTGTAAAGAGGATTTGTACATTTTTCATACATTTGTACATTTTGTACATAAGTACATTTTTTCCTTTTGTTACTTCTTAACACATAAGTTGAACTATCTATAATCAAAAAGAGTAACTTTTAAACTATAATCAAAAAGAGTAAAAAGAGTAATTTTTACAACATAATTTTTATTTAAAAATTAAAAAGGTACGTTTTGCGTGTGTTTCGATGAAAGCTTGTTTTTAAGATACATGTATGTACTGTAGATAGCCAAAAATATTCGAATTCTGCTCTATAGCATAGGCAGTTTCCTGTTAACAGTCATCTGCCTAAACTCATTGTCCACAGGGTTGAGTGAGACCTCGGTAAACGAACAAAATTCTCCCTTAATTGCACAGTTTACAGATAGAATCTGTCAAAATAATTACACTGTTAATAGAATACTTACAACAATTCACTACAATTACATCCGCACAGCGTCGGCGGCACTGACGCAATAGGCAAACAGCATTACTATAATTTACATGCAATCGCCAACGCACTTACCAACCCAAACGGCGGTGCTATTATCTTCCGGATCAAAGGGACATTTCGCAATACCATCGCCGATCCCGGGGAAGCTGATGCCCTGCACTTCGGTTAAATTTCCTGAATGGGCTATCCAGTCTTTGGGTCGGTAGGCATTGGTGCCGCAGACATACAAGTATTGACCTTTGGCTAATGGCTGGATGACGCGGATGTGGTTTTGGCAATGGAAATGCTGTATGCATTGTTTCCGTTAGTGTATTTGAGTATATAAGTGATGCACACAGTGACACACACTATTCTGTAACTGCAGAAATTACCTTTGATTTGCCAATTATATTTTCACAGCGTCGGCGAAAATCAGGCTCGAACTTGGGAGACTGCAAAGATGCACATAAATTAGCTGCGGTTGAGAGAAAACCGAAGGTTAAAGTTGAGATTTGATTATGTTTTTACGACTATTACAAAAATAGCGATTATCAGAAATCAATTTACGGTTTATATGAGGGAAAATTTCTCATCCATTAAACGCAGGTAATACATTCCTGGGTGGATGAAAACGCAATTTCTATTTCGGCTTAAACCGTCAGCCTAATCCTCTGCGCTGAACAAAGTGCGAGGCTGGTGGAACAAAATCTTCTTAACTGATCACCTGGAGGGGAATATATTAACGAACACCAATAATTATCCTGACTGGAACCTATCAGGCCCCTGTAATCATAGTCACAGCGCATCAAACGCCCCCTGAACACAGCTTTAAGGATTAACATGCTTAACATCTGGAAAATATTTTCGGCTGGTTATTATTATCGTTACTGACCACCATGCGCCAACTAAACACATTTTTAACCGTTGGGGTGGCCATCGTGACGGCAAAAGTATTGGTTATAAAATGGGAATAGGGGTCATTAGTGATTTGCATAAATAAGAAGATTTTAATTGCATTCATTACTGACTATCCAATACTCAGTGCTGATGAATTATTAATTAAGCCAAACAAGTTTATCTTTTTACCGTTAACAAAAATTCCCAGAATGCATTAGCTACTGCAATAAAGCTGCACACTTTCACTATTACGGAAAAGATTTTGTCAATATTTTTGGCAGTACGGTCATACAGTTTCAAAATCCTTTCAAGCAACAAAAAAAAATAGAAGTAACCAATGTGCAGCCTATACTTCAAGGAAGCCATTCATATGCAAAATAATAAAAGCGTTCGGCTTAATAGACCCACATTAGATTTGCATTTTATTTTGGAGCGTGCTACTTGCGATAGAAAAATAGTGAGTAGTGTTAGAGACTGATGTTCGCATAGTGCATGGCTAACTTCAAACACATCAAACCGCTTATAAACAAATGATAAATATTTTTATGCTCATAAATGTATACTTTATCTGACGCTGGACCATTAGAGTAATTGCAGTTTTATAACCAAATGTTATTAATATTGCAAACGACCTGACCTTATGTTGCATTTCTGTTATGCGGCGTAAAACCATTAGAATATATTGCCAGCCAACCGGCCAGACTGCGTTAATCGTCCTAGCGCATTACATAACGTAAACCCCCTTGGGGGCGTTTGCATCTTGTCAATTACGATCCTCTGACCATGTTACACCGCATCGACAACACATGCTGTGCCGCAGCCAGTACTAAATAATTCAGATGCAATCATACCCAAGTTGTATATATTTACACTGCGCGCCCGGCGCAAGATGCTATCCCCGGCTGTTATTGCCTGGCGGTAAATTATTAACGATATGTATTCGTTGGCCGCACCGCAAAAGCGATCTAAGTATAGGATGGGCTGTATATACGCGCCCCTGTGTATTGCTGCCTGTTATTCCTGTTGTTCTGGGAATGGCCGGGAGAATAGACGGTAGCAGGTGTGTGGCGAGCGTAACGGTGCGATAATTATGGGCTACGCGCATATGGCCGCGGCTGCTATACTTACATGGCAGGATGATGCGTTGATGTTGTCCAAATTCAATTTGAACATGTGGTTCCTGTAATAAAACACCGCCGTGGTCATTCATGGTTTCTCCATTTCGCTATACCAGTCTGTAATTAGTGCAGGCTTATTAAATTAACGACCTGGATCTCGGTATATTTAGGCATACCGAGAATATTTCTTTCCGCTTTCCACTTCGCTTACGCTAGTTATCAACATGAAAATTGTGCATTTATTTATGACTTTTAGAATTAATTCCTCCCATAACTTTCTCAAATTTGAGTAGAACGTGCTTGTGTAAAAGCTCTTGACTCCTGCGCTATCGCTTTTCGGCGTGAGAAGGTGAGTGAAGTGGCCCTGACCTTTTTTCACAGGGTCAGCTACGTGAGATGCTACTGAACAGTTTTCCCTGTGAACATGAATCCCCATGTCCAGTGCTACCTGCTGCTTTTGACCCCGTAAGTGGCTCTCCAGCCGGCTCTCCCAACTGAATCGCTAATGTCACGCCGTGCTCGTTACAACGCACAGCCATTTATACCCCGGCACAGAGTATCACGTGTCCAGTGTTTTAGGTCGCATTTCAGCTGGTTATGACGGCTGTTGCCGTTCTTGACTTCCGGCACGTGTTGTGGGCATCGATTCTCTACATGTCCGCTCGGATGTCCCAGAAGATGAGAATTCCGCGGTGTTTATGACTAGAACCGTATATAACGGGGCTAAACAATAATCCGGCGACCAGCATCACTGCCAGCATTGCTAACTGCTGTCAAAATCAGTCATGACAGGCAGCCTTTCACAGTTAGTGGTCTTCAATAAAATTGCCAATCTTACCAGCGGGAGCTCCATTAAATAACCGCAAATTTCCGATACTCTTTCCATTTCTATACCCTGTAATATCTGTGCGAGCGCATCATTTTGAGTGCTGGGCCATGGGTGAATGTAACATTGCGGAGAAAAGTTTTATAAAACTGGCGTCGGATGAAGGTCAGGCAATACAACAGACTCGTCAAATTACCAGCGGTCAATGAAATTTTAAGAGTAATGTCTAGGTATATGAAAATAAATACGATTTTAATATAAATTTTGCTTACATTCCACCGACAAACAGGGTGCTCGAATGGGAATCCAGGAAAAATGTTCGATAATAGAGCCTTCCACAAGAAAATATGCGCACTGGACCTACAAAAAAATAAGATACATTATCGCAAAACAAAATCAAAAAACATGGTGCAGTAGAGAAATACCAGAAGAAATAGTGAAATCAATATGTGTTGTGAATTTTTCAATTATTTTCTCTGTATTTGTACGGCTTTATGCACACGAAAATCTGACCGTTTTAAATTCGTGCTACTTATTTCTGGAATGTGAGAAAATGTTTAAGTGGTCACTGGTCGATGCAACTGGCTTGCTTGCTTATCAGATTAGGTAAAGTATCCACGCAGTATCATTTTAAACGCCCGAGTGTCGGCTTGATTTCACATCTTTTATGACAATTTTATGGCCAGCCAGATATGATCTGGCGGCTTTTAATTTATGCAGAGCGGAGAATCTGTGGGCATTGTTATCTGTTCACACCTGCAGCATATGGGATCAGAGAAATATAAACTAAAGCGTGAATCAAAACTGAAATTGATCCCGGCGTGCATTACATGGAGGGCTATTTATGCCGCATACAGCATGCAATGTCCACACTGAAACCGGCTGCCTATTAAGCCGGGCAAAGATATTAGCTGGGCAAATATCAGCCTGATTGAACGGAGCACGCTCTCGGAAATGTTACCCGTAAATTAACGGACCTTTCTACACTTCGGAATGTACGGATGCAACGACGCGCATAAAACTACGTAAATATTAAAAACTAAAAAATATTTGTTCGTTATAAGGGGCGGGCAATTTCTGTTTTGTATCTTCTTTAAGCAAATCAATCGTTTCTAAATAAAGTATAAATTTTATGAACAACATTATTGCACAAAATTGCAGCTTTTCCTGTGTGCATTATCTCTGGACATGACTATTTCATCAAACGCTTTTCGGCCTTTTCCCAAGCATGATGTAACAACGTAGTATTAGGATGGATACTATAACGCCGGCAAACATAGTAATTTTTCGCATGCTTCCCAAAATTCCGCAAGCGTGTCTGCGTTAATTACACTTCTGTCCATTATCCTGTTTTATTTGCTGGTCTTTTTAATAATTTTTCAACTGCATCTCCATAATTAGGCTACTGAAGCCACGTGGCGTCACGCATACAGTGCGCTCATAATAACAACGCTCCACAGTTAAAGCGATGATTTGCGGCTGCTGCATGCAGCTACTGCTGGACACGGCGATCATAAATAAAGCCAACGCGTTAAATTTCACTCGATTAAATAGCTCCATTAAAAACATGTTTACACGAAAGATGCTGCTCGACTTGCTGCAAACTGCTCTTTCTCCGCGACTAGCACCAGTCTCCAAAGCATGTTTTCTCTGTTGATTGTAAATTGCAGCCGACGTCGAAATCAGTGGCTAAGAATGTAACGAACATAAGGGCCTCTTTAGACGGGGAGGATTGTTAAGCCATCTCAAGGGATTTTCTTAAGAGCTTCCTTCTACCCTAAAAGGATCTACTTTGTATCCAACTTAAACTTCCAAATTGTTCTCACGTAACCAATGTCAAAAGAAATGGATATCCAGGAAATCACTATATCAAACAGATTGTTTTTCTCTCCAAGACCGATGCACTGTGGCCGCGGCTATTAATGTCACTGTGTCCGTGATCCCTTTCCAATTAATTGCTTCCCAAATGCAGCTTTTATAAGCTTAAGCTTTCCGTGGTGTATGGGCAAGCAAAACAATTTTTTCTCTTCATGTGTGCATGTACATAATATATTGACTTCCTTTAGAAGCGGTTTATGTTTCACATACGCATACTTATAAAACCTTGCATCAGTTAGAAAAAACAGGAACAAAGCAACAAAATAAACTATGCTTAAAAATGTATAATTTTTTCAAAATGTTAAAAATTTGACTCTGGCCTCTCAGTAAAGCACTCTGACTGCTAGATTAAAGTAGCCACAAATGTCTGTATATAAGCGATGTGAACGCCGGCGAAGCAAATATGTCTGATAAAATTTGTGCACAAGCCGGAAGAATGCAAAGACAAGCTTCTGTTGTTTAGAACTTAATTTCTGAAAGCTCTCGTTGTATATGAAACTCTTGTTTGAGAACGGATTGGAAAAGACCCTAACAGTGGTGTTCATACACTGTTACAAGAACAGAAGCCCACGCATGTAACCAGAGAATATTTTCCTAAGGGGAACAACAGGCGTAGCAATCTGCTGTGCATGTCTGGAGTAGAATGGCAAGTGGTCATTGTGGCAAGGTGCTAAGGTAATGCTGGCTTGTGTTGGTCTCGATTTCTTGGGCAAATATTGACAAAATGTCAGCAGGCACGTCTTATGCATGCGTCAAGACGCTCGGCCAGAAAATTACTGATATTTCTGCCGAGTGGTGGACGTGTATAAGAGGGGAGTTATATTGCACGGGATGAAGAGTGGCTGACGGTTGCAATACAAAGACGACGACATAAAGGAAACCTTTTGTCAATACGAGTCAACATCGGAAATGAAATCACAGCTCCGGGTAATTACCAAGGAACATCTCATTTCCTGTTGATCATCATTAACATTTTCAATGAAGCCCAAATTTAACTATTGGAGTACATCATTCTCGGTTGATTTACACTGCCAGTGGACGAAAAGAGCCCAGTTAATTCACTGGCAGATGAGAAATGCAGAGCGGGTGTTTGCTCAAAAAGTTAGCGACTGTTATATAAATGTACTTAAGCGTTTTTACGATCTTGTTACCGGAGGCGACCGTGAAAAAAAGGAACAAGTCCATAATTCAATCAATAGCGCTGCAAGCGTATATAAAAAGGCATTACACATTACACACAAGCTTTGCATTACAAAGCAGAGCATATCTAGGAATAAGTTGCCGATAATAAAATCTTTTATAGTTATGCTAATCCGAATTCAAACGCATACAAAAAATGATTTTTTTTCCCTTACAAATATTCAAATTAAATTATGGCATAACAAAATGGACACCCGGTATAATCGGCATTACTAAGGTTTTACGTAACTCTGCGCCATTTCAAGATACTCAAATACAGCAGGGGCGTTTAATTCAGGAGAATGCTTCAAGTTTGGATTCTCAACTACGCTATCTGGGAATAAAAACCGAAAACGAGAATTTCAGTGCTGTAAATGCGCCTGGGATAATTCAGCTAGAAAACTTTTGGGTATTTCATTTTTTGTGTCTGGAGTTGCCGTGAAAATGTTGCATACACAGCCAAATTTTAATCATGCACATAAAACTGCATACAGTTAAATTTAAATATGCAGCTATGTAAATATAATGTCATGATAAATTTGCAATTGCGGTTGTTACAAAACCAGTGTGTCGTAAATATGGTAGCAAGTATTTACCTGCTGATGTCCAGGTAACCAGGCATACTGCCGGCAGTAATATGATGCGCAGCATGAACCGGAAGCCACTTGGAGTCGGGATCATTTTGCCGTTGTCCTAGTGTAAATGGTGTTGCTTTTTTCCTCTCCGCTCCGATTCACCGCTCCAATCCGGGAATCCACACACACAAGTGGATTAATAAATATCTCACCCGACAGCAAAGTGCACTAACGGAATTCACTGGATTGCCATTGATGATGGATGGAAAATATAGCAGACCGGCGTTTATAGTTAGGCACACACAAGCAACCGGCAACCGGTTGCACGGGCACTTCCGGAAATAGAGGATAAAAAATGATTTTATCGGATCTCATAAAAATCAATAAATAACTTCTTGAACCGCCACCGCACACCAACCGGCAAACCGTCAACAGTCACGATACGCATACACAACCCGACTCTGCACTCATACAAAAAGGCGCGTCCGTACAAAAACCAGCGGAAAGTGCAAAAAATCGACTCTTTCCGCTTCCCCTCTTGACACTGTGATCTTTCTGGCAACAACTGACGTGTACGAGGAGAGTGATGAGAAATCCGAGTGGAGTTTCAGTTCATCGAGCAAATGAGTGAGAAATGCCGAGTTGTAGGCAGTGAGTGGGTGAAGATGTGGAATGAGCGAGACAGAGAGAGATACGATGATGAAAATCAGCCGAAGGGAAGCCAATTGTCAAGAGCAATGCCAGCTTGTACGTACAAAAGATCCGGTCTCTGTTTGACCAATGGCCAGTTGGCCTCAAATGCACCAGGATTTAGCGGCTTGCGCGGTGATTAGAATGCAGACAGCAATTATCCAGCACCGCTGCGTTGATTGCTGTGAAGGGCCAGATGAGGGCGGGGCCTCGGTGGTTGATTTGAGTCAGTTAAGGACAGATGTTTCCCTCTTCAGTGGACTGAATAGACCGTATTGTCTTACCGGTTGAGGACAAGGAGACCTGAAAATTATCCAAGAGCATTTGGATACAATGATGGATCAATGCGTAAATTGCCTACTATCATTCCATAAAACTTCGGGGCTCGTTCGGTGGCCCTACTGTGCTATTCAGCGGACAATACGCACGGCAGCGCTGCACGCTCGCCTGAACCGTTCAATAGATAATGCAGTATCCCACTCGTAACTGATGGTTTATTCTTCCTCGTCATGGCGAGAAAATTTGCAGGTATATGGTAGACAATTGTATCTCAACTGGTTTGGACAAAACTCACAACCTTTCAAGATGCCTGTTTGACATTTGGTTACGTAGCTGGTGCGCTGTGTACGTCACAGGCGCTTTCCAGCAGTAGCGAATTATTGATAGATGGTATGAATATTTGAGAAGCTGGGTAAAAACTGTTTCCCACAAGACGGGAGAGAAATTAATTTATTGCGCCCAACAACTGGCACGCAAGGCGACCGTTGACCGGCCAGCAGTCCGCGCGCACGCTACCCGTTTCCATCACTTAAAACTTTTTTTGACAGGTGAAAAGGTGAAATTGCTGAATAATTCAGCTAAAGAATAATCGCTCCCGCGGACAATTTGCAAGAAATTGGAAAACGTTAGTCTTTTACAGACATACAATCACTGGGCTGCATAAAGCAGGGTTAGGTCCCATAGAAAAATGATAAATTATGGAAAAGCAATTTTTCACCAGCATGTGCGTGTGTGCGGAAAGGGGGCCCACAGCGTGTATGGGCGAGTGGTGGGGTTGATGAATTCGGACAGGTGATTCATCACACACACAGACCGGCTGCCACTGTAATCAAACCATCCCGTGCGGTACGGCAATTTTCGGCTACCGCGCCGAGTGGACAGTCGGGCCCTATTCAGCACGGGAACAATACGAAGCTCCATTAATCTTCTTCTTTAATCTATTTCACTGGGGGATTATGTAGATGGAGTAAGACGTTGGCCAGTATTGTTCCTTTGAGATTTCCATTAAGTGCTATGGCCGTAGGTAAGAACAAATTTGCTCCACCAAAGAAAATAAACAGACACGGGCTATCCTCCACACCACTACATGTGAAATACCGGTTCGGGTACGGTAAGCTGTGGCTCTTTTAGGCCCTATTACCGGCATGTTGGCACGATCTAATCTTGATTGGAATAATTGTTGCTATTACAATACCAAAGAATTCCATGTTTGTATGTTTGTTTTATTTATGTTCTTGATGGAAGAATAGAAACATTCCATAGAATCCAATCATAACGTCGGAATACGGCAAACGTAATCCGATTTATCCGCGGAATATTTAATCCGAGAAGAAATTTTACCGCAAGATTCTGACATGAAGTTATTAATTTTTAATTTACAGACTCTGTAGTGAGCTAAAAGTTTGCTTATAACAGCTATAACTATATTTGTGCTATTATCTATACATTCAACAAGCAAGGTTTGTGTAATAAAGTTTCGCTGAATAAAAAAATGTATATAAATTAAATTTTAAAACCCGCGTTCAGTATTTTGGAAATCCGGTATATGACAAAACTTTACCGCCAAATTATCGATATACAGTATAATCTGACAGCCACTATGTAAAATCGCATTTCTCATCCAAACACCCATACAATTCTAAAATTCTCGAAAACTTGCATGTGTTACTTCAAGGCATTACCCCCATTTTAGAAATTACAGTGATTTGGCTAATCATAAAATAAGCGGAAAATTACCCAGCAATCTGGACGAAAGCAAGAGCGCAGGTGGATTATGCCGAACTGCGTGCGTCTGCTGACCACATGCAAACCTTCAAGTGAGAAGATGAGCGCTTTCTTGTGCACCAGTTTTCCGGAGAGCTCCGTACAGGCTTGCTGTGCTTGCTCTCTTACGCACCACGGATTATCCGTCAGAAATTATTAGAAATACTCGTAAATCAGTTTATTGCAGGTTGTCAAAATACTGTCATCCGTTAAAATAGTGCTTTCCGTCAAAAACCTCCCTGCATGGAACGACAGTGCATTGATTGTGAGTATGCTGCGGACGATGAGAACACAGCAGCGTGTATAAAACCGGCTAATCGATCTGTGGATTGCTGCTGCTTAATGGATTGGCCGTTAAAAATAAAAAATTACACTGGAAATTACGGCAGCCGTAATCCTTTCACCTATTAATAAGGATCAGCTATGGCATGTTCAGGTCACAACACCGGCTTTCTGTAAAGTTGCTAACAAATGCACAGCTTGATGTAAAACTCATTTAAGTGACGACAATGCTAGTCAAAAACATTTTTGAAATAAAATTAAAGAAAATGCTCCATAAATTTGTAAGAATTGGACGCACTCTGAATTAAATAATTCAATCAGAAATGTTGCAACACTTTGTTGAAAACACTTTGTGTATTCACTGTATAGTCTGTGCTTCACAAGCCAAAACTAGTAAAACTAAAATTTTGTGTTAACATTTGTGAAAACACGTAGTAATTCTGGCCTTGTGTTTATTATGCATTTAAGTATTTTGTATTAGTTCTTCTGAAATTGCCTTATAAATAATTAATTTTTTTGTTCGGCAATTTTGTAGTTAATCAAAATGATTATGGTGTGGATGAGTGTTGAAGAAAAAAGAATGTGGGTTGACGTGATAAGCAGCCTCGGAACAGTAGTCCCCTTGAGAAAGAAATTTTCCGCTTTGTTGCCCAACCCAATCAGCAGCTGATTCCCACGCGACGAGCATAAGCGTACACCCGTAAAACCCTTAACGGACTGCTGATGTGAAAATGAAGAAAGCGTGGAAGGATGGGAGATTTTATAATCGGTAGACTGTGATTTAAACACTCTGAAAAAGTCCGACTGTGCCGGCGTAACGATGTGTCTTATCGTGCTTACTCAGAGTGACGAGAGTGTGCCCGGCTTTTCTGGGGCAAATCGATTGTGCAGTAATTTTGCTCAGTCTTTTCCGGCTAAACGAACAGGAAAACTTAACAACAATACTTTTTAATAGTCCATTAATCATGGATTTACCGCTGCACAATTTACAAAAAAAGCTTCTGTATTTTATAGGGCGAACTTTTATTCGCTTAACGAAAGGTTTGCATACTTAAGTGAAAGTTTTTATCATATATTCGACTGCTTCTCACTAAAATGAATAGAACGTAAGAACGTAATTGAAAATTTGGGCTAGACTTCGACATTTCAGAAATAATTTTGGTGGACAAATTCTTGACCGATGTAATTCGTTTTCTTGGGTTAGAAAATTGACAACTGTGAAATTCCCAAACATTAATACGGTGGAAATGATATAGTGCTTGTTAAGAGATTTGTATCCGAAGTCATTTCGAGGGCGTGGAATGAAGCGGCATTACATTCCGGTATTAGCCGGCTACATGGTACCGGCAGCCAGTTGATTGAGAGCGGCATCTGTGCACTGTACAGTGGTCAGTGGCGCTTTCTCCCTTGATGCGGCGATATACGGCAACACGCTCGAATTTCTATCACAGTGGTCAGGCTAATTAGCACCCCTTGAGTAGAACAACTGATGTGGAAAGAATTCCCTTCTCCCGCACCCGGCTAAGGAGAAGGTTTTGAGAAAGCACCGCTGGAAATCCTATCCCTGTCTGGCCATGCCCGCCGCCGCACACTGTTCACAAGGAGAGCACGTGTTGCGGTCGGCTGGACCGGTATACATGGCCAAAGAGGCATTAATGATCGAACAAATATGCGCAGACTGATATACTTTGAAAAAACTCCATTCCTCCGACAAGTGCTAATAATTCCATTCAGAAGCCCATCACAATTACGGATATGTTCGGTGGCGCTCAAGCACTGATCAGCCAGATTGCTTTCCACTAATTCGATTCAGAGCAGTAAAACTATTAACACAATGACATGGGTCTCATTAGTTAAAACGCTTAATGCAGTTGATGGCCAGATGTGCATAGAATGCTTTATGGTTCCATGTGAGGTCACCAGTGGACACGTAATTGTACTCTCGAAAACTCAATCTATGCATACTTTATTAGATCGATTTGATTTGTTAATTGTGATAGAATTGTACTAATACACTTTGCACTTAAGCCATTACAAAAATGTTTAATAATTCTTAGTTTTTGCAGTTATTCTCTTTTAATGCAGAACACAGGAAACTGTTAAATAAAAGTGAACTGTAAGACTTTCTTACGTAAATTAACATCAAAAACATAAGATTCTATTTTGGGTAAGAATGATGAACGCGGAAGGACGGAAACCGGTCAACTGATGGATGAGAAACTGTTGTTATCTTTGATATTTGATAACGCCATTTTAATTATGGGTATTAACTGTTATCGCATAGTACTTTATGATTCTATTAGCCATGTTTAGTAATCCAGTAGCGGTATGCATTTCTACACATTTTGTTATCGTAAACCATAGCTATGAATAAATAATGAATAATATTCATCTCGATTGCCGGTCTGCGCTCAGTGTACTGATAGTTGTACACTATTTACGGCTTTTATGAATATGCACTGATAAGCGCGCCATTTGGACAGCAACTGGACATGATTCAAATTACAGCTCATTTTCTGGGCCAAACCGATGCACATACACAGTTTGAATCAAGGGACACCGTAATCAAAATTTAAATGATGGATTGGATTGTTTGAGAGAGTGAAAACGGCGGACATTGGCTCCAATAAACGCTGCGGCCCATAATCACGTATAATGGACAGAAGCCATTTTGCAGTGGTCAGTGCAGTGTGAATATGCGGCATCCCGCCAGTGTTTAACACGGATTTCGCCGTTTTCCGCCTGTCTGACACCGTCCGCAGAACAAGCAGCAATTTTCATAATAACGATCCATATTTTCAGCATGACCAGTCATGGGAGTAAATTAAGTTTGGTGGTAACGTCCCTCTCTTTTAAAATTCACTACAGACAGGAACAGATTGAAAACATTCCACTGCAATGACATTTATAAGCGTTTTTCTCCCGACCATGCCGATGCCGGGCAGTTGTGAGATATATGTGTGAAACAGTTGTTGGGAAATAGCTGTCGGATGGGAACACGGACTTTTTCCGCAAATTGCTCTTGGGCAAATTGTTATGCTATGTCAAGAATGATTTTTCCTACATGGCGTTTCTTTGACCAGCCAGCGTTTGACTTTAATTTTCGTTCACTATTTTGTTGAGAAAGAGATTCTGGATCAACACAGCTGCCAGCAACTGTGTGTTTAACAAAACAATCCGCAGCTGTATCTGGGACGGTTAGAAAAAACAAACACAAGTTACAGGGCTATCACATTAAATGCTAAAATGTTTTACATTTGTAGCTGTAGTAGCGCCAGAAGTTTGTAGAAATCTTTTCTAAATACAACAGCAACGTTTAGCAGAATAAAGTTTTCATGCGAAATAAACACCTTTGACAATGCAATCTTAAAAACATAATTTTGGCCGATTATGCCTTAAAAACACATAGTAATTAACCCATGTGATCATGATAAATATAAAGGACTATACTAACGTTGAAAATTACGGATTTTAACTTTTGACAACTTGAAAACAAATTCATTACAGGCGGCGGCAAACAAATTAACTTTTAATGACGCAAAACATGTTCTTGTTGAAAGGGTTAAATTGTTTAGTATTTGTGTTAACTAAGACTGATGAGTCTTACCATTAGGAATAATTAATAAGCAGTGAGTCTGCTGGATGGAAATGCGAACTGTAGCTAACAATAGCCCGTGAAATCTGATCCGTACCGGTTTATTATGACTGCCTTAGTGCTATTCATCAAACAACGTCCTCTTAATTGATACCCTTCAAACACCGCCTTCAATGGCCTCAGAATCCACTATACATATCCGGACGCATGTGAAGGCCATAAATCAATTAATATATATATGCGCGCCACGACTATGGAAAATCGATTTTATTGCTCCAGATCGCGATTATCGAGTTTTCCTACTTTATTGCAAAATTAATATAAAAATTTCAAGTATTATGTTTTAAATTAAATATTCTCGGGCTTTTCCTCATTGAAAACAATAGTTTTAAAGATTTGCAACCTTCTCGCAAATCTGACTTATTGTATAGATTTTTATTTTTTTAAAATTCGATTTAAATCTTTTAATCTTGTAAGAAGTATTCAGTCTACACGCTTGTTGTCCTAAAATGCTTTGAACGCTACTAAAATTAGGTTTAACGAGAATTCTGCCAGCTTTCCTAATTGATACGTATCATTTCATTTACAGCCGGCGAAATCGATCGGATCAGACAATCGATTTCACCTACTTTCCGAATCGGGAAAATACACTGCTTAGATTTCCCGGCTTGCTCACGTCGGCACTGCACAAAAAACATCACGCATATCTATACAGTGATTACAGTCCTGGCAGGCCGCTTGGGCTTTGCTAGGAGGATTAATTCGCATTAAGCCATTTTCTTTTCCCCGCATCCACACCGGAAAATTTGCGCTAAAAGCCGACATCGCCGATATACACGTCGACATATGGTCACGGTTTATCAAGGCAACATCCGGCTGGATAAATGTAGGTTAAACCAGAATTTGCTCTCGATAAAGACTTGATCCAACACACTCTAACGCAATGTATAGCCTTTAACATATTGGTCACACCATACGTCCATATATATTTTCTATAAATGTCCAGTGTGCAGCGCGCAAGAATAACACGCCGGTCAAGTGAGCAGTGTACACAGTGACGTTAAGTTAATAAGTCAAGATAATCAAAATAGGCAGAGTATCCCGCGTGAAAATGTACTGCAATTTGTTTAGGATGAGGGGAGAGAATGTATATGTGGCAAAAAGGAAACGCCTGCGCAGTTGGTCAAGTACTTCTTGACCACAAGTGCCGCCAACGGAACCATTTTGTTGACCCGCGCAATCATCGACGCAACACTTTCCCACTGCGCGGCAACAGCGGATGTGTAATGCAGCCAAATTCAAATTGAGTTTAGGCCTCCTTTGCTTTCACTTAGATAAACCGCAAAATCGTTGTTTTTGTACGATACTTTGGGATAGATTTGTAATCTTAGACTCAGTTAGAAATGGATCTGTAAGCCATAAGTAAAAATCTGTTTTACCTATGCGATTACATACAGTATAGTAGAGCACCCACTAGAATTATTATTAGCATTAACAATATTGTAAAATTATTAGTAATATAAAGTTTGGTGTCGTAATAATTTTTTAGAATGTTCTTATCATTCACAGATTTAAAGCAACAATTCGACATTTAGGAACACTTCCGGTCAGCTACCGACTTTATAAAAGCATAGTATGTAGTACAGTGCTACAGTATTTCGAAGCCAGCACCAAACAGCTGCTACGCAGTTGGAGTGAAACCGATACGCTGTTTCGATAATCGGATCCGTTTACGCGCGGAGCCGATGCAAAATGCTTTGTTGTTAGCAGTGCAATTGTTAACAATTATCACCACGTCTAAAGCCTTTAATTGCGACAGCTATGGCTCTCTATAATACTGTATGAAAAATGTTTTATTATCAAGTTTCCATACCTGTTACGAATAATGGAAAAATCGATGGTATTTATTGGGGAATAAATTTAGATTAACCGGAAGTCGGACAAACAAACTATCTCTCAAAACAAAGCACTATAGTGGTCAATGGAAAACGTCTTGATGAGCAAACACCGACGTGTTAAATCGCCATGCAAATCTGCAGATCGGCGAATGCCGCAAAAGAACTTGACAACCGTGCATGTAAACGTCGCAAAATGATACATAAGCCCATTTTATATTCGAGTCCAGCCGCCGTGTCCCAGCTGTCAAGCCTTATTAAACAGTGGTTTAAAAGGGCGGAGTCGTTGCGACGGATATACAGTATACCGTGTTGTACAACTGTACCGTATGTTGCAACATTGAGTCCAGCTCGTTTGCCGGCGCAAATAGCGGGTGTTGGGTACATGCGCCAGATCTGCATCTGACACTTGCCGCTTCTTCCCTCTCTTGACCCGCGCTACCATTTGGCAACTGTGGGACAGGGAAACGTTGCGCGATGGTTGTTCATTCAGGCGGATATTTGATGGAACGAGATACAATTGTGTACTTGTACGTAATTGTAAATCTAGCGCTGCTTTACAGTACAATTATGCTGGTCATATTAATATACGGTATGCAAAAGTGAAAAGTATAAACTAGCAAAAAAGCATAATCTACGCATTTATACATATTAGACACGGGCATTATTTATACATATTAGAATCAAGATAAATTAAATATTAATCCGACAGCGGAAAGTACGATAACTACTAACTGCGAAAGTTAGTAGTACGTACGAATCGTACGTGCATGTATAAAAATAATTATTAATGTAGATGTATCTCCATAATGATCCGGAAAAACGTTATAATACTATGTGCTTGGTTTTGATATTTTATTTTGCATTTCTTCCTATTTTCTAAAACGTAAGTATTAATTTTAATTTAAATCTAAATGCTTAATTATTATACCATTTTGTTTACTTCGCTTACAAAGCTAAACAAATCACGGGAGTTGTTTTGAAAAACAGTGCCGGCAGATTGTCAAAACGATCCATCAGGCCATCATTTGGCCCGCAGTCAGAAAAATCTGTTACTAAACTTGACAGAGCCCTTCATCTACCGTATCCTCGTTACGAAACAAAGTAGTTTGATCCGTCGGATTGGGTAGCATCACTCGGCCCGTGGACGCCGTGGCATCATCATCTCAAGAGGCCCGGGCTATTTGGCCTGATGGGATGATTTATTGCATAAAAGATTACCGATACACACTAGTATAATATATATATTCCGGCTGGCATATTTACATAAGCGCCCCTGACCACTGTCCAGTGGCACAGCATGACGTCATCTGATGGAGGCGATACGCGGGGGTTTAAATCCTCTCCGCTTAGGGCTATCAGGCATTTGCTTATAGTTTGCCCATTGTCCAGCAACGATGCAACACCTGAAATATCAAGTAACGCTTCACAGCCCTTCCATCAAACTACATCATCGTAACTACAGCAGCAGCCACCAGTTTTGCAGCTTGTTGACAGTGCAGCTGTCTGTCAACACTTTATAGGCAGTCGCTTTTCAGCCATCCAGTCAAGTTGTAAAATGCCTAACCAAAAGAGCACAGTAAGGGTGTATTGTCCAGAAGAAATCGTTTCTCCCTTTTGCTGCATTTTAATCCAAGTTGCAGCTTATACAGTAGCCATTCTATAAAATTCAGTTAGCAGCGCCATAGTGAGCGAGCAATTTCTCTAATTATTGCTGTAAGGATTGATAATGATGTTTGTGCTACAAGCATATTGGTGTCCGCTTTAAATTTACATAGATGAGGTTGTCTCATGAGTAAGAAGTCAAGAAAGGTCATTCAACTATATATAACGGCAACTGATGTGCATGATTATAACGTTAATATTTGCAGAGCACAATAAAATTATGTCGGCTTGTACGACAGTCTTCATTGTTCTGAAATAGACAATCATAATTCCAACTGGGCGCAGTTAAGTACTTCGGAGAAGAAATAAAAAAAGATTTACTGCGCTAGCTGGCGCATTTTGCATTTGAGCAAAGTCTAGCGGGCATTTGCACAAAGAATTTTTATTTAATGCGAGTTTTACGTTTTGTTGTATACTGCTGGTATTAGAAATTAGATATATTATGAGAGATGGGTGTGTTTCTGGGATGTGGGCAAAAATGTTAAGAACCATAAAAATTATAAATGATCTTCCTTATGGCTTGTACGTGATGCATTATCTATTTGCAAAGCGGCAATCAATACGTCAACGGAATAAAAAATGCTTGGAGGGCCAAGTCGATCAGTGGGCCAACTGGTGTAATATTTTTTCATGTTCCTTATGACGTTTACAGCTGTTTTAAATTATGCCTCTACGCAATCAAAGCCCCGGTCAACAGTGGGGAAGTGAACGGTCAGGATGTTGTGGCCGGGGAAAATTTTATGAACTGTTTGACACGGTTTACTATAGACGCCGCTACAGAGCACCACCGACTGTTGTGTCTTTTGATGATTGACTTTAAAGCTCATAATGGGATGCCCATATAAAAGGCCCAATGATCGATTCCTGACCCATATCCCACCCGGTTTCCGTCCAGGATTGTCTCCCTATCGGCAGCTGATCACAGAGAGACCAGATACATGCTCGCCACAGTTGTAAAAAACTTTTATTGGTCATTATAACTTCCGGATGGATTGTAAGCCGGTTACTGTGCTGAGACACATTAACAAGCCGCTGCCGCTCAAACGAGTTTTTAATCGTTCCTTATAGCTTCTCCACACCAGGACAAGATACACCAAATCAACCTAGTTTTCCATGCAGATTTTCACACCAAATCGTATTTATTAACCCACAGACTTAGACGAGAGTAAATCATCTTATCAAACTACGAGGTATGAGATCTGTAACGACACATGGTTGCAAAATGCACTGCAGCAGCTGCAAACTTAAGTATGAATTTTTCTACATTTCTCCATAAAAGTGCCGTTATCATAATAAAAATTATAAACTGTTAACTAATCAGTATGCCTAATTTTTAATAAACTAACGCTCGAATAAAAAGGATGCACATAAAGTATTATGGCACTGAGTTGCTTTATAAAAATTTAAGAAAATTAACGAACAGATTTTGGGAGTATTCCGGAAGTATCCTCTGTCCACATAGCCGATTGTTAACTAATTGCACGAGTGCAAACTCGTCCTCAGCCATCTGGTGTAACAGTGGCTAATCTTCCTTGACCTTTCGGTAACCAAGGACCACAGGGGAACGTGACGATGTCCAAAATAGCGGATTATGATGCATCCAGCCGTAACCAGTCCCCCACAGCCACCCATTTTCTAACCGGTGTAATCCTGTTTACCGGCCGCATACAATCGAGTGGTCATGTTTAGCCCGGTGCTAATGAGCCGGCTTGAAAAACAGCCCGCTTTAATCCGATCCCGAGTGGTCCACGTAACTGACCAGATTGTACAGTATGTATAGCGACTCCTTCCGTCTAGTGCGACCGGCATCTCCTCCCGCTGGCGTAATGATAGCTCTCGCACGGGCACACTGAAAAGCAGCTTACGCATCGACCATGTCCAGCATCAATTTTGACTTTACCTTGTGCGCCGCTAAAGAATAGAGGGATTAAAATTAAGCATACATCGTCAACATCTCCACTGAGATGACTAAACCGCTTATAGCCGCGGGACGTTGCATTGGCAATTACTCAACCATATTTTAAAATGCCTGCTGACCGGAATAAGTTGGAGTAAACGAAAGGATTGTGTTGCCTGTCATTGCAGGTTTTTATAGCATTTCTTAGTACGAAGTTGACGTTTTCTGGTTAAAAGTACTGTTTACAAATTTGGTTCTGTCGTAAATCTGAGCAGCACTAGTAACATTGCAGAACAAAACACCGGTATATGAAATCAGGCAGATACATTTAGATTTTCAAATATTAATAAAAAAATTGAGTGCGTATCATGTACAGATAGTTATCGGATCCTTTTCTTATGTTAAGGTACTAAAGGTGAACTTTTTGTTAGTTCGGTAAAGCTAAACTGGAAGGCTAACGTATTTGCTCCCAATTAATTTTTGCAAAATCCATTTGGCTGTTTGCAGGCGACAGTCTTGATGTGTTATTAAAAATTGGCATTTTCGCCGTAATCAATCAAAAACAATCCTATTTACGACCGGCTTTCGATTAGCCTTTTACAGTAGCCGCTCGGTGATAACACCGCAGCGACTGATAATGATGACATTTCGGAATTCATTGTATTTCACCGCAGCGCGTAATGAGCTCGTAGACCACCCGTGCCTGATGATTTTTGATTTGTACAATTACTTCTTAACCAGAAGACTGGAATTACTACAGCCGCCATTACCGTGCCGTAATGCCGACTGCTGTTTAAAAATGGCCGCTATTGAAAGACTGCCGGCTAGGATTCAATTCATCGCTATGCCGGGAATTGTGGCAACACAACTGGCGAAAATGACGAATTGATGGTTATTCGTTAGTCATAACTGTCATTTGCAGCGCGCAGTGTTGCCGGCAATGCTGCGGCTCCTGTGGCGGTGAATTCCCACGTACCAACGGAACACTGCAGGAAACAGTAATTTATCGCTTTGTTTTTATTGTTCCTCAATATTTCCTGCCTGTTTTTGTAAACACAACGGCACAGCTTTTATCTTGCTTAAAAATTAAAAAAAGCTTGTCTTAAAATTAAAAAAAAATTTATAAATAGAACAAAATTGATAATAGTGACAATACATAACTACAACCAGTTTGCTTTGCTTGTGTTCGTTTAGGCACTTCAAGAAATCAAATTCAAGCACTGCTGGTATCGGCAAGAATGCAACTACTGTTGAATGTATAAATATAACAACTAAAAGATTTACCCGAAACCCAATTATTCCCATCCAGTGACTGCAGCCTTAAAGCATACCTAACATTATGTTTTTTTTAAATGAGCTATGTAAATTTGATGTCGTACGTAATGAGACCGTACACTGTAATGTGAGACATACATATTAACGGGCCAGAAAACATTGATATTTTTTAAAATGCGTGGAAATACTGGCACTTCGCCCATGGTGATAATTTCTCACTATTGTTTAAGGGTTTACGGTACCAGGTGACCTTGTGACCGTGGACTATTCTCCTATCAGTGTTTAAATATCGGCAACTTTAATAAAGTTGTTTGAAAGTATGCCAAAACTGAATCTGTTGCAATTGACAACGATACACAACGTTCGATTTGTAGTTTACTACCTAAAGCTGGGATTAATTATAAAAATATTGCCAAAATTGCATAATGTTAAAATTTATAATTAAAGCAACACTCACATATCACTGGACAGAAAAGTTTTTTGGTGCGAATATAACACTGTATTTTGTTACTGTTGTATCGAAAACGGATAGCTATCCGTTTTTTACTTGTAGGATGCTGAATGCGCAATAATTAATTTTCTATTCCAACGGGGTTAACAAAATTTTAACATACGAAGTTACGAACCCTAATAAGCAAGTACCGATATTTAGCTTACACCTAACTGTTGAACACGAGAAATATTGGGTGAGCTGTATATGCAGTGCCTCCACTCTTAATCAACCCAACTCCTAATTAAGGCCGTACGATCACTCCGGATAGATATATACGGTATTATCGTAGAAAGTTCCTGTTAAATCATAAATTAATATAAAAGTAAACTGGTTAATGGATGGCGATCGAGAAACTGTCGGCATATATAACATTTCAGTAAGCAATAGTACATTAATGTCGCCAGAATATTATACACAGTAGAAGACTTTTTTATTAATTAACGTATTCCGTCTCGGAGCTATACAATTAGAATCTGCATGGGTTTGAGTAATCTTCCTGATATGTGCTATACCCGTGCATTTACAACGCTGAACATTTTCGTGGGATAAGTGGTATATTATTTTTATGAATTGAAATTATTGCAAACAATGCGGTCTATAAAGCAACTTCCATCAATCAATGTGGATACAGTAACACGGCACGGCTTATCTGTATCGCTCCATAGATAACCAATTAAGAGCGATTTGTTTTTGTAAGGTCATAGTACGTATAAGCGCATGTAGAATTTTAAAAGAATACTCGTAGTTATTGGTCTAAACTTATCACCCGAATGCTTGGTCAGGTGATATTTGAACGGAAACAGGACACAGATGTGCTTAATGAGTTCAATAAATCAGTTCCTAAAAACAATGGCTAGGAACCGTACAATGAACAATGGGCTCAACGAATTGTGTTTTGTGAAAATGATAATAAGCCTTACAAAGCACGATAAAGGGTCGACTCAATAAACCGCAATAAACCGATAAGAAATCGTAAAAATTATCATGAAAATTCGAGAACAAATGGCTGCAACTAATTGGCATTCCACATTAACCTTGAAAATTTCGCATGGCAGTCTTACCGCTTTAGTCAGAAAACAATTGGGTACAAAAAGATAAGCCAACAATAATGTGATAAAACTTTAAGTTGACACAGAGTGGCTATTTTACATTCTGGTATAAAAAGTGTGGAATCTCCACACTGTTCTTCACAAGGTTCTGGCTAGAAAGTTCATAAAACTTTTCACGGCTTCCAAGTCTGTAAAAGCACCGCATCCCAAACCTGCAACAATGAAGTTCGCCGTCGTTCTTCTTTTCGCCTTCCTCGCGGTTTCCAATGCCGCTTTTACCGGAAACCTTGTCCAACGTAAGTACTGTATTAATATCACATAATGACGCCCTCCTATTTAAATTAAACGTCTTGTCAACATTGCAGAGGCCCAGCCTCTCTTGAGACAGGCCCTGTTCAAGGTCCGCCTTGCTAGCCGTGCCGACACCACCGGCACCCTGGTCGAACAGCTCCAGAACCATGCCAACGAAATCATGAACCAGATCTCCACCGCCATCGCCACTGGTCAGGCTGTTGCCGAAAGCGTCGTCGATGACCTCCAGGAGACCCTTGCCACCCTCCAGTCTATGGGACAGAGCGTCCTCAGCAGCGCCACCGATGTCATCTCCAACTTCCTCGGCGGTCTCTGGGGATCCATCTTCGGCAAGAGCCGCAGCCTCGCCGGAGTTGTCGACTTCATCCAGAACTTCGACATCAACGCCGTCATTGACCAGATCATCGGTCACGCCCAGGACTTGGTCAGCCAGCTCGACCTCCAGTCTCTGCTCCAGAACGCCATTGCCGCTCTTTTCGTAAGTCAACCCTTTTTTAATATTGTACCCTGACTACATTTTAATCGTTTAAAAATAACAACCTGAGCAATAATTTGGTGCATATTGTACACAGCGGACGTATAGTTACTCGTCATAACCTTAAAAATTCTCATCATCAGAACGTGTTTGAAAGGTCACCCCAGATAATGACAGGCATTCTCTAGCTGATTGCAATTTTTGCTGGTTTGCGCACATGTACACTGTCTAAACATCTTGTTTTTTGTAACAGGGCCGTGGTTTCTTCGGTGACGTCATTTCCCAGATCCAGGCTGCCGGTGAACAGGCCTGGAGCCAGATCACCAACATCATCAGCCAGGTGACCACCGTCGCCGGAAGCGCCTTCGAGCAAGTCCAGGCTTTGGCCCAGTCCTTCGTCAGCGAGGCTGCCGTCAACATCCAGAGCATGACCAGCCAGGCTGCTGCTGAATTCCTCAACTTCTTGAAGCCCTACGCCCAGCAGTTGGGTGGCCTCTACGAGCAGGTCCAGGCCCAGCTTTCTGGTCTCCTCAACTAAATTGGGAATTCTCACAGTCAATGAATGTTTAACATCAGCGATCAACGGAATGTTACCATCGTTTAGAAAATAAAAGCACTTTCCACCAAACGAAATATGAATTGGTAGAACATCCACTCAAACTGCTGCTTTTTTGCTTAGTTGCTTAGTTTCTGTTAGTTGTTAGTATGCTTGCACAGCTGTCGTTCGAAAGAAAAAATAAAGCGTCTGACGCTGAGTTGCAATGTATTGATCGAATTTCGTAATCTATATTCAGAATTCGAAGAACTCTCTGTAACACTTAAATTTTTATTGTAAAATCAATCGAAAATTCAAAAAAATTCATTCGTTTAACGCAATTGTCATTGTGGTTGGGAATCTCAGAAGTGCAGTACATGCTTACATATTCGATCGAAAGACAACAGAAAACGTCTTTTCACTTCAGACAGGCCAAATAATTTTATAATGAAGTGGTATGATGTAAATGTTATGTACTAGTATGTGCCACAAAGGGCACCCATAAAATTAATACCATAAGTATTGCACCTTTATTGAAAGTACCGTATATCGTAGCTTATGGTTTATTAGAACTTGCAATAATATTAGAACAGCATGATGGTACAATCCATAGCATATCGTCAGGATCATTGGATCGTCTACAACTGACTACAAGTATTGTACTCTGTACGCTACGCAAATAACTGCTACGAAGATTGTTGTTGCAGTTTATGTAAGAATTTAGGCACCTTTTTCCCCAACGCAGAAAAATGTGGCTAACATTTATTTGAGCAGTTTCTGATATCGCAATCCGTAATGACTGGTTAACTGACCGTCAGCAATTTGGTGTTACTTTCATTTGCCAAAAACAGGCGCTCGTCGTATAACATTGCATAAAATATTAATTGTAACCGGTACACTGGCTGATCCACCGCTTAGTCCGTAGGCGGTAACTGTTATTGAATAATATCCTCCCGTTGCCGCTGTGTTCAGAGAAATCTGCCCGGTGTTGGAAACGGAAAACAGTCCCGTTGGTCCGCCGGTTACCGCATACGAGTACGCATTGGAGGCGTAGATTGTCCCGATGACAGCGCCCTGATTAATACATTGACCGGAGCCAAGGGGCGCCGAATTGAATGTGTAGCTAGACTGCTGAAACACTGGACTAGCTGTGGGGTAAGTGGGATAGGTAGGGTATGTGGGATATGTTGGGTAGGTCGGGTAGTATGGATAGTTCGGATAAGTGTTTCCGCTGCAGGACAGGTATACCGAAACGGTAGTCGTCGACGGAATACCGCTTGTGCCGTACGCAGTTACTGTTAGCGTGTAGTATCTGTAAATTAGTAATTAAAAATTCTGAACTTAGCTATTAAACGTATTGATTTGACCTAGCGGAAAGTGTTAACCGCGTACACATCCAAACAACAAAACCTGTCATCAAGGTATGGACATATCCCGAGAGAAAAAAATGTTTTTATGCGTAATAATTATAATTAAAATTAATTAGATTTTCGCGGCTTGTCGAACAGCCATTTCTGACCAATCTATCTAGTTCCAGTTTCGTAATACAATTCGCTTATTAACTTATCCGGAAAAATAACAAGAGGAAAGTCTAAGAAACCTGCATAAGAATTTTCAGTTTCTACTCTATCTATATGTCTACTGAAAAACCATACCCAGGAGTAGCAATTCCGTTCAGCGTAATCAACCCGGTTGGGCTAATTGAAAATAAATTATTTCCTCCCGAAAGCGTATAATACTGAGCACCATTGGCATATACTGTTCCCACGTTAGCGTTGTTGTTATAGAATCCCGTAGAGCAACTGGTCACGGTGAAGGTGTAAGACGGTTGCAGAAAGGTTGGACCACCGAAACTGCCGCTATTGATAGCGGTGCCGGTGACGATATTGACACCGGTGCCGGTGCCGGTATTGGAGCAGTAAATGGTTACCGGTACCGTGTTAGATCCGTATTGATTGGTAGCCCGGAATGTAAACTGAAGGAAACTCGATGTGAGAGTAGAGAGTTGGATCTGTCCGGTGATGGAGTTAACGGTCACGAAGTACCCACTACCGGGATCAGCGGAATATGTAACACTGCTTAAGCCATTATTATTCGCTGTTATTGTTGCGACATTTTGCCCCGGATAGCAGAATCCATTGTTAAACTGATAGGAACTTTGGAAAAATGTCGGCGCAAACTGACCTGAGCAAACCTAAAATTGCCAACAAAAATGGAAGTATTAAGTAACCAATTGACAAATTCAAGAGCGAACAAAAGAAACTAATGTCACCGGTTTTCATTAATTCCTCGCATGAAAACCGGTGACACAGTACTTTCGAATTGCACAGTACTTTCAAAAGTTATATACCTGGAAAGTTGTAGCTAATACTGCTGTGCATATTACATAGACGGAATATTTGAAATTTGACATCGTATATGCGCTAGATTTAAGTGCACGAGTAAAGCAATTAAAAAATAATAAGATGTAAATTAGTTTTTGAAAGAGCGCAAAATCGTATAGGTACACAGGCATTCGATTATATGCAGCTGCAGTAGGTGCACCGTGAGCTGTATACTACGTCATCTATGAATTGCAAGCAGATCGACATGGGAAATAACTTTACTTTTACTGGAGTAAGCAAATTCATGAATCATAAAAGAAACAATCCGCAATTTGAGTAAAGGTTCTGCTAAAAAAGATCTGGTGGCCATATTACATCTTTTGCCCTTTGTGACGAAAAAAGTGGTGTTATTTGAACTTCCGGTTCAGTTGAAAGCCAGTTCTAATCGAAACGAGGAATGTCGATTACTCATTACGCATACGCTGTTGCTATTTTCGCACAAACGGTCTATCCAGTCAAATTGTTACAATCAGCAACATTTATGTCAATCATATTTGCCAAGCCAAAGTACTCATACTTGTTGGTGCCCACAATACCAAGATAGCGGATCACACAATGCAGTTGGCTAATATCCAATAAAAAACCTTAATTTTGTGAAGACTTGCATTATAGGTTTCTTTTATATTAAGTAAATAATTTGAAAAACTGGCGAATGTCCACTTCAGCACAGCGGCAGCGACACTAAACCAAACGGATACGAATTAAACGATCCAATAAAGTATTAATAAATAAGCACTTCTCTAGCCTACAGTGCCAGTACTGTTGTATAAAATGTAGGCGACAGTCTCGGGCAAATGATGACGAAAATCATATTCACTTATTGTTGAATGTGTTTGAAAAAGTATTATTGTATTGCTTGTAGCGTTTTAAAATATCAGACGCACTGAGTTACAACAGGTCGCACAATATTATACATAGCATAATATTGTACACTGTCCAGTGTCCACGAAGTACCTTGTGAACGCAGAGGTGCCTATCTATAAATTAGATTAAGAACCACGATAAAACAGCAAAATGCATATCTATAAAGTATATTAAGAACCACGTTAAAATTATAAAAGGAGTACTTTTTTAAAGTAATGCATCTCGGTGCATTAAAGTAATGCATCTCGTTGAGCTCGACACATTTTAGTTTTAATTACCAACGTGACATCTGAACTTGTCCAATCCATCTTTATTTTCTAACATCTACATTTGTGCAAAGCAACCCATATATGCAAACAAAATACAAAAGCCAAAAGCAGAAAAAGCAAAAAGCAACGATTCAACGCTATTTAATTTTATAATCCATTTACGTTCGCAAACTTTTGATTAATCTCTGGGCTTTAAGATGTTATTGGTTCCTAGACTCTGAGAATTCCCAGTTTAGTTGAGGAGACCGGCGAGCTGGGCCTGGACCTGCTCGTAGAGGCCACCCAACTGCTGGGCGTATGGCTTCAAGAAGTTGAGAAAATTGGCAGCAGCCTGGCTGGTCATGCTCTGGATGTTGACGGCAGCCTCGCTGACGAAGGACTGGGCCAAAGCTTGGACCTGCTCGAAGGCGCTTCCGGCGACGGTGGTCACCTGGCTGATGATGTTGTTGATCTGGCTCCAGGCCTGTTGGCCGGCAGCCTGGACCTGGGCAATGACGTCACCGAAGAAACCACGGCCCTGTTTTAAGAAAACAACTTATTTAAACGGTGTCAGCGTAATCACAAAAATCGCAGTCAGCTAGAGAAATGCCTGTCATTGGCATCGGGTGACCTTTCCCACACTTTTTAATGATGAGAACCTTAACAGATTGTACCAGTACTTATTTAAATTTCCATCTCTGAATGCACAGTGTTGGCCAAATAAGTACTCAGGGGGATGTTCTAAACTGTTTTAGTGTAGTCAGGTACAATATTAAAAAAGGGTTGACTTACGAAAAGAGCGGCAATGGCGTTCTGGAGCAGAGACTGGAGGTCGAGCTGGCTGACCAAGTCCTGGGCGTGACCGATGATCTGGTCAATGACGGCGTTAATGTCGAAGTTCTGGATGAAGTCGACAACTCCGCCGAGGCTGCGGCTCTTGCCGAAGATGGATCCCCAGAGACCGCCGAGGAAGTTGGAGATGACATCAGTGGCGCTGCTGAGGACGCTCTGTCCCATAGACTGGAGGGTGGCAAGGGTCTCCTGGAGGTCATCGACGACGCTTTCGGCAACAGCCTGACCAGTGGCGATGGCGGTGGAGATCTGGTTCATGATTTCGTTGGCATGGTTCTGGAGCTGTTCGACCAGGGTGCCGGTGGTGTCGGCACGGCTAGCAAGGCGGACCTTGAACAGGGCCTGTCTCAAGAGAGGCTGGGCCTCTGCAATGTTGACAAGACGTTTAATTTAAATAGGAGGGCGTCATTATTTGATACTAATACTTACGTTGGACAAGGTTTCCGGTAAAAGCGGCATTGGAAACCGCGAGGAAGGCGAAGAGAACTACGACGGCGAACTTCATTGTTGCGGATTCGGTATGCAGAGCTTTCGTAAACTTGGAAGCCGTTAAAAGTTTTTAGCTTATTTTAGCCAGAACCTTAACTGTAGCATTCAGGGAATTTTTGCATGGGTTATATACGTTTCTCTGGAAGCGAGTGCTCTCACGCGAACAATTTTCCATGTTATCAGTGAGGCTTTCAATTGTTGTCAGTGATAACGAGGACATAATGGATTGTGCACCTCCAATTCGTACAGATATTGTGTCTCTTATCGCATTTGGCCGGTTCACTACTGTGCAAAATGTGCATATTTTTCGTGGGTCGGCGATTGATTTCGTATCGGTTGATTTTATGATTTGCAGTTTGCGATAAAGGATCTCATGATAATAGGTACATTATCCATAGTTCCCGGTAGAGCCTTTTGTACTGCATTAATCTGTGATAAAATTTTGCGGATAAATGTTATTCGCTTCTTTTTAGAAAGAAATCTACTATAATCTGTGCGATATGCTTTAAAAGGTTATCAATAAAAAGCGCCGCAGTATTTATCTTAGAGTTTATTAATTTTTTGTAATATCACACAACAATGCGCTGGCTATCAGAGTGGTGATTATCATAGCCTCATTTAGTAAAACATGTGTACAGATCGCTAAAGGTTATCTACTGAAAAGTGCTATCGCGGGGAGCACCTTCAGATGGCGCCAAAAGAACCACAAAGCGATATTTGCTACTTGGCAGTACTTGCGATCATCATAATATTATCGATTTGACCTGTAAAATTTCGATTGCAAATACAGTTTCTTTAAGCTTCACAATATTTCCATATTTGACGTCATGCTGCATTTAGCAAAAAATAATAAGATGTAAAAGTCTACCTTATTGTAAACTCTCGCGGCTGAGTTTCGCCATAAGGACTGCCTTTATTTTATATTCACAGCGTCATATCCTGCTTGGATAAGTGGGATAATGGGAATGTTTTCGCAGTTTTTGAACGTTTGTAGTGATTATCACTTGAATTAAAACGATGTACGTAGTTTTAGACGACAACATATTCGGTACTAATGCAAAGAAGTCCGTTTATTTATAGAAATTATGAATACGAGCATGAATATTTTGCATAATAATTTTTGAATATAATTTCTGTGCACCAAACGGATTAGCATGCCTACAGTAAGTACCGTATACTGAATGCAGGCCGTACGCAAGCAAAATTACAAACTTGTGAGAATTCATTGCTTACTACTAAGTTAAGTTTTATAAGTTATGGTTAATGGAAGTGTAATACACTGTATTAAAAATTTTATTGTCCCGCTTATTCTTATCCAGGTTTATTTTTATCCAGATATTATTGTCCCGCTTTAGTATGCTGACTGCAATTTTGCGAAAATTAATAGCGTGTGTGACTTTGTGTTGATGAGGGAATTTTCGACTTTGAGCACTCTTCCTGAGTTGAAATTCGCGTCGGGTTATACTGGCAGACGAAACATGCAATACGACATCAAAAATGTTCGTCGTCGTATACAAATAATACAATCGCACGCACATGAAAGTAAATTTTTGCAATAATATAGTGCTTAATTAACGCTGAAAACAAGCAGTAGAGATCTATGCCGTTTTAATGCAAAACTTTCAACAAATTTTCTCACGAAAGTCATTATTCAGTGCTCTCGGCTTTGAAACACTCGGACCTCCTGGACCGGAAGCAACTCGCATGATAACGGTGTTGAACTGTGGGACACAAGATTCGACTGGAAACCGGCGAGAAACGGTTCACAGAATATCTCCGCCAGCGGATCAGCATTGGGATACAACGAGGCAACGAAATTTAGGTATCTTGGGAACGGCGCCGAGAGGAGCAAATTTAAACCGCGAAGTTCTCTGTGATTATAACCCGTGATGTTTTACAGACCGTTTAAGCTGATGTTTGAGTTTGAGTAATTACTGTATAAATTTTGGAATAAAAAAAAACATTGTAGCATCACACTGCATATTTCTACATATATCACAAGTAGAAATGTCAAATTTTAGGCAAACGGAGACGTATGTGCTACGACATATTCCGGTAGTCAAAGACCTCATAGCCTCACCCAGTCAGGATCTGCAGTGTTGTGCAGTATATGGTACCGATTGCCGAATAATATTGCTTGTTATTTTGATAGATACAGTAGTTTATTAGTCTAACATCTTAAGTTCAGGAAACCCATCTCACTGATAAAATACGCCGGAACGCATTCTTTGTAATGTTTCCATAAATTTCAAGGAAACCGTTCGACTGTACGTGCTGCAGTTCCTTTATGATTCATATTCCTAGTGTAAAGATTTTGCATACGCACGCCAAATTGTTCCCGACGACTGCGGCCATTGATGTGCACCTGTTGAGTACACAAACATATAATATAGTATCTCACGCGAAAACTACATAATATGGCCAGCAGACGCGCACAGTCAATTCGCTGTGGCAAAATTTTCTAGCTCTTATATTTACGTTTTTTTTTATTTAGTATTCTGCTAATACGCACTGTACAGAGTAATCGTACCAAACTATTTTTTCCATAAAAAAGTTAGAATGAATTCCTTTTTGGAACTATGTTTCGTATTATTTGTCACTATTCAGGTAACTACTCTCTATCCAAAATTTCAGGGATAATGAGTTAAATGGAATTATTTTATAAATTATTAAGCTTTTCAGGTTTGCTCAAGCCAGTTTGCACCAACATTTTTCCAGCCTGCCGGTTACCAGTTTAGCAATGTTAACTGTATCCCCAACCAACCTGTCGGCACAATCTCGGCATACAGCAACAGTGTGGGTAATATTGCATACACGGCCGATCCGGGCACCGGAAGCGCCGTAACGGTCAATTCCTACAGCGGTCAGATCTCGATGGGTTCTACTGCCTCTTCCGGCATCGTGCAGTTCACCTTCCGTGCCACTAACCAGTACGGATCGAGCACAGTTCCGGTAACCATCTACTGCACCAACACCGGGACAGGGATTAATACGGGCGGCCCCACTTTTCTCCAACCAACATACACTTTCACAGTGACCAGTTGTTCCACTGGTTACTATAGTACCAATGCTATTAATGTTGGAGCGGTGTACGCCAACGGAGCCAGTTATTATACGTTGTCCGCCGGAAACGGTAACAATCCGAGTGTTACGTTCAGTATCAACCCTAGCGGGCTGATCACGATGAACGGATACGCAAGCGCTGGGTAAACTAAAATAAAAACTTCAATCACTAAAAAATTAAATAATCGAAATTAATCTGCTCAGCAATATAACCATTATTATTAAGTTATATAATGTGTAATCTAAAATCAATCCCAATAAATCATCCATTATTGTAATTCATCCCTATTTTCCAAATAATCTTCGTCCAAATGATACTTGTATGTATACATGCTGAATTATTATTCATACATACGCTTATCAAAGTTTTGTGAAAGCTGCTGAAAGATACCGCTAATTTATGCGTTGTTATCCTTACTGATGGTAGACATAACTAGCTGTACATGTTACATGCGCATTTAATGAGTTACAAACTATTTAATTTATGTATAGTTAAAATTATGTATTACTGTTAAAATTATATGTACGAGTACTATAATAGTGATATTTTTACAGTTATTACACGCTAACGGTTACGGCGTATGGAACAAATGGACTGACATCCAGCACAACGGTCACAGTGTATCTTTCTTGCAATGGAAACACCAACCCAAATTATCCAGTTTCGGGAAATCCAGTATTTCAGCAGTCCAGCTACTCCTTCTGATCGGCACCTGCTGGCTCTGGTCTATGCATTAACCAGGGCGCAATCATCGGGAACATCTACGCCACCAACGCATATTCGTACGCGGTAACCAGTGGACCATCGGGACTTTTCACTGTTTCCAACACTGGACAGATCTCACTGACCACCGCTGCTACCGGAGGCTACTATTCAATAACGGTCACCGCTTACGGCTCCAACGGGGGGTCGGCCAGTGTGCCGGTGACCATTAGCATTCCTTGCAATGTGCTCAGAAGAGCACCGGAACGCGATCGTAATGATAATAATGTTTTGCGTCGAGATAGGTGGGACCGAAGAAATTAATAAAATACGGGACGTTTTATCTCTGTTTTATTTCTGAATTTGATTCCTTTGATTCTCATATAAATGTATAATGACAGATGTTTAATGTTTCTGTTTGTCTTCGGCCATTCTGAACAATATTTGCCCTGATGAGTTAAAATAAACAGAAATATTAATTTTTTAGTGCTGCTATCCAAATTCCTTTCCCAAATTTTCATGTTACTGGTTTTTATAATCTCTATCCTGCACTGGCATACAATAAATTCACTGTTCAGCTAGGAAATGTGTAAAGCTACGATTAATAAGTAATAATTAAGTAATGTCAGTAATTAATAAGTAATAATTAAGTAAGTAATTATTAAGTAAGTAAGTAACGCTGTAAAAAATCTAGAGTAGTGGACGCGAACTTAACGTACTGTACAGTGCTGCGAAACAAACATGAAATCACCGTTGTGTGCACACCTCTGCACTTAAGTAGACAATTGTGCCGGCTCTTATGGACCAACCATAAGCTGGGGTAAAATTACAATTAATTTTGAAAGCCATACGTTCTATTATTTGGTACAGTAATACATCAAAATTTCACGGTGATTAGGAAAACGTGTACGTATCCTACAATTAATTTACTTACACTCTAATCAACCCCACCGGGATTTAGCATCATCCTACAACCAAAATAATATGTGATGATGGTTCATCTGCACGATTACAATGTCGTATGCGTAGCGTCATAAAATTAATTACTGCATGTTGTGTGCAGCTGGCTCGGTTAGTGGATTACAGAGTGTTGGTTTTCGGCCTCTCTGGTGCAATTTTAGCACGTGGAATGTTCCTGGATCAATTTTCTCAGCGTATACTCAAACCCATCTCGTAATTCCGATCAAAAATTATATTTTCGACATATCTGATGTGATTAGAAGAGGTGTCGAATTAGCAAGAACTATGGAAATCAATTCATTAGAAGCCGCGGAAAATCATCACAAGGGCAAATTCAAACTGTCTCGTTACTTATTTCGTCGGTAGACTGTAGCAGATGGCCCGCATACCTTCCTCTTCCCGTCCAAACTCTGGTGAGTTTTTTGCGCTTATTTGAGACCACAGGTTGATCTTTGTGCGACAGAATATATATGTATGATATCATTTGCGAAAAAAAATGAATTCTCTTGTGCAAAAGTAATGATATACCTTCGATATATACAATATATTTGTAGATATATCTCATTAATTTACAGTACAGCAAGTTAACAGTGCCTCCGCGTGCAGTGCTAATCTTGTTTTTTTTTTGCCAGCAGAAATGGAAGATTTGGGCAATTTCCACCTGGACGAAACAGCTAGTGACAGTAAGTACATATACAGTATTTACGTTTAACACCGCAGCACATGCAACACTGATACTGAACAACGACATTAAAAATTAAGTACGCTGATATCCAGGTTCGCAAAGACGTCCACGTCGATCAATAACCGACATTTTTCCGTCTTGTGGAGAGACCACTCAATCCTCTACACAGAATGCATACGACTTGCCAAAAGGGTCGCTGGGCACTTTACGCCATACATCCTCACCACACACTTCGTCCCAGTTAATTCGTGCGTCTAGTAAGTACTGAGGGCGTTCGCTTGCTAGCATTAAATTAATATTATTATAGTTGTTTCGTTTATCCAAAATACATAGTACGTACTAATAAATATGTATAGCTTTGGAGCCAGTTTTTAAAATTGTTGTCCCAAAACACTTATATTATTAGTTCTATTCGAATCTTCGCAAGTGCAATAATTAAAATAATGAGACTTTATTTAGCACCTTTGTTTAGTGGCTGAAATGAATTCTGACTTGTCCTCTAACCAGTATCGCCCTCTGGTGTCAGTTGTACACGAAAAGAGCAAATACTGTATTTCATTCATTGTTACTGAAGTCTTCATTTAAATGATAGCTTGATTTTATGCGACTGTACAGATACGTGTATGTACTGTATGTATGCACAATATGTAACGTAAATTATCCGTTCGTTGCTTTGTATTGACAATTCAGATTTGCGAAGCCGTGCTTTCCGGTCAGAGATTCCGAACTTGCTTTCCCATTCCACCTATCTTCCGCCTTACATTGACAATTACTGGGATCTTGTTAAGCAGAGGAGTATAATACTACAGAAAGCAGCAGCAACCGTTTCGGCGGCCTACGAGATTACCTATGGCGAAGCGATAGCACGCAATTCCCTTTTCATGATATCCGCGCTAAGAGATGGCCTAATACCCGTACGTACCTTTAAAGAATTACTGTATAAAATTATTGTTTCAAGACAACTTCTGCATTCCTACCGATGTTCGTTGCTTTTGATAACATATTATTATGGTCATTTCGAAATCTATTGTGCAAAGGACATACCTAAGTAACTTTCCGGTCTTTTTCTAATTTGCTTCTGTCATTTGAAGTAATGACTTTTGTGCTACTACTTTGTATATTTAAGTATTTTGTTTTCTGTAGCACCAGCCGCAGGCAACACCTTTGCGATCACTTCAAGTATTTCAGCAATCCATGACAGTCGACGTAATGCGGTACACAGGTTTCGTCACATCGCTTCCGGGATTTCACGACTTCAGTAAGAATGATAAAAAAATTCTGCTCGGTGAAAGGCATATGATATATCAACTGGTGAGTGGCCCTAGTACAATTATCTTACATGATAATCATACTTTATTCTGTTCGGTTGATGTAGAACTTAATCTACAATACAACTGATAATTATATAACTTGCTAATGTTTTCAGGTAATCTGCTCGCCGTACTTTTACAAAGGTGAATACTATTATTGCATGAATGGCCCAGATGAACTGCATATGTGCTGGTCAGTTGCTGAGGGATTGGGTTTACCTTTGGATTTCCTGCGCTTTTGCGGCTCAATTCCCTTTCTTGTCAACGATATCGGTCTTACGCTGGCGGAAACGTACTTACTAGCGGCGGTTACCATTTTTGCTCCAAGTAAAATGTTGACAACTATTTAATAAGATTTAATAAGTTAAGCATGTAGTGATGAAACGTACATACCATCGATTACAGTATTATTTTTAGTCAAAATTGTTCTTAGCTATCATCACAATTCAATGGTTTTGTAGTAAATTTTTAGTTTTGGTTTTGGTTTCTTTTGATCCTGGCCGCATTAGTTTACACTGAAATGGAATGCCTTATTTACTTAGGTGTTTTGTCGAATGTGAGCAATAAAGCTTTGGTGGCTGCTCATTACGACTTCTATATGGACGCGCTGTTTTATCAGCTTGGAAATCGCCTAAGCATCGCGGATCGTGCCATTACCAGTGTGAAACTGGAGAAAGTGATACAAATGTTTCCCCTCATCGATAAAATCTCCATGGGATATTTTCAAAATCTTGATCTGTCCCATGTTCCGGTGCGATCGCGGGAGGTCATGTTTGATTAGTCTGGTTGTGTCGGGGACAGTGCTTATACTTGTACTTTTTAACCTTTTAAGAAACCACGTGGCAGCCGGATAGCTCATATTTTGTAAAGAATTTTGATTGAGAGAGAATTTATACAGCGATGCGTACTTGATAAAAGTTGCGCTGATTTTTTATTTTATTCAGTATTCAGTTTTCTGGGTATGTCTGTCGGTGATGCCGAATGCGTTTGTCATGCATTCGACCGCAAGTGAGATCTGGTGCGAGTTTGTTTTATAAAAGTTCAAGTTATCATGGAAAATTTATATTAAATTTTATATTGATTAAAACGCTTGATTGGCGAAAGAACCAGTCCTGAACATCAGTATATTTAGACGTTATTTTTATACTCATATTAAACCCATATAATTGATTACCGCCGCCGCTTCTGTGGTTCACAAGTATTAAAGGTCATGTAGCTGCCACAATGACTTGCGTTTTTCGCCTTGTTCCAATTACAAACACGATGTTGCGGTTCCAACGTACTTAACTACGCCCAGTAAAGCGCTAGCATGCGGTAAATGCAGCAAGTGTACGTTTATTAATGCTTGACCAGCAGTTTCTGAAATATCTCCATTGTAAAGTCGCTACGGTACATTTTCCTCGTAATTTCCTTGAGACTGTATACCGATAACAAGAGTAATGATGCATCTTGATTTGTACACCTATGTCACGTTAAAGCGCAATATCACAACAAACAACTTTTTCAAAATGTATGTCTGTTATCAAAACCGCTGCTGTGATGCCAGATTAAGTAAACACTGAGCATGACAGGTGCGCTCTTTTCATGAAGCACATCGAAAACAGTTTCCGCGTGCTACTAGGTGCGCCTACAAAACCAAGCGGAAAAACTTTTTTGGATTAAAAACCTTTGCATAAAATGTACTTGGTAGGTTTCTGCCGTCGCCATTTCGTAAAGGTGTATAAATATGCAACCAACAATTTACTTGTATCCATTAAACTTGTAACGCTTTACGAGCATCGAGAATTTAAACTTTGCTGGAGATTTGTGTAAGCTGGTACAGATTATGTTCTGGGTTACAAATTAGTTTAAAACGTTGTTATTTTTTTACTTCTAATAATTCATTGATCCTCATATTGTTCAGATAGAATCGCCAAAATGCTTTGCACAAGATTTACTGCCATAACAGCGTTCCTTTCCATCGTCCGATTTACCCTAGTAAGTAGATACAGTCAAAAGAATCAATGACTTTAATAATGTGTACTACGCGTTATTAATACTAAATACAATTGTAGATATTTTCACATGAAGTTCGCCGAATAGCAAAACGGCAGATTTTTCCATATCCATATGGAATTACGTATCCATACAGCACCAGCATCTTGCCCTATGGAGCCGGTACATTCTCCCAACCGGCATACACATTCACGCTCGTTACCTGCACTCCCGGCAGTATTGTCGGTACGGTGTACGCTACCGGCGCCACCGGATACTCGATCACCAGCGGCAGTCTCGGCATGTTCTCCGTTTCCCAATCGGGACAGATCACCGTCGGTCCGTCCCAGCTTGCTAGCGGAACCTACCAAATTAACATCTCCACATACGGCTCCACATTGGCCACCACGGCAGTGACGATATTTGCCACGTGCACTGGATATAATTACGGCATAGCCGGAAATACTGTCAATACTGTCTACAATTATGGTACCGGCGCGCCTGTGTTCTATCAACCGTTGTATAGTTTCACGTTAACAACGTGTACTCAAGGACAAACGTTAGTCGGCAATGTTGGCGCATCGAATGCGGTGTCATATTCTATACAGAACGGAAATGGACAATTTACGGTGGATAACCTGGGTAATCTGTACACATCCGGAATGACCGCGTATAATCCTGGAATGGTTACATTTAATGTCGTTGCTACTGGAAGTTCTGGGACCCAAGCAGTTGCCCCTGTCAGTGTTAACGTTAATTGTTTGAATGCTCTTCTGTATGGATAAATATGTGCCTAATAATTATGTGTGTCAATCTACTGAGTAGATGCCGTGTGAAAGCGAAAATGTTTTAAATGTATGGTATATATTGCACAAGGTGCAAGCATAAATTAAGAAAATAATGCAAGCATCGTGTCGGGTTTGATCGTTCAACTGCACTTTACCGGAGATTCTGCTGCATATTTCCTCAAACGTGCATGCATAAATGATCCATGTTAGTGACGACAGTTAAAACCTATTCGTTCGAAAATATATGTAACTTGCGCATGCAAACGCAGCGCAGGTTCATGGTCACGATTGAGCAGATGTCTGTTTGATATGATTATAAAAACAACACATGCCGCATATTACACTAAACTGTCGCCGTTTTAATGAAACAGCTTTGCATGTGGCAGAAACTGCTCATCCCCAAGTTATGTATCATGATCATGTGGGAGTGCCATTCCATCTTGTAACTTTTCATTATTATTACTATCATGGCAATAAGTACGGGCATTATAATTATGAAAAAACAACCTGCTTTCGCTCACCGGTTTTTTGCATTGTTTAAAATGTCGCGCATGGTTTTGAGAAAAGACAACTTTTTTTCTTGCCTATTAAAATAGTAATATTTTGTTAACAGAAAGTGCTATTGTGCTTAAACTGCAATCAACCGTGCCGGTTATGGTTTTATATTTTTGCGCTTGACCAAAAAATCTGAATTTACAATTTTTATATGTTTACAATTTGCATTCAGACTTGCTTAATCGCAAAATGACTAGTAGGTTTGCCGTAGAAATTTGCATGGGAATTCATATATTTTTATGCTGTATATTGCAGTTATGTGATCGTGACTAACGCCTTTTCTTGCGGCTTATACAAAATTGTTAAATTCGTCGACAAATATATGGGGCCTGCATTGCGACTCAAATGGGATTTCTACAACTTGAACTGACTTTAGGGATGAAGTGGAGATTGTTACTATCGCTTGTGCTAATAGCAATAACAGTTTTAGGCTTATTGCTTTTTGTCCACATTATTAATTACAACTTCCGAACGACAGCTCCGCTGCCAGATTACATGGACGATTTCATCACCGCTGACAACGGAGATATTCCGTCGGCGTTACATCTCACTCGATTTTACAACAAAGCACCGGTTAAACCGACGGGCAACCTTTGTTGGTTGGAATGCGTCAGCTTATTGTCCATGCTTTTATATATAAAGCCAAACCATGTTTATGTCCATACAAATTATCCGGATTTTTGGCCGTTTGATTCGTGTTATTCGTTAATTGCTACCAACTGGACAAATTTTAAAATGATTCATCGACGAAGACGATTTGTTATTGGTGGTAATGCCATCAATCCCAACAACGATGAGTTTATTGCGCACGAAGCGGATATAACCAAACTAACGGTTCTGCATGAATGTGGTGGAATTGTTTCCGATTTGGATGTTTTTTACTTGCCGAATATTCAAAGTTCGTACTTCCTTACCTGAAATCTGAAATGGATAATGTGATTCGTATATTAGCAGTTAAAAAATTTAGTGTATCTGAACAATGGAAACTGTTTGAATGATTAAATCGACATAGACTCGTATATATTATATATAATATAAGGCTTCTCTCACTGAACCGTGAAAGCAGCGTATGTACTTGTACATACTTACGGGATCTGCACAAAGAACTTCACCAGTAAAACTTTACAAATAAGTTGCAGTACTATTTTTTTGCAGAGCTTCTTTCACGTTTCCGGGATGGATTCGACTGCATTGCCAGCCGAGAATTAATCCGCGATGTATATAAAATGAACCTTGGTTTCCTGGCTTGCCACAAAAATTCGCCGTATGTTCGGGCTGTTTTACAAAACTATAAGGAGGACTACAAGACGAACGATTGGGTGTACAATTCTGGAGAGCATCCGTGGAATCTCTACAGCGCAAATCCTTTGTTCAGGAAAACTGTTTATGTGGACGACCAAATTTCCAACCATCCATCGTGGACGAACGTGAAAACATTCCTTAATAAAAAAAGCGGAATGCCCTGGAAACATAAGCCGGCATTTCATTCGTTCTTCCATGATTGCACTTATAACCTGGCAAATGTGCACAAGCAGGACACTAGCTTTGCTTTGATGATAAGCTTTATTCTCACTGACGCAATCAAAATCCATTATGACTTAACCAGAGGCAAGCCTGAATTAAATTTAGCAGTTGGGTAATATTTTATAAAACGTGCGCAATACCATTTAGAAACGTATAATAATTTTTATGTGTTAGTTATTGCCGCATGGCTACCGTATTAAACGGTTAGGAAATGTTTGAGTCCGCAACGTTTTCCAGACGTTGTCATCGCGATAATGGCAGTGCCTGTACTTCCATGTTTTTGCTTTGGATTGTTTTCTTACTTGGAAAACTTGTAGGGTTACAAACCGTTACGTGATAAATCTGCGCTTTGGAAACATTTACAGAAAGCAGAGAAGCAAAGCATCTGGACAAGCTCGAGAAGTGCTTATAAAGGGTAAAATTTTGCAAAGCGTAAGACGTAGAAACTATATAACATTTTCCACGTGGATGATGTGAAGACGCGAGAGCGGTACTACCTGGTTTCAGCCCTCTACAGCGGTTATTATGAAAACATTAAAAATAATGTATGTCTGCTTATACGCTTCAGAATACTCATTAATGGATACACCAGGCCGGAAAAATAAAGTGGATATTATACAAGTAACTACTTTTGTACATAACAGTTAGAATTTCAGTATCACATGTTTGTTTTTCTTGTTTGCACATTTTTCTCGGTTATATAAATTCAACAAAGCTAATTCGACTTAACATGCGTACAGCGGGAATAACCGTGAAGAAAAACATGCGCACTAGCCAGTGACCTGCCGCGATGTCTTGTACGGTAGATCGTCTTCCAGGCATCTCATGGACTCAGGATGGATTGTGCGATAAAGCCGGCTGTCGGGCGCGCAACGATGTTTGGTTAAATAAGTTTGCCTCGTGGTCAGTCAGTTGCAGGATTACCGGTATGAGCGTTTTAAATTAGTACATTTTAGCATGATGTATTCACTGCAAACTTGTGGTGGACGTCCGTTTTGTATTCAAGTAATCGGTCAAAATGAGTTAGATTTTTCGAGGCACAGTCCACAGCTATGAACATTGCCCTTCTGGACACTCGCGCACTTGCATGGTTTCCGATAATATACAGCTCCCCTTCGTCGCGATCACTTAGAAGGTAAGGGTTGGCATTCAGCCAGTTCCGTAACCAAGCATACAATGTACGACAAAAAGAGGTTGAACCGATCAGTCGGTCCGCGGTTCAAAATAACCTCGCAAGCGTCCAAGTTTTAGTGGTGGCGTGTCGTTGCGAGGTTATTTTGAACCGCGGACCGACTGATCGGTTCAACCTCTTTTTGTCGTACATTGTAGTCACAGGCGCAGTGAATTTTACGAATGGCCGATTGAATCTCAGGAGTGGCGTATTGTAATCCTCTTCGCCAAGTCCTAAAAGGAGACTCTCGTACATGTTCTCTAGCTGGAGCGACCTTAGCTGTGGGAGATCTTTGAATGTCTCCGGCTCAATCGATTCAATGGATGTCAGGTAGAAATCGAGATTTCTTAAATTCTTGAAGTGACGGAAATCATCTCGTTTTATTACCAGCTTGTTGCAACCATGAAACTGCAAGTACAGCAAATTCGGCAGTCGCAATGCGCCCACCGTAGATGAGGCCGAACTGCCTCGGCAAGTCCAAAAATACAGCTCAATTAGTTGTGTTCTAATTGGGTCGACAAGCTGTTGTGTTAGCTTCAAGGAGTCGTCACCGGGGGCAAACAATCTGACAGCTCGACTGGGATTACTGATAGCAATGCTACTGGCACTGTCCAAAAAATCCTAAAATCCGACGTCATTTAATTTAAATTAATTTAATTGCAATCAGAGCAGGTAGCCCATTTCCGGCTAGGTTGACAGTCTAGCATGGGATTTTAAACCTGGCTGAAATTTATTCTATGTCAGTAATTTATTATACAGCTACTGTTATTTCAACTCTGTCTGCTCAGCTCACTTCTCTCAGACCGGTGCATTAATCTCATAAAAATATATATTTAATTTTAACCGTAATATAACTCAACTTATACTTCGGTATATCATGCAGACCTACTTAAAATGACTTTTTCAAATAAACACATGTAGAAGTACTAACCCTCGTCAGAAAAACCATATACTTTAATGGTAACTTTTGAATTAGACTTAGATATTACAGATGATCTCCTTGTTTTATAATACTTACGAATATGAAACATTTAGATATGGATATAGAACATCATTTTGTATTTATTTCGACATATACCACATAACTGGTACTACATAAAAAAACCAACATCCGAGACATACTTTCTCACGAAAATACCAACATAATTAGATAAAAAAATCGATTTTGGTTAATGCGCCAGAACCATAAACGGAGCACTAAAAGAGCGCTAGAAATTACAAAAAAGGCAACAAAGATGCATAACAAGATAAAATGCATAACAAGATAAAATGCATATCAAGATAATTATCGCCACAGGGGCAAGTATAGCCATGGATGTCGACATCCAAATGCATCAGTCCAGGTCCGCGGCGTATCCTGACTGATCAGGCTTGGAGTGGTTCCGGCGATAATAGTACAGCTTTCGGCTGAAAGCCTGCAGCAATTCAATCTCTTTAATTGGCATTGCACGCTTTGCCAGGATCCCTGGATGGTACTGATTGATGTACCCTGTAAAAAGTGTAGCAAATAATTCCTAATGATATAAAAAAATGTTTTTGGACACTTACCCAAAACATCTCTCAGCAAGTCGTTGCCAAAGGCACCCTTCAACCCAAAGCGGTCTCCAGTAAACAAGCGCAGGGCATTGTCTTCGGATCCAAAAAACAGTAACGCAAGGTTCACAGCATCCATCAGTACGCGAGCTGGTGTAAGGTTGACCTTAAAATTCTGGAACCGCGCGGCAGGCAGGTAATGACCAGATCCAGGGAACAGCTCCACCACATCTGCCGAACGTGTGCGCCACTGTCGGCGCAACTGTCCAAGTAGGGCGGTCTGCTCCTCAGTCCGCTCTAAAATAATAAAAATGTTGATGTCAACATCAAAAATTAATTTAATATGAAAAATACGTTCGGAATACTTTTTTGTCGCTTTTCCTTCCGAGCAACCGGTGAAAACGGCTTTCGTTTGCTACCCACAAAATCTACAAATACGAAAACTTAAAACATCGCTGACTTGAGAAAATCAGTTTCATTAAAAAGATTAATTACCTTCCTCTCCCTGCGCGAACGTCGGCGTGCGCATGCGAGCTGTAGCACCTGCATTCCCGGTGTGATCCCGTTTCTTGCCGGATGGAAGATTTTGCTCATACGTAGAGTAAAATTCGCGTTTTTCTGCAGAAATTTGTAAATTACAATTTTTTTCCGTTTCTTTAACACGACACAGAAGCACAAAATGATTACCGTTATTTCGCTTGTTCGCGTAAGGGCGCAAAGACACCATTTTATTTCAGGTCGACCCGAATCAAACAGTGTTATAACACTGTTTGAATTGTCAGTCACGAATCCCTGTGTTGACGCTTACCCGAGCCGTGACGTTACTGTAACATTAGGGAATTTTAGATTTCACATGGTTCAGGCTCCGTCCACTAGAAACTACCGCGTCACATAAACAGTACGTTACCAGATTGAACAGCGTTCAAAATGCTTGTACGGATGCACACATGCAGTGACGTACAGCTGAAAAATAAATCGAGTCGAGAGTGCCGAGAGCGTGACCAACCTGCTCTCGGGGAGGCGGTTAGAGCACACAAAAAAGATCCACAGGCAGCATACGCTGGCTTATTGCTCAGCCATACGGCTGAGCCGTTGCACAGATCCACGCAAGGGAGATAGTTTTTACGCGTCAGCCAACGACGTTAGGTTACGGCGCCTTACGTCGCGAACGGACGTAAATCGACCCGTAACGCCAACTTCTACCCGCACGTCGAACTGGACGGAACTTGTTTTGTGAAATCTAAAATTCGCTATTCTAGAGTTGATACGGTTCCCGGCACTCTCTTGAAAATCATTTGTCCGATACTGGCTTCGAGACAGTTATCAAGGCCTTTCCAGCAAGGATTTCGCGGACGACTGGCGCACTCGCGTGGACTAACCGGTGTTCCGTCGTATCGTGGGAAAATATCTTCCCCTATGATTGCATTTGTTAAAACCTTTAAAGCTGGGTGATTTCGTAATTGTCATATAAACTAACCTCTACAGGTCACCCAAAAAATTCCGTGCATTGCAAGAGAATAAGCAAATGTTTTATGCACCATTTTTAAACAAAGCGTTCTAAACGCTAAACATCAAATAACAGACTATCTGTACACGAATAAGGATCAGGCAGAGAAATTCTGTTGCCAGCAACTCTGCTTATTTAGCTGATTTATCAAAACATGTGGCAAGATGCCAAAAACTAGGTACGGAAATCGAAGGCAACAGAAGTATGCACTAAAGTACTCTGTATAAGCACAATCTTTTTCGACAACGATGCTGTAGATTTCCGTTTTTAATTACAACGGCTGCCTAAGGAATTTGGGTTCAACAGTCAAATTACGATATTGCTGAGCGTATACTGTATGTGTATTGTACATGTATGCCCATGCACACATCATAATTATGTCCAGACTCTAGAATAATAATAATTATCACCTGGAGCGAAGCCGAGGTGGTCTAATTGCAGGAACAATGCTACGACTGATTTTCGCCGTTAAAAGTGACCAGCATGATATCACGGTGGTCTAACATCATTCTTTTCTTCTTGCAAACACATCTGGCCGGTAATACGAAAATTATTAAGTATCAATTTGGCAAAGCTAAAACGGATTAGCGCAGCGCTGAATGACTGCTAGGATAGTGTCCAGCTAACTGATAGCTAACCAGTACACAACCAAGGTAACTTAAATACCGTTTTACAGGTAAATACTTTATTAGGTTGTGCTTAGATTTTTGAGTTATTTCCGCAAGCGCAAAAATGCCTCAAACTTTTATTTTAACACAATACAATACCCACTACCTTTGAATTATCTCGGAGACGAATGCCATATCCTACAGCGATGCCGGTACTCAGGCATGTATAATCGTTTTCCATTGCCATTCTGCTAGATAGCATATACGTCTTAAAACTCCTTTTTTCAACAAGAAGTGTTAATTGAAAAAGTGTAATTGTCCTCTCTGTATCCACGACGTCGCTCCGCGAAATAGGACAAGTTTTTCGGGGCACAGTCTACAGCAAGGAATATCGACTTTCTGTATACTCGTGCACTGGGATGATTTCCGATAATGTATAATTCCCCTTCGTCGCGGTCGCTCTGGAGGTAAGGATTGGCATTCAGCCAGTTCCGCAGCCACGCATAATCGCAAGCACAGTGAATCTTACGAATAGCCGCCTGGATCTGAGGAGTAGCGTACTGGTTATCGTGATCATTTTCGTGAAGTCGACCAAGAAGATTCGCGTATTCATTTTCTAGTTGGAGTGACCTTAGCTGCGGGAGATCCTTGAATGTCTCCGGCTCAATCGATTCAATGGACGTCATATGGAAATCAAGATTTCTCAAATTCTTGAAGTGGCGGAAATCGTCTCGTTTTATCACTAAACTGGTGCAGCCATGAAACTGCAAGTACAGCAAATTCGGCAATCGCAATGTCCCCAACGTGGATGTGGCCGTATTGTCTCGGCAGCTCCAGTACTGCAGCTCAATTAATTGTGTTCTAATTGGGTCGACAAGCTGCTGCGTTAGCTGGTAAGAGTCTCCACCATTTGCAAATACCTTAACAGCTCGATTTGGATTAACGATGGCAATACTGCTCGCAGTGTCCAAAAAATCCTACAACCCAGTACCGGTGTCAGACTCCATGCTGCTACAAAGTGCTACTTTTACTGTGCCATATACGGTTCATTTCTCATTGTCAGACCCGTGTACTGAACTCATAATAATATTACTGACTTTTGACATATAATTATAAGTGCAAATGTTACAAGTGTGACTGCCTCTGCTAAATGTTCCGTTACAACGAACTGCACTTACACGAGCAGTGGCATTTTTGTAGCATTCTAAAGTCCACACGGTTCCCGGCACTTTCCTGAAAAGCATTTGCCCGATACCGGCTTCAAGACAGTTAGCAAGACCTTTCCAGCAAGCATTCCTTGGGCGACTGGCACACTCGCGTTGACTAATCGGTGTTCCGTCGTACCGTGGTAAATTACTTTGCCCTGCAAAGTAGTATAAGTTGGCTACTTTTGTAGGTAGTTATAAGTTATAACTAACCTCTGGAAGCCATAAAAAAAACACCGCAAAATAAAGGAAAATATGCCAACAGATTATGGGTCATTTTTAGACGATCGCTCTTTTAAAGATTACAAACTGTTGTTCCCGCTAAATATTAGTCAGCATAACGAGTAGTAACTGCACGAATATGATTAATATTCACCATGCAGAGAATTCAAAAACTATCTTGATTTATCAAAAACTACTGTCGATTGCCAAAAAATTCTGCAGCAACCGACGACCGGCAACCTCATACATATACTTCAAGTAGCACAATCTCATAAGTATTTATCAGTTTACTCAATCTGCTCGAAAAATATTGTAGATTTCCGGTTTAATATTAAACAGTACAACAGTAGCTACGTATCGAATCTAGTGGGATTAACCTTCGAACTTGAATTATGATATCGCACAGGCCCGCAAATCAGGATAGCGCCAAAATAGCGGTAAATGTCCTCTGGCTGTAAGTTATCACCACATTCGCCTTCCGGTTACGTGTGAAAAACCGCTTCGATTCACACCTATATACAGTATGTGAATATAAAAATAAGTTTTCATAATACGTTAGCATACTTCTTATATATTATACAAGAAAAAGGCTCGGCCTCGCCTCCACGTTTCTTGTGTTCCCCAGTCTACGGCCGGTTTATTCGAATGATTTCGATAAGTTATTTAGTTAACATCTTATTCCTTCAGCGAAATACAATGGTCCGAAAAAAGCGCTAAATCACAGATAGGATAAAACATGAATTTATGGCTTTTGTGCACTCAGATGCATTCTGTGACTTTGACTCTTTTGTTAACTTTTCCATCCCGACTCTGAGCCTACCAGCTACTACATTTGAACCTGAAGAATGCTTGCAAAAGATGCTGGTGGTAGTTTGGTCTCTCAATCACCTAGCGGGCTTCGTGTGAGGGACAGTAGCGGTACTTCGGTCACGATTTTTCAATAAAGCACCGGTTAAACCGACGGATGACCTTTGCTGGCTGGAATGCCTTACCAGGGCACATTTTCCGGGTCCAAATTCAGAAAAATCTGATCTTTGGCAGGAACATATTATACCATCGTAGTATATTTAAAAAAATAATTTCAGCTGCTGACACTCAAAGGGCGTGGCCATACAAAATTAATAAGTAGTAAGTAATAGTACATACTATTGCACTGCACTAGTGTAGTACCCTAACAGCTGTTTGTATCAGTGTAATAATAATAAACAGGAAATTTTCATCTTTTGCCGAATGACAGTGTACGACTATGGCACGGTTAAAAAATAAGGAACTTTAATATTTATGACAAGTTTCGGAAGCACAGTGCAGACAGTGAGGAAAAGCAAAATCTAGAATTCAAATACAGTGGCAGTATGTGGTACGTACTGTTGCACTACCGCAAAGAATCGCAGCTACAAAATGGTTTTTATACTGTGTCGTCTTAACGTTTGCACATGAAATTTTTCATTTAGCATAATGTGGCAAAATACTACGTTCCTGCAAGAGGTGAAACTTTCCTGATCTGCTGTTATTTTATAAAAAGCCTGTGCGGGTATTGCGCTAGTGCATTCACTGCATTGTAATAACATGCAGTATTACGCACTTCTTAATTTTGTTTGGCCACGCCCTTTGAGTGTCAGCAGCTGAAATTATTTTTTTAAATATACTACGATGGTATACTATGTTCCTGCGAAAGATCAGATTTTTCTGAATTTGGACCCGGAAAATGTGCCCTGGTTAGTTTATTGTCCATGCATAAGTCCATACATAAAGCCAAAACATGTTTACGAATTATCCGAATTTTTGGCCGTTTGATTCGTGTTATTCATTAACTGCTACTAACTGGATAAATTTTTTTTTAAATGATACATCGACGAAGACGATTTGATATTAGAGGTAATGCCATCAATCCCAACAACGATGAGTTTATTGCGCACGAAGCCGATATAGCCAAATTGACGGTTCTGCATGAATATGGTGGACTGTTAACTGTTTCCGATTTGGATATTTTTCCGGAGCGGACTGACACCAGTTGGCAGTCGGTTAAACTAGAATAATTACAAAGACTAGTCTTTGTACACTATTTAGTTTACGGCTTGTTTTCGTCAGGTCTATGGAAAGTCTGTAACCAAAATGTTACACGATTCTGATTCGCACATTTTAGGGGGGTGGTTTAGGACAGCACAAGCATCAAGTTACACAAAGGAAGATACTGTAAGGGACTATCTAGAAACTACGTTCCCGAAAATTCGTTCTGTACGTAGTTTGTGTATGGTCCCTAACTATACCATTAATTACAAATTTATAGTTCACGAATAATACGTAATTTGCACAGCGAGTCCGCGACGGAATGTTTTCGCTGACTGCGAAGCAGACAAGAAAACGCCACTTCGTGTTTCTACTTGCCGAACATTCAAAGTTTGTACTTCCCTACCTGAAATCTACAGCGTATTTGAGATTTTGTCTATGACTATTTAAACAAGTGAAACGTTAACCTTTAATAAGTATCATGTCACAAGTACAAACTTAGTACTAGAAAACATTAATCTCATAACAGAAACACTTCCTCAATGCTATCCTGATCGGGAATTGTACCCATTACACAAATCGCATTCCCCCGTTGCATCTGGATAGAGAGTCGCTGTCTAAAAAACTCTTTCGCACGTTTCTGGCCTGTGGCGGTGGCCATACCGCTTCCAACCTTATCCACAAGCCTTTTTGTTCCATCTCCCCACGGTCCGTAAACAAGTCAGTGTAGAGGGAAAACTGTTCTGAAGAGTGGCTTTACTGTACTTCTACCAAACTGCTTGTTTTATCACGAGGAGACTGAGAATTATGAAACCGATACTTCTATACGTATTCTTGTACAAAGAATTTCACCAGTAAAACCATGATATTAAAATTGTAACGTTGGTTAATCTGCAGAGCTTCTTCCCATCTCCGGGATGGATTCGACTGCATTGCCAGCCGAGAATTAATCCGCAACGTATATAAGGTGAACCTTGGTTCCCTTGCTTGTCACAAAGAATCTCCGTATGTCCTAGCTATATGGAGGACTACAAGACGAATGATTGGGTGTACAATTCTGGAGAGCATCCGTCGAATCTCTACAGCGCTAATTCTTTGTTCAGAAGAACCGTTTATGTTGACGACCAAATTTCTAGTCATCCATCGTGGACGAACATAAAGACATTTCTTAATAAAAAGAGCGGAATGGAGACATAAGTCGGCACTGCATTTCTTCTTCCATGATTGCACTTATAATCTGGCAAATGTTTACAAGCAGGACACTACAAATAGTTTGCTTTGCTCATAAATTCTATTCTCAGTGACGCAGTTAGAAGGCAGTATAACGTAGGCAAAGATAAGCTTGAATTAAATTTAGCAGTTGGCTAATTTCTGAAGATTTTCATACGAGCGTTACAGCCCATAGGCATAAACGCATAACAGTTTCTCTGCGCTGCTGTATTGCCTCATGGCCACCGTATAATCAAATGCGCATCGGCTGCAAATTCAAATTTAAAATATTAATTATTGTGCCGCCGCAGATATAGATTTCACAAAAGCCAATTCCTTTTGCGCAGCAAGGAGTAGCAGGGAAGAACAAACGTTCCGCTAGAAAGGACCAGACGCGGCATAGATCTACTACATAGATTCTTATGAACCTTATGAAAAGTAACTTGTGAAAACAGGCTGCACTCGGGCACTCAGGCTTGTGCTTACTTTACATACTGTATATCTTTACCTTGAGTGATGGTAACTCTGCCGGACATCACGTTTTAAGGGGAACACTAGCAGTAGAAAGCGGGTTTGGGGAAACGGGAATGGTTTGAATTTCACTTTGAAAACGATGGCCAGGTATGTGTTTTAACAATTTGACTGAACGCAGAGAGGATCGCGTCACACCATTGTGCAGCTAAATCTTCTCTGCGTTCAGTTAAAGTTGTGAAAACACATATCCGGCCATCGTTTTCAAACCATACCCGTTTTCCCAAACCCGCTTTCTACTACTAGTGATCCCCTTAAAGATTCTGCATGCATTTAGCACGAAGTGTTAATTGCAAACTTGTGGTGAAAATCTGTCTCGTATTCAAGGTATCGCTGGAAAATAGATAAATTTTTCGAGGCACAGTCTACAGCCAGAAACATCGCCCTTCTGGAAACGCTTGCACTGGCATGGTTTCCGATGACGTACAACTCCCCTTCGTCGCGATCGCTCAGCAGATAAGGGTTGGCATCCAGCCAGTTCCGTAACCATGCATAATCGCAGGCACAATGAAGTTTACGAATGGTCGACCGGATTTCCGGAGTTGCATACTCGCTAGTGAAATCTGCTTCGCCGAGTCGCAAAAGGAAACTCGCATACCTGTTCTCTAGCTGAAGTGACCTTAGTTGTGGGAGATCTTTGAATGTCTCCGGTTCAATCGACTCAATGGTGGTTAGGTAAAAATCAAGATTTCTCAAATTCTTGAAGTGGCGGAAATCGTCTCGTTTTATCACCAACCTGGTGCAACCAGAAAATTGCAAGTACAGCAAATTTGGCAGTCGCAGTGCCCCAACCGTGGATGTGGCCGAATTGTCCCGACAATGCCAAAAATACAGCTCAATTAGTTGCGTTCTAATTGGGTCGACAAGTTGGTGTGTTAGCTGGAAGGAATCGCCGCCGGGGGCAAACAATCGGACAGCTCGGTTGGGATTACTGATGGCAATGCTACTGGCACTGTCCAAAAAATCCTAAAATCCATCATCGGTATTTTATTCTACTGCTACTGTTATCTCTACTGTGTCTTAGCTCAACTTAATTCTCCCAGTTCGGTGTATCAATCTCATCAAAATATAATTATTATTTCATTTAACCGTAATGTAACTCAGCTTGTACTTCGGTATACTATGCAGATCTATTAATGAATTTTTCAAATACAAAGTAAATACATGTAGAAGTACGAGTGTACTAACAGTACACTCGTATTAGCTACTAACAGTACTCGTACTAGTTGTTTGAGCTGCCGGTAACGAATCCCTACCAGAGTATGTTTGTGCTTACCCGAGCCGTGACGTTGTTGTAGCATTCTAAAGTTGATATGGTTCCCGGCACTCTCCTGAAAATCATTTGTCCGATACTGGCTTCGAGGCAGTTATCAAGACCTTTCCAACAAGTGTTTCTTGGACGACTGGCGCACTCGCGTTGACTAACCTGTGTTCCGTCGTACCGTGGGAAATTATCATCCCCTACAATTGCAATTGTCAAAAGCTTTAGAGCTGGATGATTTCGTTATTTCCATATAAACTAACCTCTACAGGTCACCCAAGAAATTCCGTACAGTGCAACAAAAAAAGCAAGTGTTTTATGCACCATTTTTTAACAAGGATGCTCTAAAAATTTTATGAGCTGTGCTTTACGCTAATCCTCAAATAACAGACTGCACGAATAAGAATCAGGCAGACAACTCTGTTGCCGGCAACTCTGCTTATTTAGCTGATTTATCAAAAGATGTGGCAAGATGCCAAAAACTAGAGTACAGTAATCGACGGTAACAGAAGTTTGCACTACAGTAGAGTACTCTGTATAAGCACAATCTTTTCAATAAGGATGCTGTATTTTTCTTTTTAATTACAAGCCTGTTGAATCTAGATTCAACATTTTAATTACGATATTGCGTATACACAACGTGTATGTAAGTACTAGCATGTAAGTACGCCCATGCACATGTGTGTCCAGACTCCAGAGTAATTATGAATTATCAACTGGAGCGAAGCCGAGGTGATCTAATTTCAGGATCAATGCAGTGACCGATTTCGTCCGTTACGAAAGTGACCAACATCACATCACGGCGATCAAACCTCACTATTTTCTTCTTTCAAACACTTTTGGTCGGTAACATAAAAACTGTTACGTATAAATTTAGCAAAGCTAAAACGGATTAGCGCAGCGCTGAATGACTGCTACCAGTAGCATATATAGGGAGGAATATTGAGCTAACCTGTGCTCAACCAAGGTAACTTAAATATCGTTTTTCATGTAAATGCTGTATTTATGTATTAGCAGGTCGTATTCAGATCTGCCGCAAACGTAAAGATGACGCGAACGTTTATTTTAAACGCAGTACAATACACCAGTATCGATCTATCTCAGAAACGCATGCCAGAATCTGCAGTGATGCCGGTACTGAGGCATATATGGTCGTTTTCCATAGCCATTCTGCTAGATATAATATGTCTGTCTTAAAACTCCTTTTTAACAAGAAGTGTAATTGTCCTCTTTGTATCCACGATGTCGCTCCGCAAAATAGGATAAGTTTTTCGAGGCACAGTCTACAGCAAGAAATATCGACTTTCTGTATACTCGTGCACTGGGATGATTTCCGATAATGTATAATTCCCCTTCGTCGCGGTCGCTCAGAAGAAAAGGACTGGCTTTCAGCCAGTTCCGCAGCCATGCATAATCGCAGGCACAGTGAATCTTACGAATAGCCGCCTGGATCTGAGGAGTAGCGTACTGGTTATCGTGATCATTTTCGTGAAGTCGACCAAGAAGATTCACGTAGTCGTGTTCTAGCTGGAGTGACCTCAGCTGCGGGAGATCCTTGAATGTCTCCGGCTCAATCGATTCAATCGACGTCATGTGGAAATCAAGATTTCTCAAATTCTTGAAGTGGCGAAAATCGTCTCGTTTTATCACTAAACTGGTGCAGCCATGAAACTGCAAGTACAGCAAGTTCGGCAATCGCAATGCCCCCAACGTGGTTGTGGCCGTGTTGTCTCGGCAGCTCCAGTAATGCAGCTCAATTAATTGTGCTCTTATCGGGTCGACAAGCTGCTGTGTTAGCTGGTAGGAGTCTTCACCGTTTGCAAACACTTTAACAGCTCGGTGTGGATTAACGATGGCAATACTACTGGCAGTGTCCAAAAAATCCTACAATCCAATGCCGGTATTGGACTAGCTATGTACTGCTAGAAAGTAGAAAGCGGTACTTTACTATGCCATATTCGGTCCATTTCTCAGACCGCTGTGTAAAGCTGATATATTTTGACTCACTTTTAACATATCTGTATACTGTAAATGCAAATGTTACCTGTGTGACTGTGTCCGCTAAATTGCTAGTTACAGCTTACTCCACTTACACGGGCAGTGACATTTTTGTAGCATTCTAACGTCCACACGGTTCCCGGCACTTTCCTGAAAATCATTTGCCCGATACCGGCTTCGAGACAGTTATCAAGACCTTTCCAGCAAGCATTTCTTGGGCGACTGGCGCACTCGCGTTGACTAACCGGTGTTCCGTCGTACCGTGGTAAACTGCTTTGCGCTGCGAAGCATCATAATTTCGTTACTTTTGTGTATATGGTATATAAGTAACTGACCTCTGCAAGACAACAAGAAAGCTCCGCAAAATAAAAGAAAATATGGCAATAGAATATGAGCCATTTTTAAACGAAATTCTTCTAACGATGATAAACTGTGGATTCCCGCTAAATATTAAAAAAATAACGAGTTGCAACTGCACGAATATGAGTAAGATTCACCATGCAGAGAATTATGTTGCCGGTGCCTAAGTTTGTTCCACTGATTTATCGAAAACTACTGCCCATTGCCAAAAAAAACTCTGCAGCAACCGACGACCGGCAACCTTTTACATGTGGCACAATCTCAGAAGTATTTATCGGTTTACTCAATCTGCTCGAAAAAGATATTGTAGAATTCCGGTTTGGTTACAGTACAACACTGACTACGCTTTGAATCTAGTGGGTTCATCCTTCGAACTTGTATTATGATATCGCACCGGCCCACAAATCTGGAAAGCGCCAAAATGGCGGTAAATATTCTCCGGTTGTAAGTTGTCACCACATTCGTCTTCCGGTTACATAAAGTGTGATCATGAAAAACCGCTTCAATACACACCCATATCCTGTACTTACGTGTAAGCAGAAATGGGTTTTCATAATACGTCAAGATACTTTATATATAGCACGTTAATAACGTTATCATTCATACTGCAGCTTTAAGAAACCAGCGTTAAGGCCATGGGTTTCAGTTCACTCCTACAAGGCAAAACTTTAAGTTTCTAAGTCAAAGAACACAAACATGTATGCAGAACCATGACGTCGCCAGATTAGATACAACGACACATGACATGTTGCACGCGTTTTTGCATTATCACAAAGTAACTTTCAGGTAAATCATTACTCACACCATGGATTTCTCAACTTGCGTGTTGCACTTTAAAGGACTTTCCCGGCATCCTACTTGTGTTTGTGCATCTGCAAAATTCCACAATAAAAGGGCGGGCATGTTGATCCCAGGAAAGGTAATTCCTTCCTGCGCTTGATGATAAACTACAGAAGCTAATTCCCAAACTAGCGACGTAACCTTACGAACGGTATACTGCGCCTTGCATGATACTGGAGCTTGGATACACGTCAGTGTATTTGTTATGGTGATTACACTAATGGCTAATTCGATTGTTAAGTTCTCGGTGGGCGCCTTTAAACGCTTTTATATTTAAGGCGTTATTCACCTCAGATAAACCGGAAAATATTGCAGATTATGGCCGCTTCCCTAAAGTCTAGGATTTTAATTGGCGCGCGGCTTCTGCACCAGGCATTTAAACTGCGCAGGCGTTTTCCGGTCGGCATGTCCCAGAACGCTCTTCTGCATCACAATTGCGGGTTTCTAGCTACGCATGGCCTATGTTGATGAATAGATACATATGCATTCCACAATAACATTTTAACGAATCCACATCGAGTGTAACATGATCATTTAATTGCGCTGATGAGGATTCATGCTTTTTACTTTATACGTGATCAACCCATGGAAAAACCAAGAATCGCGGTTAAAAATAAAGAAGCACGGAAATTTACTCTTGCTCTTTCTTTTTCATTTACGTCTACATCATAACTCGCGCTTCGAAGCTAAAACTGGTGATGAATAACATTACTCTGACGTTGAACTGCACCAACATGACCTTTCCTTGTAATCAGACATCCCCGCTCTGGACACCGTTGTTCGGAATTAAATTGTTTGTATTTGGCGGATCTATTGCATTAAACAGTGGTGTTCTGGTATTATACGCTGTCAAACCATCGCGCATAACTCCGTTCAGCATTTATTTAATAGCTTTGTATATTTCGAACATGATCTATTTATGTGCATCCCGATCCCTGACACTGGTAATTGAAGTCCATGGAAGCTATCCAATGAGTACCTCCGCATGCTTTTTGTATCTGTACGCCACACGAGTAATCAGTGTTCTATCCGTTATGCTTCACGTTTTGATATCGTTGAACCGCTTCTGGGCCTTTCGCTACCCCGTGTCGTATCGCAATCGACATAACGACAAAACGACAGCCATCTGTCTATGCCTGGCGGTCATTGGCTACATCCACACTGTCACACTGTCCGGATTTCTCCTGGATATTCTGCGTCACTATCCGCGGTACATGTTTAATGAATGTCTGGGTTGGATGGGCAGCAGGGAACCCATGCCAATCTGGACGGGAATTGAAAATACGATTAGCCGCTACGTGCCGCTGTTCAGTATAATTTGTTTGTATGTCTATTTATTGCGAAAACGCTTCAGTCGGAATGCTAACCAGATTCAGCCCCAAGATTCCACATCGAGCAAACCAATACCAGCGGGAATAAATCATACGACGCACCCGGAAGTGCCAGCGCAGGGAGCCAGCACGACGAATCGATTCGTAAGATCGCGCAGGGACATTGTCAGACCGTTTCTGATTCTGACGTTGACGTCCATATGCGTGACGGCTTGCTGGCTGCCGTACGATGTTTACTATTTTGTGAAGTACGTTATGAAAATCTTGCCTCCGACTGTGGCACTGGAAATATGTTCGATGATGTACTCTTTTCAGACAGCGCTTGATCCTGTAATATTTTTTCTTAGCCTGCGTAAATGCAAGTCCACTTGTGTATCTGTAAGCTCGGGCACGTGCCGGTTTTTTTCCGTAAATTTGGACGAAAACAATATTGGATAAAATCAGAGCGAACAGATGATGTTTCCGCATTTTACTTTCAGCAGATCGGCGTTCTCCGTCGTAACACCACCACTAGTCGTTATCGTTCAATAGGTTATTATCAGTTATAAATTATAATATTGTTAGCTCTAATTAGCATTTGTTGCCTTGAACTGGTTCAGTAAAATTAATAAGAATAAATTACAAAGTTTGTCCTTTAATTGTATTCTACACTAAAGTTAAGGATCCCATCGTACCTGTCATTAATTTGAAATGAAATTACAGCAAGCCAAAGAATTTCCGTTACAGTTCCAAACTGACAGCTAAGAACATTTCTGTAACTTCTCTAATGGACTAAGACTGCACGTTTAGGTTTGATTTTAATATATTTAATATGTACTTGTACATATGCCGTGCACGGCATATATAGATATTGAGAATAACTTATGGTTAGTGTGGTTGTTAACGTTGCAACATCTGTATGTATTGTACTATGAACAAAGTACAAGTACTTTGACAATATTATAGGAGAGAAGCGCATTGACTATACGTCAGTTGGGAAAATTGTCACGCAAATGGTCGCCGTTATGGTGAATGGACGGTACGGAAGTGTGTGAAAAAATAGAATGCACAGGCCACGATATATAATTCTATGGCTAATAATATCTAAACACAATGCCCCGTCCGCCCTAAGTTTTTATATACGTAATACAGAACGATCGAGAACTCTGCTACACCGTCATTATGAATGTAATTAATGCGTCCACGTTCGGCATTTACGGACGTCTCTTTAATGTCTGTGCAGCTGACCATGAACCCAATATCCGAATAGCTTTCTTTTGTGGCGTTTTACTGCGAAAATAAATATAAAGACAGTTCATGCATCGAATGCGCATTAAACCTGCACTGGGACAATAATCTGGTCAAGCTCCTTCCAGATATACGCATCGCGAACACTGCAACTTTGCAAAATGGCTTTGGTTAAATGTATTGCTGTTGTGACCCTAGTTTCCGTGTTGATCAGTCTTGGCTACGCGATGCGTCCCCGGCATAACCTCCCACCGGCATCTGCTCCAGTGTCGCATAGGCAGAGCGAAGAAGACAAAATGATAGCGTTTATCCTTAGTTGTCGAGGAATGACCTCCAATGCCGCGCTCAACTGTCCATGCGCTGGGAATGGGCAGCGTTGTCGGGATCCCCTGTCCATCTGCTCGAATTTTAAGTGTGTTTGCGATCCGTCTATTAGTACCAACGGTGGCGATAGATGCATTAGCAAATCTCCGGCCCCGGCTCCGGCCAACACCGATATTGGAGAAACGGACTATCCTGCAGAACGTTAAAACGTGAGTACATATGTTAAACGTTATTCATAGAGTAGGTTCATTTACCGCCTACTAAAATGCTGCATACATTATAAGATGCCCATACTTACTAGTAATAAATAAAATTAAATACAACCATTATATTTGGCTTATACTGAACCGTGGTTACCTGTGCTATTCAGAACGGAAGCGTTTCCTATGTTTTGGGAAGGGAACATCGACTTTTGCCATCGACATTGCGATAAAAACTCTGCCAGAGAAAGAAAATTAAATCAGTTAGTTGTGCTTGTACATACAGAGCATGATTTTTGTTAATTCATTTTCTTATTTGCTAAGCGTATATACTATATACTGCATTAAATTAGCTTTTGCATTTCCTCTTTTCGTCTCTCTAGATCTGTTTTACATGTACATGTTTTCAAAGCAAAAGAAGCGACGGAGTCAGAAAATGGGAATGAAGGTACCGGGCACCATTTCAGATTGAATCAATAAAATGTGGGATCGGTAGTAATGTTAGTTGTATGAAATATTATAAATTCTTGTGTAGACCTTTTTTTGTATAAATGCTTGTGTGGAAAAATAAAATTACCTTTTTTGTCATCTTTTCTGGGTTCTTGTTTATTTTACATTAGCAGCACAAAAATCAAAACAGCCCCACGAACAGGAAAAAGCAAAATGAAACCATGATATTAACTGCAGTTCTCAATTTTGAACAGATGGAAAAGCAGGAGCTGAGAATTGTTCACCAATTTACATCATTAAGTGTACGTACGTTTATTGGTTTATGAGTCCTAACTAAAAAATTATGCGGTGCATCTCCGCCCATGTTTGCATGTTCTGAGTCACGGAGCAAATACGTTTTGCTTGGACATAGTGCCATCCATCGATCCGGCATTTTTCGGCATTGAAACTGAGATATGCACTGTTAGCGCAATTTTATGTTTAACAATCGACCAAACCTTTGCCAGAACCGCTATTCGCTGGGTCTATACAAAATGCCAGAAATGTAGAATTTTTGCATTCACCTAGGAGTAAAATCAAAGAGCATTCAAAGAGCATCATCAAATAAAAGCATCAAAGAGTTTAGACCCGGTAACACCACACAAAATCAAACAAAAACCAGTTAAATATATTGCTTATTTACTCGATTACCCAGAATTGATACCATCCAGATAACTTGTTTAGAAAATTCTCACTTACGCTGCTGAAATGTATATAAATAATTCACTACATAATTTGGACAAAAATGTATTACCAAATTTAACCGTTTGAAAATTGAATTTCGCTATAATATATGATATTTTAATTTTTAAGTACTATTAATCATATTTACCCATAAAGCATAATAAATTTTAAATCTAAATCATATTTGCCAACAGAAGTAGCCAAAATGTGTTTAAGAAATGTGACAGTTTCATTACTGTTTTCAGCATGCATCAGTGCTTTGGTAGTTTCTGGTCATGAGTCTGCGGTAAGATACTCTGCATGAACTGTATACTAGACTTATAAAAATCTTTAACAAATTTTATTTTTCTCTAACATAGTTATATCGGGATTTGTATGTTTAGCAACAAATTCATCAACTGGCTAAAAGGCAGCTCTTATCCTATCCGTACACAACCACCAATCTCGCCCCTACACTTCCGCAGTCGTCGTACACTTTTAGTGGCGCTTGTACATCCGGAAATATCCTGGGAACGATTACTTCGACTAGCTTATACGGATTTCCGGCTACATATTCGGTGGACAGCGGCAGTGGCACCGGAAGCTATTATGTAATACTGTATATTTTAGAACATACAGTCCATACAGAAAAATAATTTAAAATTCGTATATTGCACTATTAAAATAATTTCCGTTTGCAATATTGCAGCTAGTGATACAGTAACTCGCCTTGCAAATTACTTCGTACTTTGCAAACGCCTACCCTAATATTATTGCTATCACAGGTCTATGCCCAGCCAACAACCGGGCAGATTTACCTGTGCACTCCCACCAGCGGCACATTTACTTTTAATTTTCGTGCAGCAAATCAGTATGGGGCTATCGCCGTACCGGTTACGGTGACTTGCACAGGGACGACGACAACCACTACTACTACTCTTTTTTCGACATGCCCTTATACGGGACTAGGAACCAGTAGTATCTACCCTTATGGATCGACATATCCTTATTCAACGGGAACGACTTATCCTTATACCACTGGAATTTCTCCTTATACAACGTATCCATACACAACAGGAACGACTTATCCTTACACTACGGGAACGTATCCGTACACCGGTACCACTGGATTAACTTATCCCTATACAGGTCAGTCATGCAAACCGACACCATGTTTTTATATATAAACACATACAAAAATATAAAATCTGCACTTTACAGTGTTCACATAATTTTTCCGCGTACGTATTATAAAAAACTGTAGTTCACGTTGAAAATTAGTAGATACAAACATACATACAAATACGAACATCTAAGCTTTTTATAGGCACAACCTATCCCTACACCACCGGAACAGCATATCCGTATACAACAGGAACCTATCCCTACTCTACTGGGTTAACTTATCCATACACCACAGGGACAACTTATCCGTACACCGGAACGACATACCCTTACACAACTGGAACAACTTATCCGTACACCGGAACAACTTATCCCTTCTCCACTGGAACCAGTTTCCCGTTTGGAACCACTGGTCTTACAGGAACGACAGGAACTGTGACCTTTAGCCAGAACAGCTACAATTTCACCACAACGCAGTGTACATCGGGATCGACGGTCGGCACAGTATCCGGTACAGGATCAGGATACACTATAGTTACCGGTGGGAACGGAGTCTTCTCCATATCGCCTTCCGGCCAGATTACCCTGACCTCGCAGCTTTATACTGGCACATACAGTTTAGTTGTCAGCGGTGGCTCAACGACAAACCAAAGACCCGTGACAATCATTGCAAATTGTCAGAATTCTGGATTTACTCCTGGGCTGTTTGGACGTAAACGATAATTAATATTTTTATTAGTAGGAGCAATAACCCTCTTTTCGATAAATGTACTTACTTTGCAAAATTTATCCTCTGTTCGCATTGTGCTTAGTCTGTACATATAGGTAACAAGCACACTGTTTGCAGTCTAACGGTCACTTTCACAAACATTGTACGCTGTATAGAAAACTTATAGCTGTGCATTCACATTTGAAAAAGTTCATAAAAGATTTTCTTGTGCTAGAGTTTTACTCAACGGTTCCGCTACCAGGGATTGTTCACTTTATTGAAAAAGGCATAAAGCAATGCAGGAATTTCTCACAATTAAAATCAATATCTACTTTTGTACAATACTGAAAATTACAATTTTTGACATTGTTTAAAAATAAGCAAACTTTTAGCACTATCCAGTAGTACAAGTAACAGTCACCGTAACCGGTATCGCTTGCTGCACACCGCTACTATTTGTAGCCACAACGGTCAGACTATACACTCCCGCGGAAACACTGGTGGCTGTAATATTTCCACTGGCATCAATAGCAAAATTGCCGCTTCCATAGTTGATGGCATACGATGCTGCATTGGTGGCGGTGACGGTCCCCACCGCCGCCGATGTCCCGCACGTTGACAGCGTAAATCCATAGAACGGTTGCGCAAACACCGGCGCACCGGTTCCTCCCGTCGAAGTCCCACCGCAGGTCACGGTAATCGTCACCGGAACGGACGCTGACCCCAGCGTGCCGGTGGCGGTTACTGTTCCTGTATATGTACCGGCTGATAAGGCTGACGATAATGTTATGGCACCCGCCGTAGAAATGGCAAAGGAGCCGGTACTGGTGATCGAATAACTATTGGCATTGGTGGCCGTCACTGATCCCACGGAGGACCCAGCTGTGCAGCTACTAGTCGACAGCGTATATGATGTCTGCGGGAAAGTAGCCACACCCGTTGTTGTTCCGCTGCAGGTTACGGTAATGGTCACTGGCACAGTGGTACCGGCGAGGCCAGTAGTACTGGTACTGGCTACCAGGAGAGTATAAGTTCCTGCTGGTACCGCTGTCAGCATGGTAATAGTTCCCGCCGTGGAGATAGTAAACTGGGTGTTTCCATTGGTGATGTAATAACCGAGAGCACCGTATGCCTGGACGGTTCCCACGGCCGTACCCGCCGTACAAGTGGTCGCGGTGAAGGTATAGGATGGTTGTAGGAATCCCGTTCCGGTGGTAGTACCAAAAGGATAGATGCCGGTTGATCCGAAACAGCTGGCGATAATGGTAACCGGGAGTGTAATCGACTGACCCGTCGACAGGTACGCTTGGACGTTGGCTGTCAGGGTTCCCGTTGTGGTGGTCAATGGTGTCAGTAAGGTGATAATCCCGCTGTTGGCGTTAATCGTGAATTGGCTACCGCTAATGAGATAACCCGATGCACCCGGGTAGCACACTTGTCCGACATAACTGCCGGGTGTGTAACAATTCGTTACGGTGAAAGTCTGCTGGGTGGTTCCGGTGGTTCCCGTGTATGGATACCCATACGGATAGCCGGTTAAACCAGTGGTTCCCGTATATGGATATCCAGTATATGGATAACCAGTTAAACCAGTCGTTCCCGTATATGGATATCCGGTTAAGCCGGTTGTGGACTGACATGACGACGTACTCGTGCCATACGGATAGCTCAAACCCGTGGTGCCGGTATATGGATAGGTCAATCCAGTTGTTCCAGTATACGGATAGGTCAATCCAGTAGTGCCGGTGTAAGGATACGTTAGTCCCGTTGTTCCCGTGAACGGATAGGTTAAACCAGTCGTTCCAAACGGGTTGTATAAATACGGATTGGTTAGACTCGACGTTAGCGCGCTGCTCAGTAGCAACGGCGAAATGGTGGTGGTCACCGCGGTGTTGGTACACGTCCCGTTGTTGAAAGGGCACGAGACGATCCCCAGACCGTTGGTGGAACCCGGACATGTCACGGTTACCGGCACGGAAGTGGTACCGGCGGAAGTACTGGCCAGCACGTTGAAACTGAAGGTCGACGGGGCGTTGTTGGCCAGGGTTACGACGCCGGTCAAGTAACCAATGATGGCGTTGAAACCCTGAACAGATTGGGGATCGATGGTGTAGCCCACTTGACCGGGTACGGAGTTGGCTGATGCCGTCACGGTGCCGACGTTCGTGCCGGTGTTGCAGGAGGTCGCGGTGAACGAATACGAACCTTGTCCGAATGTGGGGGCGGAGCCGGCGGTCTGGCGTTTTTGCAGGGCATGCTTGTGGTTAGCGGGAAATTTCCGCATGGAAGTCTGTAAAAAATATGACAGATTTATTTGAAATTATCACATGAAAAACTTTTCTAGCAATAAGCAAGAAATGATATAAAACTTACTTGAATTGCTCCTGCAAACGTTATATATAAGAATACCAGGTAAATATAAAAAATGAATGAGGATTTTGTTAGTTTCAGCATTTTGCGTGATCGTACACAAAGAAGAAAAATAACACGGTTTTATTTTAAACTGGGACAAATAAACGGGACGACTTTTTCTGTTCTAAAAAAATCAGTGCAGAGAAAGAACTAATGCTTTTTTCTGCGATGCGGTTTGTACAAAGTTAGAGCAGCACTGCTGCTTTTTAAATGGCAGATTTTTAAGCATACTTGGCATTTGTTGGTTTTGATACTGGAGAAACGCATCTTCGGATGCCTTGGAAGATTAGTGCGTATAGTTTGGCATAATGCAGTATCATCTAAGGATTTGTTTATGCGCTTGTCTTGATGAGTTCGCGGTATTTGTTTTCAACTATGGGAACAATTCTTTTTGGGTTTGGCTAATTCACAAGTGATCATTTCCGTTTTCTGCCAATACGAGTCTATTGACGCATATAACAAGTGTGTTTATGCCGAAGTCAACACTAAACAGCTGTGTATCGTCATCTCTGTTTGTGGAATACAATGCAGCATACACGACCTTGTTTACCTGTTGTGCTTCGCATGCAGCGTCTGGCCAAATACCGAAAATTCCTCATCTGCATTCTACAACACAGCTAGCTAGTACGCAAATACTTGTCAAATGTTTTTCTTTATTGCAAATGCTGGAGCGATACATGCACTACTTAATGTCTGATGGATGCCCTACGTATGCCCGTTCCCAGCATTGTCATCCGTGGGGAAGATGTAGTGTATGCTCATGCTTGGTACTAGCATACTAACATCAAAGCAGTGTCGCGGATTTTCTTATGATACTCGCTATAGTTTTGTGTTAACCTATGGTTAATCGGGTATTGCAGCATATAATTATAGATGATATTATAATTAGATTACTGTATACCCTTTTTTGTTTGTCTACCATGTTTTACACAAGTATTGAACTTCGATTGTTATATCGTTCACCTTTTCTATTTTTCAGAGTTTGTACGAATAACATCATTCTACAAGCACCTAGCTTACTGGAAATACATACAAAAGACAAAATCTAAAACAAATATTTGTATTTGTCTGGAATTTGTGTTCGAGTAGCAAGAAAAGATACACAAAATTATCTGTATAATCAGTCCTTTCCGGATGAAAAATTAATGGAGCGAGCGCAGTACTTGAAAAAAGATGTCAAGATGTGCATGCCGCACCGCCAACGGTAACCGTAATCGGAACAGTTGTCATAAAGCCCCAAGGATCCGAAGCTCGTCCAATCAAACTGAATGTTCCCGCTTGTGCCAAAGGTCCCATTGTTTTCAGTTCGCCAGAACTTGGATCAACAAAAAATCGTCCAATAACATCTTGCTGTAGACTGTAATTCAGGGGATCTTTGTCGGAATTAGCCGCCTACAAACAGTAAAAGCACAAATAAGCGCTAAAGATTTAATTGCTGACAAACAGTTTTTTAGCGAGTAATCATTTGCGCAGCGGTTGACCGTCAGAGTCGCCATAATCAGTTTAATAAATTCAGCGCTAATATTTAAATTACATATCCAGCACATTCGCTGTTACCTGGAGGAGACCAACAAATTGCCACCCGACAACATTGCACGGAATATTGAACGAGTATGACGATGCCGAAAATACGGGAGAGCCGGCGACGGTAGTCGTGGCGAGGGTAGTAGCCCCTGCGGTACCGGTACAGGTGGCGCTAATGGACACAGGTGCTTGTGCGCTTTGTCCATTCGAACCAACAGCCGCTACGTTAAAGTTTGTCGTGCCAACCGGTAAGGCCGCCGCTGTGGTTATCACACCGGTGGTCTGGCCAATTTGGTATAATCCATTCCCACCGGACATAAAATATGTCACCGTTGTGCCGGGTGCGAAACTGGCGGTAACCGTCCCGACCGTTGAGCCAATTGCACAGTTCGTCACGGTAAAAGTATATGAATTCTGGCTAAAGGTGCCACCTATGAATTAACCAGTCCAAAATAAATTTCTGTAATACAAACTTTTACATAAGCATATAATACATAAAACATAAATATAAATTGCTATATATAATAGCACAACTGCTATAATTCCTATATGGTGCATGTAAACTTAAAATTAATCCCTTGTAATATGAATTCTGTAATATAAATTCCTGAAATATAAGTATATGTGCCCTTCATAAGTTCGAATAAACATACCGGCTAGTGTACAGGCCGGCGTAATGGTAACCGTCGCCGTCGAAGTCGCCACCCCAGTTGCTGCCGTTGTCGCCGTTATCAGAGCGATGATGGGCGTGTTGGTCGTCGGTGCGGTTGTAAAGGTCAGCGCTCCAGTAGTGGAACTAACCGCCACCTGGCTATTCAGCGTTCCATACTGTACAGCGGCGCCACCCGCCGAAGCCGATACCGATCCGATGGCCGTGCCCACCGTGCAGGTGGTCGGAGCAAAATTATACGTAGTTTGAGTGAATGTCGGTCCCCCGCAGCTGACCAAGTTAATCGTAACGGTAGCGGTGGGCACGGTACCGGCTGCCGGGGTGGCTGTGGCGGTCACCTGAATCGTTACTGGAGCGCCGTTGGTTGTCACGGCACTTACGAAGGATATGGCGCCGGTGGTGGGATTAATGGCAAACTGTCCCGCCGTCGGTTGGGAGGAGATGAGGTAGATGAGCGTGGCACCGGCGGGGGGTGTGGCTGTCACTGTCCCCACTGATGCCCCGGCGGCACAGGAGGTGGGCGTGAAGGTGTAGGTGGTTTGTGTGAAGGTCTGCCGTTTACTACGGAAATGTCCGCTTTCTTTGGACTGGCCGAAACCCTGTAATTAAGCAGGGTGTGCAACAAGTTGATTTCAATATACTGAGCAGGATTCTTACATAGACTTGTGGAACGCTCAAAGAAATAACTATAATAACGGAACTCAGAATATTCACAAAAAGGTCATGATACAGATGCACCATTTCCTAAGATTAACAACTTTGAAGCTTGAACAACTTTAATGCCAGAAGCTCAATGTTTTGGATGAGGTTTACAACTTTGTGGGATAGATAAATTTTGGTTCTACTTCAAGACCAAAAAGCAGCGATGTGTCTTATAATCCACGCGTAGTTTTCGCTAATATGTCTAACTGTGTAAACCCGACCAATATTTTAATGTGGCACACATTTTATACTTTACTAAGCATAACTCACATTGATGCAGGGGTGCTTATTTAGGATTATTTTTGGCAGATATTTCATGATTCCCTATAAATATTAAACAATAACCATGCTTTTCTGACCATACAATCCTTATTCATGGCCGAATGATGCAAGCGCGCTTTGTTGATTATGACATGTCTGGAACACTCGTACATAAACTGTGTTTCTTATGTTATTTTATTATGTGACATTTGTCGAGCCAGTACAAATTTTTCAAAGCCGCATAAACCAACTTTTACGTCGAAACTTATGCGGCCACTTCGATTGTCCAATTGCTATTTTTACGCTTAGTCTTTTAAGTATATGACTCTTTCGTAATTAAAAGCAACACTACCCGGTAACCCATTTGCGCCGTCAAAATATAAACATATTCCCGTAATGTCGGCAGAAATTTCCGACCAGTCACAGCACATTAAAAACGCCGCAAATTTATGCCCATATTTCCGGAAGCACAACGATCATAATGTTTTCGCATTCTGATTAATACTGACCTTATCGGGCTCGTTAACGTAAGCGATCGTTTTCGGTACAAAACGCCCGGTTCTTATAGCGCTTGAATATTAACACGGTATGAGTGTGCCAGTTTTGTCCAGTACTGGAAGTGACTTTAAATGCATTTGTGGTCATATGCTGTGCGAGTACTGTAATTACAGGCGGATATTGGCTGATAACAACTACGCAGTGAAATGTAGCACAAACACCTGGAGTAATAAAGATAATGTGAAATAAACAATGTTGCTATCTTCCTGTTTGTTTAGCCCCTTTATGCTGATTATAACTATCTTCCCAGCCGTCAGTCGCTGGTGGGTTTGATTACATTTGCAGTGTGCATGAAAAAGCGTGAAGTAGTCAACTGTTATACGTATTGTGCAGTAAACGGTCGACGAATTCTGCTGTACTTATCATTAATTTGTGTGACGTGCGGATGTGAACTTATTTCCAGTCAATAATTTTAGCGGACTTATATTTTGACTTGAAAATATAGGACTTGAAATCGAAAAACTATAGCTCTACATTAAAAAACCTCCCTCGTCCTTAATTAAGTATTGTACTACTCCGTTATTTAGCTTTCAACGCACTTCTACTTGACGGATTATTCACAGTTGTTAAAGGGAATACTGGTGATATACCGTGAAAATGCTGTCAGCCGCAGTCCTTGCAAGTGACCAGGTACTAACTTGTAAATAATTATATATTCAAGTGTTAGGTTTACTCGGAGCTGTGCGAATGTACAAAATTGCAATTCATTCATTCGTTTACTTGTATACACGTTTCCTCACAGAAATTTCACAAAAAAATAATTAAAGTAATAAAACAAATTACAGTAAATAAAAAAATTAATTACAGTAATTTTACGTTCGCTACTTTGGCCATACATATGACCCCTAATTTCGGCTAACTAAAATTTTGCCAGTCGTTAATACGAAGTAAACTATATTCAGCTACTTTCAACCGTATCGTAATCGCGTGTATTAATACCGGTATATGAGAAACATTTCCTACAGAAAACTGGAAGTTCTGACTCGGTATTTGTTATTCAGAGCCAAAACCTGGAGCCAAGTGGGTTACACGATGTGGACAATGTATTCGTTAAGAGTATTACGGTGAAACCCGATTTCCGTAAACCGCCTCCGCTGGTCAACTGCACCACATCGCCGTTGTTCAAGAGCTCTCTCACCTCACCGTCCTCCTCGCCTCCCGTGACGCCATTTCCCCTGCTGACTGATTTAGCTAATTACATGCGTCCGCCGCGTCTATCACTCCGCAATCTGAGCGTCTGCAGCAGTATGCATCCCTACAGCGAAGACGGCCAGCCGCATGTATTTACTCAACCGGAAGTCAACATCAGTATTGACCTTATGGATGATGTTTTTGATGACAGCGCCGAACAGCAACAGGTGGTCGGCTGTATGGCCAGCACACGCAAAGGCCTGGGATATGCAGTGACATTGTGCAAATGGATTGTCTACAGTTTTGGAGCGACATAGCTCGTTATTTTTGCTAGTCTTTCAAGTGAATTTGAGCCATTAATGCATTGGCGAGGAATTATTGTGATGACATTAATACGATTATTCTCGTATTATTCCTCGTGTACGCGTATTCGCACTGGTCTAATTATGAGCGCAACGTGTGGACCGAATAGTGCGCAATCATGATGTGATAACGCTGATCGACTAATTTGCAAGTTGGTTAATGCGCACAAATTTGCTGTTACTGCATAGACAAGCTTTTATTAATTTTCATGTCATTGCCAGTAGACGATGTTCCGGACTGAAAGTTAATAAAATGAAGAATTAAAATGATTTTGAAAGACCGGCTAGGCTAACGATTATCACATATACAGTAGCTCTAATTTTATCGTTTGTAAACCTGATCGAAGATGGGACAAAATATACTCTAGGTAATAATACTGCAAAAGTCTTGCAGCGTAGTTACTGTACCAATTAAAAATCAGTTTTCTTTATCCACTGCGCAAATAGTTTTTACGATTCAAATTTTGATGAAATACGAGCTTAATTTTGCTTTTTATTCAAACTTTGCTTATTTTGCTCGTACTTAGCCACTTCAAGTTCGTTATTGCTTTTGAGGCAACAGCTGAATAAGTACTGTTGTAAGAAATTTGTATGAAGAAACTGTTGCTAAGCCGGTAAGTATTAGGTATTAAGGACTGTACTATCAAGAATGTTAACCTACTCACGTAAGTTTACTATATTTCAGCAATACTGTATTGGTCACGTTAAGTTTAGTACTAATTAGCAACTACTTATAATTACTTGCTGTGCATTTTTTTTTAAGTATTTAGGACTGTATGGGAAACTGTTATTTTGAGTAAAATTGTTTGCTGGTGTGAAAATGCAGCTTTATTTGCGCCTCCAACAAACAAATGACGATAGATTTCGGATCCGCACAAGAGTCAAACTAACAAATTTCTAAATTACCATTTGGACAATACTGTCAGTGACGGCATTATGACTTGTAACAATGGATCCGTCAAAAACACTCCATTCAGCTTGTCACAATCCGTCCGACCTGTGGATCCCGATAGCGGCTATCCGCTGCCGAGTAATCTTGTGCCACCGTGTGAACGCTACAAATGTCGTCTCGACGAACCTTTACCCGACCACATTCACATCAGCCGGTCCATTTTGTTCACATTCCAGCGCCACAGACTTTTGCAGACGTTAAATGAGTCACAGGAATACCATGCCAAAAAAGCGTATTGCGTACGCAAACAACGCACGTGCGGCGTTGACTCATCCGTGCGTCAGCGGAACCTCGCTCCTACCGGCGTCAATCCATCAGAGTCGTCTCGCGCGCTAACACCGACACGTTTTGTCAAACAGTTGCAGTTAAAACGATCGCCGAAAAGACCGGCAATTTTCAATGCCATGGATGCTGATGACTTTCTAAAAAAGAAACCGGTAAAATGCGGTCTCTATGGCGACGATCCATACTGGGTCCCGGCAACGAAAAAAGAACAAATTCAACCGGAAGTGGATGTGCTTAAACAGCGAAAAAAGGTCACTTTGCCGAATGCTTTCAAAATGACCAAGAGGGATGAATGCTTTGCACGGGTAAATGCGCTTTGTGAACTGCAGCGTATGGAATTTTTGGACGTGGTTCCCAGAATTCGTGTGAACATCCCGAATTTTAAACTGCTCCATAAGAATGAAGAATGGCGGATGGCAGGTATAAAAAAGCGCCCGTTAACGGTGGTAAAGCCGTTTAAATTTGCGGAACGGGATGAAAAGACCTTCCGTGTGCGGAAATTGGAGAAAAGACCTCTGGTACCGCGAGTGTCGACAATTCAACGGCTTCAAAAATGCTGCATTGTATCTTCAAAACAGAAGAAGTAAAGCTATTGACGATGAGTTTGCTTAATATGTGCCATATACGGTATGCAAGCAAGCAATAAAATGTGCCTGGTTTACGACAGTATATATTTTGCACGAGTTCTTTAATTGCAGAAGTTTATTTGTTGGTTGTACATGTCACTGTACATGTATATCGCTGTTACAATGGAGTTTTTACAATTTGCTAGAAAGAACCAGCTCCGTTGATTAACAACTTTCGTAAGTGAATATTTCCGACCAAGACGCAGCTTTTATAGTTTATTCAGTTTTGAGGGGGTCGTATGGTGCTACTGCTTATTACCTCGTCCCTATTAAATTGCTCAACAAAAAGTGCGTAAACCGTACATCATCAGAAATATATTCGTACGCTGTTATTTTATATCAGAACGTTTCTTTTTCTGCACCCTTATTTGACATTGATAACACAAAAAGTGTAGGTAAAAATTATTTGGAAGCGGAATCACTGAATCAGGCAAAGCGTGCATCACGGGGTGACTCCTTTGCTGTCCCGACTGTCAAAAAACTGAACAGGCTTCTATCCGTAATAAGGGTACACGCAGTTGGAATTAGGATAGTTGTACAGGATGCCGTTGCACAAATAGCGGTTATTGCCATTATTGTATCCGCCGTAGTAATTATTATTGTAATAGGGGCGCTGGTAGTAGTTGTTGTAGTAAGGGTATCGGTTGTAGTAGTTGTTATTGTAGAACCACTGAGCCATGGCGGTACCGCAGATACCTACAGCAAATGAATAAATAAATCAGTAGTTAGTTGCAATCAATTAAAGGTGCATGGATTTAAAAAGTGCGTTGCATTAAAATCTACAATGGCTGTGCTAAAATTTGTGAAATTTTACATTACGCAAATAGTAGCAGCACTAATACTGAAATTACTGCATTACATACCGATGAATAATAACGACAGGATAAGGAATTTCATCTTCGTTTGCCGAGTGATTAATGCTAACCAAGGTATAGTAAATAAAGTCTTCGCAGAGTTTACTGCGCAATAAACTGTTACTGCAACGGTTAAAGACAAGTGTGAAAATAACCGGCAATGGTTTAAAGAACGCTATTATGCATTACAGTGAACTGCGATCCTCAAAGTACGGCAACCTTCTTAAAACACTCGGTTTTTATATGAAAATTCGGGTTCGTGTTACCGTGCAGTATTGCATCATTAATGTTCTGGAGCTGCCGACCGGCACAGCAAGAACGATAAAACCGGATCAAATATATTTTTGCTGAGATCAGATAGTCCGGGTATGTTTCCATATTTAATTCTACTAAGATAACGTCATTTAATATTTGTACATGAAATTCGTAATCCCATTACAGGACATATCAATCTTATGTAAGAAAAATGCCTTTTTTGGTTCACCGCATGGGCGAGACTGACAGGTATTGAATCTGGCCGTGCACCCCTACTCGTTAGCGATTTCAAGTCAAGCATACTTTATTGTTAAATAAACAAGAAAACAGCTGAGAATATGGATGATGTCAGACGCAAACTTATCGCAGGCCCAACCGGCATACTGTAAGTTACCGTATTGTTAACACTCTGTGCGCTGTGCTGTAGAAGAATTGTAACATTTGAAACGAGAGTGCGCAACATTCAGTTTAGTGTGCATCCTGTAAATAAGGCCAAGAAAAAAAAATTATTATGTTCCTTAAGATGCAATTCAATCTTCATAATAAATACGCCGCGCTTGTGCATATCACCAGCAATTTACTTAAAATTAATTTCAAAACAGCTATCCAGCAATTAATTATATATGTATTTGGTAACAATATCATAACTAATACAGTGCTTTTGATGGGTGACTTCTGTTATTAATTAATAGTCAATTCAGTTTGCCCTTTTATCATGTAAGATCGCTTTTATTTTGTAATTCCTGGTCATGTTTAATTTTTAGATTATTTCTCTTACAGTGTAAAACATGAACTGGTTCAACTGATTGCACTAACGATAATAAAGGTTCTGGAAGTGAAGAGCTAACACAAGCGGTTTTCGATCCATTTTAGCAGTTAAAGTGAAACAGGATCTGTTGATACTGTCCGCTTCCTGTACTCCCTTTTGTTGCAACAAGTTAATGCAAAAACAGGGACGCCGAAATGTCAAGGTCAGCATTATCGGTGTCAGTTTAATAGCTTTATTCTACAGCTTTCCAAAGGCAGTCGTCGATTAAAATTTGGCTCCGAACAGCACACTAACCATCATCCCGCACACACTAAAGAAGATATAAATTCGTACTTCAGTAATATCGTGCATCTGGATCCTCCTGTAACCCATTACAATAAAAATAGCCACGTATGCGTTTTAATGCGTATTGCAGACACTACTTATTTATTCGCGTTAGTAGCAACAAAATTTTTCACACTTTCTACAGAAATCGTGAGAAATTAAAACACAAGCGAGTTACACAACATCTACAAACACAAGCGGGCGAATAACAGAGAATATTTCGTCTAAATTCGCCGCCGGTGGTGCTGTTCCCATTATAGATGCTGTGTTTCCCCGCTGTATTTCGATGCTGATCCGTTGACGCAGAAACTCTAGTGCTCGCGGTTCGCCTGACTGCTGCTGGATCATCTTTCCTAGCACGTTTAGCAGCTGGGTGGTTTCTGGTCCGAATGTTCCGTAGGTCTCGAAAGCCAGTGGTCCGAACCAGTAATCCTGGGTGATTTTGCGGTATTTCTCGGTCTTGCTCCGCTCGGCTAGCGCTGCTGCCGCTCCGGCTCGAGTGGATGTGGCTGCGATGTATGACAAGGCCATGGTGCTGCGGCAGGTTACATCCCAGGCCAGCGCCTTTCCTCTTTCCAACGGGGAAATCGTTATTCCGTCCGGTCATTTGCCATCTGTACGGGAGATTCCGGGAGGTTCCAGCTCAGTTTCAGTTCCGGCCGATGCAAAGGCGCGCTTAATTACCGCTTTGAGGCTTTCATGGGTCGGTTTCCGTCCGGCACTGAACTTGCAACTGATCGTAAATTTGGACCCGGTACACTCATACAGACCGGCGCTGGTGGATCGTTTTTGAGGAACCGACATGCGGGGAACCACCGGGGCAGTTGTGGTGAACCTTCCGTACATATGAATAGGACGTCAGTTTTTTTAGGACCCCGTCCGGAAATTTTATCCGGGTCTGGTGGTACATTTTCAGTGTTTGGAAAACCAGCTATGGTTAGTGCGTATTGCATGTGTACGTTCTTTTCCGTACATGGCTTAATTTGATCCTGTATTTTTAGAAAGAAAAAATGCAGGACTTGGAACCGCGAGTTGTGCTTTAATTATAGCAGTGTAATGCATTCAATTTAACATTATAGCAATATATTTTTCCAGCTTTAAACGAGATGATATTCACACCAGCTGGCAGCTGCCATAATTTTGTGACAGTGCGTACAGAGAAAAAAACAAGAGAAAAACAGCGCATTCCAAAGAGAAATGTTGATTCAGCCAAAAATTAAAACACAAGCCTAGCATAAAATACTGCAGAAGCTAGAAATGCTCTAATAATCGTTATCATAACCTTTCGGGATCAGGGAAGTGCACCCGAGCTCCAGTTGCTGAAAAATTGTTCTATCCGGTTGATTTTGCCGATAACTTCCGAAGTTAAAATTTTCTGCAGAACTAAGACATCTTTTTGTTCATCCCGTCGCTGATAGAAGAACAGTGCACAAGTGATGTAAATTCCGGTCAGCTGCAAATCAAAGCTTATAGCATACTCCTTTTTCTGCGTAGCCTCCTTTTTCTACATTCGACGATCGATGGTGTCGCAGTACCAAATTCTATTCTTCACTCCGGACTATACCGGTGGTTAATTTACACTATTAAATTTCAGCATTGCAAATTACTGTGCCATAACAGTTGCAAGCAGTTCAAAATTCGTACATGCATAATGTGTTCCTTGTCGACCAGGAAAAAACCGCAAGCCGATAGCGACAGGTTTTGCTTGTTTTCTTCGATTTCTCGTCGAAATTTATGAATAACTCCTTGGAGCTGTTGCTTTCCTGAGTAGGTTCTACAGACAACCTCCTCATGGACTGCATCGATGTCATCAATGTCATTCAGAAAATCCACAATTTTCCACGCCTAAAAAAAGTTGATCATATACAAATAAAACAAAATAACTCCACAAAAATTACAAATTAACTTACTGCCTGCACTGTTATTATGGAATAAGTTTATGAGCGTGGACCTGGTGAAGGTTCACGCGTAGGAACAGAATTGACGGAATTCTGCCTACCAAAAAGCCTAGCAATGCTATAAAAGCGCCTACGCTATAGAAAGCGAGAAATGGCGTGACTGCTAGGAATTTATGACAAGACTAAATTCGATAGAATTTCCTCTTCGACAACTTCGCATTGCTGACTGCAGCAAGCGAGGAAAATGCGCACGTAGCCGCCACACAGTGCGGGTGCGCGCAGAACACCATGCTTTCGCCACGCGTAAGGCGGGCGCGCAATGAACACACAACAGACTGCCAAGCGAGGGTGTACGCATGTACGCCTGCGCTCACATGCCTCTGGGAGGGAGGCTGAGCTCCGTCGAAGCAAATCCACATCCAATTCCTTGGGATCCTTGACGGCTCGTCTGTGTGTTTAATAAAACATCGAGATTTAATCTCCCTTTAACATCACAAATTCCAATTACATGTGTGAATAAAGAGATCTCGAAACAAAAGTAAAAACAGTAAAAATATCAACAGAATTCATTATCAAAACGACTAGGATCCTCCGACTCCTAAAGGTCACTGGGTCCTGTCAACCGTAATCCGCTTTTGGTCCATTCCGCTCTTTTTGAGCAATCTTTTTCATCACAAATGAGATCCGCTTTAAGGAATAGGTGCGTATCAAGTACGACTTCTGAATACTGCTTCTTCATCTTTGGAATAAATGCGTATCAAGTACGACTTCTGCAAAATGAGATTCTTCCTCTTGGACGTGGAGGGACGTCTTGAAAGACAAGCTTAATGCTTCCTCCCTGGTAAGGTCATTCTTTTTAACTTGGATTGATGACTCGTTGAGCAGTGAAGTTCTCAAAGGTCATCCCTTTCTCTTTGATATGCGACTCATTTGGGCCGTGGCGATCCCAAAAGGTCATACATTTCTTCATCATGAGTTCAATATTAAAGGTCATGGAGGAACTTAGCCAATTTTCAGCTTTCAAGCAATTCTGCTTGCCTCCCTTGTAAAGGTCATCATTCTTTTTCATTTTCTTCGGTCGCACATCCTTTTCTTTTCCGTGTAGTGCAAATTGACGCGCACTTCTTTTCCTTACCAGGTTCGAGGGCCGGTTAACGCCGTAACTCCTCTTTCTTCTGAGGCCGGTTATCGCCGTAACCTCAACATCTGAAAGTTTTACTCCTATTTTCTTGAACTCTTTCTCTTTTTCACCCTTGTGGCTTCTGTCATTCCGCAAGAGTGTGCCGACTCAGTAGGCCGCAACTACACTCTAAAAGTGACGTTTTAAATGTAATGAGGAAGGCCGGTTAGCGCCGTTACTCTTCCTGCTTCGAGGGCCGGATGACCTCCGTAACTCCCCATATTTCGGATCGCCTTGATCCTCTGCAACAAAACTCTGAAACCAATAGAAACACAAACGATATGACAGTTCAACAAGTTATGTCTCCTTCGCCCTGATACTGTACCTTTATCACCATTCTCGTGCTGCCGACTGATGGCCGTAACTAGCACATCAGCGATGCCCTAAAGGTCATCACTGATCATTTGAACCATTGTCGCGGTTCCGATCGAAACGTCGTCTTTCTTTTTCATTACGATCAGACGTTCGATCTCGAGGTTCCTTTCCCTCTCTTGCAGCTCGTCTCCTTCGCTCCGGCTGCTAGTAGCACTGTGACGATTTCGGTCACGTCTGCGATGAATACGGATCAAATGCTTTTCATGCATCAACCGTCCATACTTTTTAAGTCCCGTGACCTTTCTCGAGGATGATGGGATGACCTTTCGCAGACGCGTGACCGTTCCAATTCTCGTGACCTTTTTCGAGAATGATCGGATGACCTTTCATAAACGCATGACCTTTCATGTTTCCATAACCTTTGTCGAGGATGATCGGACGACCTTTCGTACACATGTGACCTTTCATTCCTGTCGGCTGACCTTGCCAAGCCCGACTGATACGTTTCTCTCGGCGGTGATTTCGGTCGTTTGAACTCGCCTCTCTTGAAATTTCTTTCGGTCTCCGTCATTTCGTTTTGCTGCATGAGGAATTTGCGCATGTTCTCAATTTTGTCCTCGATCAAAATTTTGATGACTTGCGACCATCGGCCTTTTCCGTCAGGTTGACCTTTTCTTGCAGGAATATTGTATGTTCCTCTTTTGTTAGTGAGAGTGGGTCCTTAAGGATGATGTCCAATTGCTGGATGAGTGATTCGCGTATAATCGCCTCCTGTACGTCTTGTTTCTTAAATATCGCGTCCGAAACGGGTGCTGCAAGTCCCGCATGACCTTTATCTGCATTGGCTAAACCCTTCTCTGCCGCAGCTTTCTTTCTTTCTTTCAAACGCTTTCTTTCTGCTTCACGCTTTTCTTGCAATATTTGCTTTCTAAACGCATTCGCTTCCGCAGTTTTAGGAGGTTCAAGGGTGACGTCCCATCCAGGTCTGCGTCCTACCCACATTCGGTATTTATCCTCCAAAATCACTCTATCTTCGGGCGATAGTTTCAGCCACGTTTTTCTTCTGACCAGGTGTCGAAATACATCTAGGTTGCCTCTTTTGCTTCCTGCGGAATTACCAGGAGTTGATTTGGCATCGGCACGGCGACCACGCATTCCCAACAAGGGAATCGTTCACCTGAAAGAATGTTGTTGCGCTTGCAATCCGGGCAATCCTTGTTGTAATTTGTCAACGGGTCGCCGGTGACCTTTACGATCGACGGTCTCCGTCCCTTCTCTGTCTTCTGATCAGTTTGGCTCCGTTCAGCCATTTTTCTCAGTTTTCACCTACAATCTCAAAATTTGTAAGTCCCGTGACCTTTCATTGTTTTCATTTTCCAACGTCTATCTTTAAGCCTATGATAAAAAGGCTATTCAGTGCTGAGCTGAAACTTTTCGCTGCTCTTTGATGATGACCTTTGTCATCCTTCTTTAGCTGAACCATTCTCAACTGTATGTGGATGACCTTTTCCCATCTTAGCTCATTCGCTACTCTTCTTGTAGAGTGTGGTTCGAAAATAATTTGAGAACTACGGTCTGCTCATCTCCTACTCGTTTCTGGTTCTGATTCTTCATTTTGTGTGGTAGACCTTCCTCCCACACTTTGCTTCTTGCTAATGTACGGTGACCTTTCTCTGCTTCATCAGCGCCATGACCTTTCAGTCCTTCCTTCGATGTGTGCTAAGTTCTCCGCTGAGTTCTTTAACTGGGCGCTTCTTCTCCTTCTCATCGCTTGAGCTCGGGTGACCTTCCCCCCCGGCTGCAATTTCTGCTGCCCTTTAGATCCCAGCTTGCCGGATAAAGTCTGATGACCTTTATCTTCCAACGTTTCAGCTTAAGTCTGGTGACCTTTAGCTGCAAACTTTTTGGATGAAGTCTGATGACCTTTTTCTTCCAACATTTTCGGCTAAAGTCTGGTGACCTTTTAGCCTCAATCGCTTCTTGAACCTTCTCTCCTTGACTGCTCAGTACCGTTCTCTCATGAGCAACTGTAAACGAAGTCAATTTCATTCTTCTTCTCTTTCATTGTTCTCGAGCTCGGGTGACCTTCCGCCCCGGCAAAACTTTCCGCTAATGTCTGATGACCTTTAGGTGTTTCACTCGCTCTTTGATCCGTCCGTTCTTTTTTTTTTGTTTTGCGCCAATCGTTCATGAGCGATTTTCATTCAACGGCGTGATCGGAAATGTCTTCGATTAGCGGGTTTATTTCTGATGACCTTTATGCCGTCCCATGTTCCGGTCATAATATCATAAACTCCTATAAGCCTGACTTTCGGGTTTATTTGTTTTCGTCCTTTAGTTATCCGATCAAGTAATGCTTTGTCGGCTTCGTCTTCATCTTGAACTTCCCCTCTCAGAATCTGTTCTGGAGTTGGCTTCGGAGTTTTCTTCGTTTTCTTGACCTTTCGCTTCTCAATTTCATTTGCGATCCGTTGGCCAAGTTGGTCGGCTTGTTCTTTGACGGCTTTTATCTGTTCCGCTCTTGAAAGGTCATTCTTGCCGTTGGTGGCAGAACATGGTTCGAAAGTATCTTGAAATTTACGCTCTGCTACTCTGCGAGCAGGCTCATCCATTTTCGCTCTTGAAAGGTCATCCCTGACATTAGTAGCGGAGCGTGGTTCGAAAGTAGGTGCCAATTTAGATTCATGCTCTGCGCTTTCTTTATCCCCGTTTCGGTGTGACCTTTCATTTTGCTCAATCGTGGTCAAGTTCCCCGCTTCTTGACTAAGCTTCATCGTGACTGGCGTCTCAAAGTCTTTAACCTCTTTCTTCTGTCGTCCTCTCTTTTCTTAACTGGCTCTTCCGCCTCTTTTGGCTCTTCTGCCTCTTTTGGCTCTTCTGCCAATTCTGGTACAGAGCGTGGTTCGGAAGTATGCTGACGACTACGCTCTGCTTGAGCTTGAGGATCGCGCTCCGCGATTTCATGACCTTTCTCAGTTATTTCCGACGCTGCCCTTTCAGCTTGACCTTTCTGAACCGGTAACGGTGGATGCCACGGTTTCAGACGATCCACCGAAACGACTCGTAAATCCGGTTCCTTCACCGCATCTTGCTCGATGACTTCGACTTCGTTCTGTCTCGGAAAACTGAGAATCTTCCACACTTTGTCATATTTATTCTTAAAGTCGGATTGATTTTCCTTCTTTCCTTGCTTTGTATCTTTCGGCAATCTGATTAAGACTCGGTCTCCGACTTTGAATTGCGGCTCTGACTTCTTCTTGTTGTAGATTTCTGCGTGCTTTTCGTAAGCATCTTTGATGTTGCACTTCGCCACTTCTTCTGAAAAGGTCAAGTTCCTTTTCATGGTTTCGACCCATTCGTCTGGTGCACCGTAGTCGTCAGGAACGTTCGTCTTCGTCACTACGTCTTCTGGCATGGTCATTTCTCTCCCGTGAAGCATGTAGTACGCTGAGTACCCCGTCGTTGCATGTACTGCACGGTTCATTGCCGATATGACGTAAGGAAGATACTTGTTGAACTTCCTTTCATTTCCCGCTTTTAGGTACTGCGACAATCCATCACTGATGGTCTGCATCTGTCTTTCCACCTGTCCTTGACCTTCAGGATGGTATGCTGTTCCAAACGTGTGTTTGATTTTGAACACGTTGGTGACCTTTTTCAGTACTTCTGCGGTGAAATGCCTTCCGCGATCCGTATGGAGAATATGTGGCGCTCCGTGCACCAAAATTACGTGTTTCACGAAGATCTTTGCGAATTCCTTTGCGGTGGCTGTTTTCATCGGCTCCGCTATAACGTACTTCGTCAGCTGGTCAATAAAGACCGCGATGTATTTATATCCCCTTTTCTTTGTTGGAAGTAATGGTCCTTTCAAATCCGCATAGACTCTGAAGAATGGATGTCCGACTTTGATCTCTTGGAGCTTTCCCGGTGGACACTTTCTCGGTGTCTTTATAAACTGGCATCCTTGGCATGCGAGGATGTAATTCTTGACATCCGTACTCATACGGTCCCAGTAATATCTGAGCCGGATCGCTGTCAGCGTCTTTTCAAAGCCGAGGTGACCTGCTGCTTTTTCATCATGCAGTGCATGAATGATAGCCCTTCTCATTTGCAGCGGTACCACATATGTCCTTTCCAGTCTTCCTTTCTGGTCTTTGACGCGATACAGTATGCCGTTCCATAACTGGTAATGCGTCTCAAACTTTGACCTTTTGTCTGCGTCTTGCAGGTGCTCCAATTCATCGATGATCATTGCCAAGTGCGGATCTTTTAGCTGCTTATCCCGCAACTGCAAATTCGTATCATCTTCTTCTTCTTCGTCTCCTTGTAGGTTGACGATGCGGACTACTGCAGTGCTGAGTTCATTCCAATCTTTGATGACCTTGCATCTCGGAAGAGGCTTGTGACCTTTCTCGATTTTCTTTGGGAATCTCAGCAGTCTGATGGGACACTCTTCTGGGATGTATTCCGAGAGGATTTCTGCTTCACAAAGGTCATTCTGGTCTACCATTTTCTGACCATCTTTCGTGACCTTACCATCTTTTCGTTCGGAAGCTTCTTTTCTCACTCTGTTGACCTTTATCTTGGTAGCAGAGCGGGGTTCGAAAGTAAGGCGACGACTACGCTCTGCTTCGTTTATGCTCGAGCGCATGTCTCCGCTTTCTTTTTCTTCCGACATCACCCTTCTCATGTCGGTCTTCAGCCTTTCTTCTCTTTCTTCAGCTAATTGCACGAAAAGTTGCCAAACTTCAATCGGAGGTTCTTCTCTGTTGAGTTCGTTCTTGTAATCCTCGAAGTTTGGGATTTCGTCGTACTCTTCTTCGTTGCAAGTGGGACCTTCAATTGGCGCTCTTGAAAGGGCATCTGCATTGTCGCAGTATTTGCCCGGCTTGTATTCTATCTTGAATCGGTGACCTTGTAGTGCCAATGCCCATCTTGTCAATCGGGGATTCATGCATGACTTGTTCGACTCCGATCTTAAGAGATTCGTCAAAGCTTTGTGATCCGTTCTCACTGTGAATTCGGAGTAGTCGATGTACGACTTGAACTTTCTGACAGCAAACACTACTGCCAGACATTCCCATTCCGTTACTCCGTAATTCTTTTCCGCTCCATGCAAAACGCGGCTTGCGTATGCAATGGGATGTCCATCTTGGGACA